CCGACTAGTAATCTTATAAGTAGTGTTATCTAAGAGGTAGCGGTAGGTTTAGCCTAGGCCCGCTATCTCGTAAATAAGGTACTAAGAACTCTCGTACAAATTCCGCTACTTATTAGAAGTAGTAAGAGGAAAAACAAAAGAGCTGTCTACTATATAAGGTAAAAGGCAAGTAAAAGTAATCTTCTAAGCTAAGGGGACAGAAAAGCTAGGGCAAGTAGTAATAATAGAGCGAGTATACTTTACTACCTCTCTTACTTAAGAGAGGTGTTTAAGAGGAATCTAGCTAAGGGGTTAGTAAGGGCTAAGAGAAAAGGGGCTAAAGGAATCATACTTTATTATAAGAAGAACGCTACTAAGTACAATAATTATAGACGTTATCTCTTAACGCCTTCTTATATTAGTACGTAAGGTTTAAAAACAGTATTTTAATATAGTAAAGACAGTAACCCTAAGAGGGTAACTACTCTATACTAACAGGCTCTTACTACTATACACGTAGTAAGCGTACTACTAACTCTAGGCAAAGGTTAGTAAGGGACAGTACTAATACAAGATAGTATATATACTACTCTATAATACAGGTCTACTCTAGTAACTAACTAATAAGGTAGCGACGCCCTTTATAACGCTACCTTTTCTCTAGTTAGCTATAGTAGGCCCTTCTCTCTCTCTTTCCTTATCTCTACCCTTATTAGCCTTACTAACTCCCTCCTCTCTCTCTCTTCTCTTATCCTCCTTAGTATCCTTAGTATCCTTCTCCTTAAACTCCTTAGCGCCCCTTCTCTAAGCTTAGACTAGTACATCTCTTACTAACTTATTAAAATAGTCTAGGTTATTATTATTATTAATATTATCCTTGTCTTTATCTCCTTCTTTATCTTTATCTCTATCCTTACCCTTGTCTTCTTCTTCTTTCTCTTCTTTTGCCTTACGCGCTATAGCTACTACTTCTTACTTAAGGAAGGCGGCGCGCTTTGTATAGACAGACTAGATAAGGGAAATTAATAAGAAGGTATCTTAGAGAGGCGGTAGAGCCTTAGTTCTATAGGTATATATGCCCTTAGTAAGGCCTTTCTTCTTCTTCTCTCTTTACTTTATCTCTGTCTCTATCCTAGTTATTATTATCGCTATTACTATTGTCTATACTACTATCTTTATTATTATCGTTGTCTTTAGCTTTAGCTTTAGCTTTAACTTTAGCTAGGCTACTACCTTCTCTAGTACTACTCTTAATCCTAGCTTAGCTAGTATCCCTTTCTTTCTCTTTCCTTACTTAGTAAGGGTAGGGGGTAAGGAGGAACGCGGGTTAGCTATAGGCGTAGGCCGCTTAACAGGCTTTAGCTATATAAGGTAAGAGCGTTAGTCTATAGGCAAGTAATAAGGGGTACTAACAATAAGGAATATACAAACCTTTAATAGAGTATCTAGACTAATCTAGGCAAAACCTTCTTCTAGCTCTCTAGAGGTAGATCTACAGGTACTAAACATTATAAGAGGGCCGGGCAAAAACACCTTAGACCTACCTTAAGAAAGAGTAAAAAGGTTATTATTATTAACATTATTATTATCGTTAAATCTACTTAAGATACAAGCGTTAGATTGTGTAAAGATAGACTAATTATTAGCCGAATCGTTATATGTCTTTACTATAAAAGAACTAGCCTAGAGAGGCTTACTAGTATAGACACGCTTACTAGTAGACTAGTAAAGTAGAGAGGAGTAGTCGTGTCCTTACTTTTATAAGGTTATAGTAAGGGCGGTACAAGGTATCTTAAAAGAAGGGATAATTAAGAGATGTTAAGGTTACTTTAAGAGTTTAGTTTTAAAAAAGAGAATTTAAGAATAGATAAAGAAGAGGAAAAGGTTATAAGTAAATTAGTAAAGAAAAAGGTAGAGAGGTAAGATGTTTATATAAAACATAACAAAGACCCCTTACTAGTAAGTAACTAAACAGGTAATAAGAACTAAACTAGATTTAGTATAAAATAATAATTAAGACAACAATTAGGACAGCCCTAGGCCTGTATTAAGACAAGCCTATATAGCGTCTTAGCTAGTAAACAAAGGCTATACCTAATACAAGTACAAAACTAGTACTTAGGGTAGTTATAAAAGTAATTTACGATATAGAGAGAAGAGGAGGCTTATAAGATTAGAATTTTTTTATCTTAAGAGTTAAAAGAATAGTGTATAGACAAATAAAGGGTAACCCTTAGGTAAGAACTAAGGTAACTATAGGCGGTCATTATTTTCTTATTTCTATTCTAAGAACAAAGTAAAGTACTAAGAGTAGTCTAGCGTACATAAGGTGTGCTATATCTGTAGTAATATCTATAGGCTTATATAAAGGAGATAAGGACATAACAAAAGGACCGGCGATATAATAGCGCCTTAGTAAGAGGGTTTTATTTTCTTTCTCTCTTATAGAACTATATATATACTAAAACTTAGATTAAACTCTTATAGTACCTAGTATAGGTATTTAATAAAGGAAGATATTACTACTACTAGCTATATGCCCTTAGAACTAGCCTTACTCTTACCTTTATAAGGTACTAATAAAGAAGTACTAGCTATAAGCTACTATAATAAAGTAATAGTATTAAGCTAGTAGTTCTTTCTAGAATTAATAGCTAATCTTAGTAACGTTATTCTAGACCTTTAAGACAAGTAGTACTAATAGTTTACTATTAATAACACTATAATAAAGGTAGATATTACTAACGTCTTCTAAAAGATAGGTACCTAAAAGGCGCTAGGTCTTAACCTACTACTTACTAGCTTCTTTAAGGTATATAGGCGCCTCTTAGCTAAGCTCCTTACGCTAATAGCGACTATAAGCCTCTAGCTAAGACACTTTTCTATATAGTTTAAAGTAGTAAAAGTAGTAGTACTATATAAGCCTAAAAAGACCTTTAAACAGTAATAAACTATAAGGGCCTATAGGCTAATATTACTCTTAAATATAATAAGTAAAGTAATTAAGTTAGTAATTAGCTAACGCTTTACTAATACTATAGAGTCGTAAAGGCTCTTTCTAAAGATATAGATAAGAAACCGGCTATAATACTTAACAGACCTTATAGTTAAAATAGTAGTTAACACTACGTATATAGTATAGAGCTATAAGGCTATAGTGTCCTTTCTCTAACTCGACATTAAAGGCGCCTTTAATATAGTAAACTATATACGCCTTTTCTATACTCTCTAGTACCTAAGGTTCTTTATATAGGCTATATAGTAAGTATATAGCTTTCTTTCTAATTAGACAGCTAGTCTCTTCTTTAATAAGGAGGTAGCACTACCTTAAGAGGTTACTATAAGGGTACTATAAGGCTTGCCCTTTTCTCTTATTCTCTTTTTCTTTTATACTACTAGCTTATACACGTTACTATAAGGTTATATAGGCCTTATTATAGTAGGGTTTACTAACGACCTTAATCTCTTAGCTTTTAGTAAAGACACGATAAAGACACGCTAGTACTTTAAAGAGGCGTAGTAAATATATAGCTAGTAGTCGTATATAAGGAAAATAGAGTTTACCTTTAAAAAGAGTAAGCTCTTTTACCTTACTTATACCTATACTATACTAACGACACTTGTCTACCTTAATAGCTAGGTTATACCCCTAGTCTAAAAGGCCTACTTTCTAGGAGTTTAGATAGATTAGAAGCTTAGATAAAAGGGCTACCTTAACGCTATTAAATAAAAGTTTATTACCTAGTAGTTTATACTTATAAGGCTTACTACGTTTACGTAAGGATATAGCCTACTACGCGTAAGAGAGATCTATATAAAAGTAATCTAGAGTACTATAGTATATAGTATAAAGGTCTAGTACTACCTTTCTAAGTAGTAAGCTAAGGAGATTATAAAAGACCTTACTATAAAGTAGTTATAGTACCTTTACGTTATTATAAGGGCGTACTAGGCGACTCTTGTTTAGTTCCTTAAGTCTAAAATAGCTACGCTCTTACTTAACCTTTACTTTAACAAGTAAGTAGTAGACTTTAAATAACGTCTTAAACGTATAAGTAAGGGCGAACTTATATAGTCTATTTATAATAAGGTAGTAACCTGTCTTTAATAATACTAGAGACACTACTATAGTACTACTATAGCGCTACCTTATACGTTACTTAAGTATAGAGTAGGCTAAGCTATATAAGTAAAGGACTAGTATAAGGACTTTCTTTTAGAGAAGACCTTATAAGAGAACTAGAGGGCACAATAGTCTTAATATAATAGCTTACTAGTACACTACTAAGGCGCTGCCCTAGCCGCGCTACTTACCTCTTTAGTAGATACCCTTAAGAAGTACTTACTTCTTTATAAGTATAAGAGCTCTCTTTTAATATAGATCTATACTAGTAAAGTTAGACTCTAGGCTTTTCTTTTTAAGTATAGAGTACTAGAGGTAGCGACCTTTTAGTACCCTTATAGTAAGGCCTTAGAGATAGCGGCTTACCTAGTCCTTAACTACTAGTAGCTAGACTAATAGCGACAGGCCTTATAGTAAGCGCTCTACCTAAGAGCGCTATAGACGTTTTACGACTTTATAGTAGTAATAAAGAAAGGTAAGAGCGCTTATATACTAATCTATTAGCTACTATCTACTAGCTAATTCTTATAGTTCTGTCTAGTTAAGTACTATCTAGTAAAGGAGTTATAAGAGAGAGAGTAGCCCTAGCTAGTAGCCGGCGCTCTACTAGTGCCTTACTAGTGTCCTGTTAGTATATTTAGTATTACTAGGCTAGAAGGTTAAGTTCTAGTAAGGTAGCGATAAAGACCTAGCGCCTTAGTAGCGCTATAATAGTGTAAACGTAAGTAGTAGTACGTAGGTTTTTACCTAGCTTTAGTACGGTTTTACTACGTGATTTATGTAGTATAGAGGTTCTACATACAGTAGGCATAGGTAGTAAGAACAATAATATTATTAATTTAGAGAGACTGCTATAGGACTGTTATAATAGCCCTGCGCCCCCCTTTAAGGTAGCGTTCGCTTAGTTATCCTAGATTCCTAATATAGTAGTACAGTGCTGCCTAAAGAGACGGCTGCGATTTCAACTGCACCCGTTACTATTACAAACTGTTTATTAGTGTATACACCTTAAACCTAAGCGCCTATTGCACTTATCTTGAAATATTCCTTGTTGCCCTAAGTATACAAGACAATGGCACAGACACAGACTAACACAAGTCGACCCATCCATCCTTTAGCATTAAGCCTCGAAGCTTGCAAGACTGACGATGTGTCCCTGATAGCTCAAGCTGTCTTAATTGCCTCTAGCCCTGAATCACGCAATACAGTGCAAGAAGTCATCCAGAACGGCCTTAGACGCTCTGTCGCGAGAAGTGCGACCCGAGTACTGTCCTACCTGCTCGATCAGGGCGCCGACATCAGCACGATAACGGCTGGAACGATCATGAGTAAGGATGAATTAGTCAAACCTTCACGCGAGGTGCTTGAGATCCTTATTGCACACGGCTGGGACATCGACAGCCGGGGAGCTGATAGCACCAACTGGCCGTTACCATGGTACGTCATAAGGTACCCCGACCTTCTTGTGTGGTGCCTTGCCAATGGAGCCAGCGTAGATCTACCTGGCGATATTCCACCAGTCCTTGAGATCGCTGCGGCAGAGGGTACGGTCGTGAGCTTCGAGCTACTACGAGCTAGAGGAGCATCCTTAGGCCGACGGACGCTACATCGAGCCGTAGAGCAAGCAGCCATTTACGCACCAGCTGATGATAACTCTGTCCTCACTGCGCTGTTTGAACAGCGGATGGACATGGTGCGGCACCTGGTGGACATTGTCGGGCTTGACGTAAATGCTGAAGAACTTTGCCCAGGCAAGTTCTGTCGTACGCCGTTATGCTACGTGGCTTGTCGCAATGATGGTAAGGATGCCAGAGAGTTGATCTGGTTCTTGCTAGATCGCGGAGCAGATCCAAACAGTGTTGGCCCTCTGGTTGGGAACATCAGGGCTCCAAGTGCCCAACATGCCCAGTCCAGCCGCAATACGCGCTTTCAGGAGGCTGTGAAGGAGTGGCAGGCACGGCAGCATGATAATACGGCCAGATAGATTTTATGAGACCTCTGTTTAGGATATTACTGAGTGTCTGCCATTACCTAGGTAGGTACTGATAGACTACCGTGACTGAGAGACTGCCGAGAAAACCACGCCTGGGGACGCTTTGGAAAGGCCTGCTGGCTCTGTCTGTGACTACCTTAGTGGAGTCGAACTGTTATAAGTCCTCTCAAAGGCCCTATATATCGCTCAATTCGATCTTTCACATGCCCTCCCCCTAAGTTTAGTTGGCTATAGATCCTGTTTTAATACCTCCAGAGTTGATATGCAATAAGATCGTCGGTAGAATTGTCTGTACTCTGTACCTAGTCAGAGAGTTGCTACCTACTAGGTCACAATCAATACCTTGCCTAAGGTAGGTAGGTAGGTAGGTAAAAGGTAAAAGTAACCACGAAAAGCCTCTTTTCCTTCGGCCACTCTTCAAAACGCTGGAACCTTGCAAGGCGGCGAAGAGAAGAGACCCCCAGCCAAAGAATCGTCACGTGCATTCCACAGTACGTACCCAAAACGTGGGTTGTCGGTAGAGAATTATAGATACCTTAGGAATCAAGTTCGCAATACCTACCCCAAGGTACCTAGGTACCTTGCCCTTGCAGGTATAGGTGCACCTAATAATTTTTCTGCCGTCTCGCTCAACAGCGAAGCAAGGGAAGAGAAGAAAAGAGTCACCCAGCGTCTCCGTCTTGTCTCTACTAGCGATCCCTACCCCTCCAGCCTCCAGACGTGGAAATGGATAACGGCGCCAGCTTCAATTGAATCATCCAAAAGACCTCAGAGGAACCCCGTGTCACTACAACATGCCTTCCAACGCCCATAATCCAACCCGTATCGCCATCCTAGGCAAAGAGGACATTATCATTGACTTCGACATTTGGCGGGGCTTTGTTGTGGAGGACTTGCTTTCAAACCTCTCCTCCTCCACATATGTCCTCATCACGGATACGAACCTTTCCCCGCTGTATGTCTCGGTCTTCAAGCAATCCTTCGAGAGCCTTGCGCCTAGATTGAACCCGTCATGTCGACTCCTCACATACGAGATCCCCCCCGGCGAAAGCTCCAAGGGTAGGGAAACGAAAGCTGAGATTGAAGATTGGATGTTATCACAACAATGTACAAGAGATACCGTCATAATCGCATTGGGAGGAGGTGTCATAGGAGACATGATCGGCTACGTCGCCGCAACGTTTATGAGGGGCGTACGCTTTGTGCAAGTTCCTACCACCTTGTTATCTATGGTAGACTCCTCAATTGGAGGGAAGACTGCAATCGACACCCCGCTGGGCAAAAATCTGATAGGCGCTTTCTGGCAACCACAGAGGATATACATTGATTTGCGATTCCTGGAGACTTTGCCAGTTCGTGAATTCATCAATGGCATGGCGGAAGTGATCAAAACCGCAGCAATATGGGACGAGGCCGAGTTCTCAGCCTTGGAGGATAATGCTGGTCTTCTCATGGCCACAATCCGGGCGAAATCCGCCAACTCATCAACGAGATTAGATCCAATTCGGGATATCCTGAAAAGAATAGTGCTAGGCTCAGCGCGAACCAAGGCGCAAGTTGTGTCGGCCGACGAGAGGGAGGGAGGTTTGAGAAACCTTTTGAACTTTGGCCATTCTATTGGCCACGCATTTGAAGCAATTCTTACCCCTCAAGTTCTACATGGGGAAGCTGTGGCCATTGGCATGGTTAAAGAGGCCGAATTGGCTCGTCATTTAGGAGTTCTAAAGCCCGGTGCTGTGGCACGACTTGTGAAGTGCATTGGAAGTTACGGCCTTCCCACATCAGTCCGAGATAAACGCATTCAGAAACTCACAGCTGGGAAGCATTGCCCTGTCGACGTGCTGCTGGACAAAATGGGCGTTGACAAGAAGAATGATGGCAGGAAGAAGAAGATTGTTCTGCTATCTGCAATTGGAAAAACATACGAGCCTAAGGCTACTGTGGTCGAAGACCGTGCGATCAGAATTATTCTTTCAGATGCGATTGAAGTCACTCCTGGCGTGCCAAAGTCTCTGCAGAATGAAGTTATTCCGCCAGGGTCCAAGAGTATCTCGAACCGTGCTCTCGTCCTGGCCGCTCTCGGTACTGGACCTTGTCGCATAAAGAATCTGTTGCATTCTGATGATACGGAATTTATGCTTAGTGCAATTGCCAAGCTTGGTGGTGCAACTTTCGCATGGGAAGATGCTGGCGAGACTCTCTTAGTCCAAGGTAAAGGTGGTGACTTGAGAGCTAGCCCCAGTGAATTGTACATTGGAAACGCTGGAACCGCGTCACGATTTTTGACAACCGTTGTCACACTTTGCAAACCCTCGACAGTCTCATCAACTATCCTCACAGGAAATGCACGAATGAAGGTCAGGCCGATAGGACCTCTGGTTGATTCCCTTCGAGCTAATGGGGCTGAGATCGAGTACCTTGAAAACGAGCATAGTCTACCACTCAAGGTCACTGCATCTGGTGGATTTGCTGGCGGAGAGATTCAGCTTGCTGCTACAGTCTCGTCTCAATATGTCTCGTCGCTTCTCATGTGTGCTCCGTACGCCAAAAGTCCAGTGACGCTCCGCTTAGTCGGCGGTAAACCAATCTCGCAGCCATACATCGACATGACAACTGCTATGATGGCTGAATTCGGTGTCAAGGTTGTTCGTTCGAAGACTGAAGACAATACTTATCATATCCCTCAAGGAGTCTATCGAAACCCTGCAGAATATGTTGTTGAAAGCGATGCCAGCTCTGCCACATATCCTTTAGCTGTTGCAGCCATCTCTGGAACAACCTGCACCATACCAAATATCGGCTCTAAATCACTTCAAGGAGATGCGCGCTTCGCTGTAGAGGTCTTACGACCCATGGGATGCACTGTTGTCCAGACAGATCATTCCACAACCGTGACTGGACCGGGATCTGGCCAGCTTAAGGCAATTGAGGAGGTAGACATGGAGCCCATGACCGATGCTTTCCTGACTGCTACAGTTCTCGCTGCTGTCGCGAGGGGGACGACAAGAATTCGAGGCATTGCTAATCAGCGAGTCAAGGAATGCAACCGTATAGCTGCTATGAAGGACCAACTTGCAAAATTTGGCGTCGTATGCCGCGAGCTTGAAGATGGAATAGAGATTGACGGAAAGCCCTCCACTGAACTCAAAAACCCAGTGGATGGTGTCTACTGTTATGACGATCATCGTGTAGCTATGAGCTTCAGCGTCCTATCCGTCGCAGCACCAGAACCTGTCTTGGTCCTGGAACGGGAATGTGTAGGAAAGACTTGGCCCGGATGGTGGGACATATTATCATTGTCTTTCAGTGTCAGATTAGCTGGGAAGGATGTTGGGGACGCACACACAAAGCCCGAGCTTGCATCGGCGATGCCAGACAAATCAATCTTTATTATTGGTATGCGTGGTGCTGGAAAAACCACAGCCGGTGGATGGGCCGCAGAATACCTCAACAGACCTCTCATAGATCTCGATGTGGAACTCGAACGAACTGTGGGGATGACAATACCGGAGTATATCAGGTCCAGGGGTTGGGAAGGATTCCGAGATGCGGAACTGGCCCTTCTTCGACGCGTTATGGCAGAGAAGCCTACAGGGCATGTCTTTGCATGCGGGGGTGGCGTGGTAGAAACTCCTGAAGCTCGGCATTTGCTTTCCAATTACCACAAGTCAGGTGGGATCGTCCTTTTGGTACATCGGGACACAGAGCAGGTTATGAAGTATCTTCAAATTGACAAGACTCGGCCAGCCTACGTTGAAGATATGATGGAAGTTTACCTCCGTCGGAAGCCCTGGTTTCAGGAATGCAGCAACTTTCAATACCATAGCAAGAACAGCGATGCTGGCAGCTTGTCTACAGCGCGAAAAAATTTCACCAGGTTTCTTTCACTTATCTCAGGGAAGAGTACCCACTTCAGGGAGATCCGGAGGAAAGAGCAGTCGTTTTTTGTCTCGTTGACAATGCCGGATATCTCTACTGCCATTGATATACTACCAGCGGTGGTCGTCGGGTCGGACGCCGTGGAAGTACGGGTTGACTTATTGCAAGACCCCGAGTCGAAGAATGGTATCCCTGGCCTTGATTTCTTGAGCAATCAAATAGCACATCTGAGATCGATTGTGCCCCTTCCTTTGATCTTTACCGTCCGAACTGTCAGCCAGGGAGGTCGGTTTCCGGATAACGCACAGGACGAGGCATTTGAACTCTACAGAGCCGCTGTCAGGATGGGCATGGAATATATTGATCTAGAGATCACCTACTCAGACGAGCTACTTCAGAGCATCACAGAAGCGAAAGGAATTTCGAAAATCATTGCCTCACACCACGACCCCCAGGGGAAGTTGTCATGGAAGAACGGCGGCTGGATCCAGTACTATAATAGAGCGCTACAATACGGAGACATCATCAAGCTTGTTGGGTCAGCCACGAGTATTGAAGATAACTTTGCTCTCGCGAAATTCAAGTCCAGCATGGCTGCCGCACACGACGTCCCTATGATTGCTATCAATATGGGCATCCACGGGAAGCTAAGTCGAATACTGAATGGATTTATGACTCCGGTATCACACCCGGCGTTACCCTTCAAGGCTGCGCCAGGTCAGCTTTCGGCGACTGAAATCAGGAGGGGTTTATCACTTATCGGTGAGATACAACCAAAATCCTTCTACCTCTTCGGGAAACCGATTTCTGCGTCCAGGTCACCGGCTCTGCACAACACACTATTCCAGCAGACTGGCCTTCCCCACGAGTACCTCAGTTTTGAGACGGATCAAGCCCATGACGTGAAAGAAATAATTCGCTCTCCGGATTTCGGTGGCGCTTCCGTTACAATACCCCTCAAGCTTGACATTATTCCACTCTTGGACGACATCACCGATGCTGCGAGGCTCATCGGAGCCGTCAATACCATTATTCCTACTGCGGGAGAACGTGGACATCCGCTCCGGCTTATCGGCGACAATACCGACTGGCTCGGCATGACACACTCGCTCACCACTGCGTCAGCCCCATCATGTGAATCAGAGTCACCTGGGAGTGCTCTGGTAATCGGTGCAGGTGGTACAGCGCGAGCAGCAATCTACGCCCTCCGGTCATTGGGGCATAGCCCGATCTATATCGTCTCTCGCACACCATCTAAGCTCTCGGCCGTCATTTCCTCCTTTCCAGCCGAGTTTAACATTGTCCCACTGGCTCGAGTTCGAGAGGCCGAAGGAATTGCAGACGTACCCAACGTTGCTATAGGGACCATACCTGCCGATAGTCCCATTGAGCAGAACATGCGGGAGGTTTTGGCGACGCTACTCCGACCACCCAAGGCGGGTGCAACTAGGCAGAGAACTCTGCTGGAGATGGCGTACAAGCCAAGGCAAACAGCGCTGATGCAAATGGCAAAAGACGCAGGCTGGGTTACTATCCCGGGCCTGGAGGTGCTCAGTGCTCAGGGTTGGTATCAGGTGAGTTTTCCGAGTCGCGAATTTTGCCAAGAACAAGAGTAGTAACATGTCTTTTAGTTCCAAAAATGGACCGGCATCACACCACTGTACACAGATGCAAGGGCTGCTGTAATGGGAGATGAGAGGGAGTAGGGAGGCAGCAGCATTTGCAGAAATTAGGCACTTCAGCAGACTAAATCCCAATGAGACCCTCAGGGGGGAAAGGTCATCGCATCACATTCCAAAAAGTAACTTGGCTCTTCACGAATCCAAGATTTTTGTATTTTGAAAAGCTATATTTTACATCTTCCCCGCTGCATAGTAATAGACAAATCTCCATGAGATATGATAGATCGTTTAAAAGTAACAGTAGTGATTTCATATTTTCATCTTCATAATCATATACTAATACAAACACCAAGGCCTGTGCCTCACTGATTAGTCTGATATTCTCACTGATTGAGATGAGACATATCTATTCTAAAATCTCGCTCGATTTCCCGCTGACTTTTTCCTCGGCTACCGCCTATGGAGACACGTTATTGTACAAATCATGATAGAAAAAATTCTATCTCAAAGACGCTTGAGAACTGACGATGATCACTCTTCGCTCCAGAGATGAAACCCCGAAAAAATCCGAAAAAAATCAACAAAACAGTATTTACATACACACATACGCGTACACACATATATACCTTGTTCAATTCGTAATAATTCGTACAGCCCAGCAACAGACACATGGTGACAACAACGAATCATAGTGGCGTGGCCAGGAAATGTGAGAGGCGTAGATCAAATAAAATGCGATGGTGGTGGGTGGTGTTTCAAGATGTGTGGCATTGAAGTTGCATGGACATGATCGTCATGATGTCATTCTCTTCTCGGTTGTCCCACCCGCGCCGTCAAGGAGGGCGGCGTAATTTCTGGTAGTTGGTTGGTGACTTGGTGTGCGGCAATTCCTGCACGGTCCTTGCTCGCAACGCGCACGGGGCCCTTTTGCGGGGGAGCTTTGTTGGAGAAGGCATCTCGATCTTTTCCCTCTACAGCAGCAGCGGAAAGCAGTAGAAGCGAGGGAGGGGGTGAAGTGGTGAGCGGAGTAGTGGAGCGAGGCTGAGATTGCGAGACCGGCCCTGAGCCCTCCTCAAGTTATGACACCTCGGCGTCGACCCTTCGAGAAGTCCACATGATCCGGATGGCAGACGCGGAAGTGCCTCGTCAGGGCATCGTTCCTGCTGAATGTCTTCTCCTCCGTACACAGATGACAGCGCACCTTCTGCTTGCGCGCGTTGTGTATCGTGTCCTCATGTCGCGTGAGGTCGTAGGGCCGAGAGAAGATGGTGTTGCAGGGCTTTCCGGTCGACGGGTTGATACGTTCGCATTTGTGAGGCCCGTTCTGGGTGTTTCGGAGCGCCGCTGAGGTCATGCCGCCCTCGTCCCCGCCCGCGGCCATCGACGCAGCCGAGTTGCGGTGCCCCTCCCTCTTATGCCGTTGGAGCTTCGCTGGGGTCTCGAATCGCAGTGTGCAGCCATGATACGTGCAGGTGTATGTACCACTGTCGGCGGAAGTTTCGGCAGGCTTCTTGTTGTCGGAGGGCTCGGGCGCATACTCGCTGCTGCTCGATTCCATCGATGTCAGAGTCGCCGGGACCTCCTCGGTAACACTTGAGACGTTGCTGGTTTGTCTGCGCGATTGAGGTACGAAGGGGTACTGCTGCGGGATCTGTCGGAGGCCGCCCCGGACAGAAGGCGGTGCGAAGTTGAAGTTGCCTTGCTGCTGTTGCTGTGTAGCATGTGACGACGTGGAGTATGCCGAGGAGCTCTCCCGCCTTGTAGTGGCCATACTGCCATAGCTCTGTTGAGATGCCGTGTCGTCGATTTCGGTGGGCTCGTGTTGAGATGCGGGCCGCCGGCGGTATGCAGAAGGCGATTGCTGCGGTTGCTGTGGTGGGAACAATGGCATGTTTGCGTCCTCCTCACTCTCGTGATATACCAAGTCCACATCCTTCGGCGAGATGGTCCTTGGGGTCGTATGCTCAGGGGAGGTCCTCTCCAGCTGTTGCTGGAGGGCGCGCGCATCGTTCTCTGCCTTCTGTTGCTCGCGCATGTGCGTCGCGGTCCCGAATCGAACGTTCGGTGACCGCTGGGAGCCAAAGCTCTCCGCGGACGGGGCTAGAGGCGAGCCTTGCCGAAAGGGCGAGCGTTCTCCCGCAGACATCGTCAGCGGGGCGTGAGTGTTCGACGCGCTCAAGTGCTGACTGTTCGCCGCCTGGAGTCGCTGCGTGAAGACATCGTCCTGCGGCGAGAGCGTGGAGGCCAATGCTGGGGTTGGAGCAGCAGGGGCCGAGGTGATCTGGAAACTGGGATTGTACAGCTCGTCGGCGTAGATATCCGTCATCGTCCGGTCGAGTTTTGGCATGGAACTCCTGTAGGCTGAAGGGTCGCCAAGCTGTAAGTATTCATTCAACCAGGTATCCACATTGGAGCATTTCTCACCATTCTTCCGCCTGTCTTCATTCTCGCAGGACGGTGGCGTTGACGGTGAGTCATGGCTTGCGCCAGCACGGGCAGACGCCAAATCTGCGTCGCCCATGGGTTTTGGCAGGCCGTCGGCGCTCATGTTGAAAGGGAGCTGGTTGGGACCGGGATAGTAGGCTGGATAATGCGGCGAGAGGAACTGATCCTGTGACGGGGTATGCGCAGGTGTCAGAGGCTTCGAAGCGGGGTGGTGGCAGTCGTAGAGCTCATGGTAGAGATCGCCAGCAACCTGTGGGTTCGCGGTATTCGCTGTGTATGGAGACGCGGGACCAGCGGAGCCCAAGGAGGACAGAGACGACTCGCGGTGATGGCGGGCTCTCGAGGAGGTCGGAGTCAGTTGACCGTCTGCGAGCCAGCTGCTGCTCGGCGGCTCAGACTGCATCAGTGACTGCGACGGACTCGAGCTGTAGTCTTGGAAGTCGAACAGAGGCTGGTCTGCACCAAAGGTATAGAAGTTGTCTGCCGTCGTTGTGGTCGAGGTGGAGGAAGGGGGTGAGGAGGAGGAGGAGGAGGAGGAGGAGGTGGTGATGATATCGTTGTATGGAGCCAGCGAGGAAGGGAAGACAGCTGGATCGTTGGGTCTGGACGCAGACCAGTGCAGGCGGTGATGATACTGAGGCTGGTGGTTGTTCTGGTGTTGGAGCTGGTATGGATATTGATATTGGAGTTGATGGTGTTGACGTTGTTGTTGACGTTGATGCTGGATCTGCTGTGGTACGATGCAGGAAGAGGGCTGACGTCGTGGTGGAGTTGAAAAGGCCTGCGCTTGGGAGGCTAGCAACATAATCGGACGAGGGGTGGCGAACGGCCGGGCCTTTTTATAGCTGGGGGATCGGAAGGGGGGCCTTTTATATATAGAAATGGGCGGTCGGGGTCCGGGTCCGGCGATGACTCGGGATATGGGATATGGGATATGGTCGAGGGAAGGTTGAATGAAGCTGAAGGTTGAGTGAGGGTTGAAGCTGAAGCTGAAGCCGATGAAGCTGAGCTCGGGCTGATATCGATATCAACCTCACTATCCGTATCGATCGCTTTGCCGTGCGGTGCGGGAGGTGGAGCGAGGAAAGAGAAAGTCGCCGCTCTCTGCCCCTTTGGGAAGAAGACCTGGGGCGTATGCTTCGTATCGCGTGTTCGTGTCGAGTCGTGTTGCTTCTATACATATATACATCTGCAGATGTGTGTGGATAGACCGGGGGATAGACCGGGATAGATAGACAGGCCTCTTTCTCTCTTTTGCGTCCATCTTTGCCCGTCCGTTTTTATATATCCTTTTTATATCCAATGCATCTTTTGCTTTCGTCTCTGGCCGGGCGGAGGGGCAGGGGACCCCTGTCCTCGGGGTGCGCGATGACGCATTCTACCCATGACGCCTCATGCACGCGCCTGTGCAGCCCTTCGACTGGCTTCCAGCCACTCGCTCCCGCATTAATAATTAACCGTCGAAGCCACACCCCCCCGTATAGGGCTTAGCGTGCGCCCGCCCCATTTCCCGAGTCCCGGAGACCCCCGGTCTCTTCTCGAAGGCCCTGGGCGGTTCTTTCTGTCTTGCGCTGTTCTCCTCTCCGTTCTCTTCTTGAGTCGTGTGTGCTCTGCTCTGCTCGGTTTCTCTTCCGTCCCGTACTTTCCCTCTCCTCTTCCCCCCCTTTCCCCCCCTTTTTTCCTCCCCTACCCGAAGCTATCCGTTCTTCTCCGGGTCCCGGATGGGTGGTCGACGCGGTCGAGAAGCATCGAGAGTCGGAAAACCCGAATTTTTCCCTTTTCCTCGTGCATATCGGCGACTGCCTACCTACTTATCCGTTCGCTGCATCGCTGCACAGCCACTCCACCAGCCTCAGCCGATCGAGACCCTGGACCCTGAAAAAATTTCTCTTTTTCTGCGCGCCCGTTGACTTACTTTAAGGTGCTGACTACTCTTCGGCTCGGCCGTGTGTCATGCTGTCAGGTCCGAGGACTTTTGTCATCCCGGCAAGGCCACCATAAGGCGTCCTGCAGTCTACTCCCGTAAACCATTCCCATCGTGAACCTTTGATGCGGCTTTGTCATTGCTTGTAATCAACAGCGCGGCATGGATCTGTCGGGATATCTACGGGTATCTATCCTTCATTCGCACACATTTGAGCCGCACGAGGAGAGCGCTGACAACCCCGGTGCTGACCTACCTCTGGATCCATATTGGACCCCAGGACCCCTTATCCTCCTATCCCCCTGTCCCCTTATCCGTCCCTATCCGCGTCTAGACCTATTACAGTACCTACCGTACTGTACAGACAGTATGTGCACAGCTAACCCAAGAGGGAGTACAAGAGTGGAAAGTACATTTTACTGCAGAGACATATGTCGTAGGTACTTATGTCATAGGTACCCTTGGCGGAGACGACGGATACGTCCCCTTATGTCATAGCGCCCTCCGTTAGGCACATATGTCATGGGTACATTGGTACATATGTCATAGCGACTCATAGGGGAACGCCCGACGTGGTCTGTGTGTCATAGTCTACACATCACCCCTCGGAAAAGCTAAAGACTCCGGAGTATTCTCGACAACGGAGCCGAGCACTCGTAAGTAGCAGCTATGTCATACCTGGGGGGGTAGCGCATATGGGAGATCGACTGTACTTTATTACCCGTCCATCCAGTCTAGATAGATTAGGCGGTATAGAGTACCTAGATACCTAAGGTAAGGAAGGTTACTTTGATGGTGCAGGCACGGACAAATGTGCATATATACTGTACAAGTAAGGTATCATAACATGTAAGACAACGTTTCAATGGACATTACTTTATGGACAGTACATTGAGAATGCGCTTTTGTCGACAGCCATTGTTATCTGTCTACTCGCCTAACTCCGCATGATGATGTCATTTGAGCCTCACCACGGGACACTGCAGGGAGAGGACGGAACTTTCTTCCTCCGTCCTCCGTCCTCCTAGCAGCAGAAAAAGCTGGCCGCATGCACGTGACCACGCACGGCTAGCCCCTTGTGGACTCCACCTCAGCAACCTCACATCATCTCGACTCCGCGGGCCACAACTCCACAGTGTCTAATGTCTCAGAAAGCCATCTCTCCTCTGCGAAAGGCCTGGTATAAATGGAAGGCTCTTCGTCTTCCATGGCGGAAGAGATTCCTTGCCGGTACGCCTTCTCCCTAACCCTCCTCCATCCATGCTTGTCTGTATAATGTCAGGCTAAGACATTTATTTCCAAGGCCTCGACCTCGAAGGAAACACCTATTGGGAATTCCGCGATACCCTCAACTCGCATAAACACCGCATGCGGCGCATTGTCAAATACCCCCGCTCTGTGCACTACAGCGAGATAAAGATCCCTCCCCAGTGGCACCAGTGGCTCCGACATACTCGCCAGGACGCGCCTTCGATCGCCGAACAGGAACAAGATGTCGTGCGCCGGGAGAACTTGAAGATCTTGGCTGCCCAGGCCGATGCCCGATGGGCTGCGAAAGCCAGTTTTCTGGATCATCCGGGACAGGCAAGAGGCCAGGCCTTACCTGCAACGGAGGAAGTAGGCGTCCGGGATCTTGCGGATGGAAAGCCAGGCCATACAGTGCAAGGAACAGATACCAAAGTTGGTTCAGGAATGGCTGGGGGTCAAAAAGGTGAACAGGCAGAAACGACACAGGTTCCTGGTCGGGAACAACACCGTCTTAATGAACGTGCTGTCGCGGATGATAAACCGAAACAGAAGAAATTCAAGGAGGATCCTTGGAAAAAGGCCCGTGGCGGTCCGAGTGAAGAGTGGCAGCCTGAAGCTTGGGATGGAAGTATTGCTCCGACGAAACGACGATAAAGGACTTCTCTCCTACGCCCGTTAATTACACGTATGCATAACGACCGAGAACAAACCACGTCTGGAGAAGCATCACCCCTGCTCTCCGCGCAATACCAGGACTTCATGGGCTCTCACCAACAGCATTATATAGCAGCATATATCCGCAAAACCGTCCAATACCTCGGAACTTTGGATAGTTGCAACCAGAACCGAAATCCTTGTGAGCTGAAGTGTGAGCAGAGCGCAGTCTCCAGATACGCCGCACTAAATGGGGCATGGGATATCAAGAATTGAAATCCTTTTACTGGTCGAGATTGTCCTATTTCAGGAAGGTGGTCGTACAATATATTGTAATATTAAAATCATCAAGTCTCAACGGCTAATCAAAAGCTATTCCGCGAGCCATCATTATTTACGGATCTGATAGACTGCTAGAGTGAAGTCCGTAATCGTCCTCGCTACATATATATTCAAGCTTCTTATGCTGCTGGGCGGTGCCAGATAGTGCTAGCAATTGCTAGCAAGAATGATAGCATGGACGGGTCTAATTTACGTACGGCTTTAAACCCACGCGTGGGTTTGTTCGGTACAAGAAGGTGGTAGGTAATGCAACGGCCTGACCCTCGCCCAGCTGTCTTCCGTTGATTAAGTTCAGAGAGTTCCCTTTCATAGCATCCCTGATCCTTTCATTGAACACTGTCATCCAGGGTTTTCTGCTCTACCCATTCCAAGAGTCTCCTGAGACGGTGCCCACTAGCTTTGAGCCATACCGCATCACTCTCTTCCTCCTTCTTGAGCATGCCATTCTCCTTTCTCCGCTTGTCACTCTTCATCTTCGCTTCACGTGCACGGATCCCCTTCTCGATAGCAGCAGCCAGGTCTGGCGTATAATAAGCTGGGCAGGATTTCAAGAAGACCCTGAATAAGTTCTCTACCAGTATAGAAACCTTTGCGTTATCAGCAATCGACGAGGTGCTGGCGGTATACGGAAGGAAGCATTTCTCAAGTATCTCCTGGGTCAAGTCATCGGTATCTCGATTCGAGACTGACCGAGGGCGTGGCGCTGTATTCGGTATGAGACGGACGAGGAGGAGCTGTGTAAGAGATACGAAGACCTCAAGGGGGAAATGTGATGAATTTGAGGGGGAGACGAGCAGAGAAAATGCTGGTAAGGGGAGCATCTTCATGTTGAGGCAGTATATCTCATACAGCTCCCTGCAGTCGATGAAGCAATCGGGGAGGAGCGCGGCCACACGCGAGAGCTGGAGAGATCAGCAGGACTCTCGACTTGGAATAGAAGGTCTACTCACCAGAGTTAGGACACGCTGGCGGAGAAGGATCGATTCTGGACCCCCCATCCACGGATCCGGAGTCTCTACTCCGTCAGTGGTATTTTGAGAGGACTCCGGGGTCTCATCCGTTGGTTGTGAAGACTCGAACGCAGCTTCATCTCCATGGTCGTAGTCGCTAGATTCTTTGAGATCATCATCTCCCCTCTTCCTCTTCTGTCCACTTTGTGTCTGGACTTCCTTGGTCTCGTTCGGGAAGACTTCTGGATACGATCTTAGATCTTCCGGTCCACCGTCAGTAAAAGCAGCTCCGACGACACGTTTTGCTGCGCTTGATCTTCCCTTAACATCTGAGAGATATTTGACCAGTAGAGAATTGCGTAACATTTCGAACTGGCATTCGGCTTCTGAATCCTCCTCTAACCCCGTTGCCTTGAAAGACTCCTCTCTGTCCTTCTCTTCCCGTTCCTTCCAATCGGCATCCAAGACATCTAACATGTATTCCAACCACACCTTCCAGTATTTCCACCTCTTCTGATGGACCACGCTGCAGTTGAAAGCCCATCCGACAATGTGCCAGAAGTCTTTCGCACTTCTCCTTATCCTGCCTTTATTTGCCACTACCCCTCCCATATGTTCTTCACCCTCACCATCAGATTCGCTACTTCCTTCGTCCCCGCCATTTCGACTTCGCCGCGAGCCTCGTATCCGGGGAGGGGTAAGGGAGAAGGCCTCACCAAGATTTCCATTCAGCGGGCCGAGAGTTGCAAGGAGACTTCGGAGGAAAGCTATGGATCGCGAAGCTAGCTCAGCGCGTTCATTTCGAGGTGCCTGGGTAGTGTGTCGTGGGTGGACCAGGAGCGCGCTGACAATTTCTATATGAAATGGTACAGGTGCGAAAGCTGGAGTTGCGAGGTGCTTTGGATGAGAGGCCCCCGAGGTAACAAGATCCGTGAGGAGAGTAAGAGCACTGATATCTGCGGTGCATCATACAACATAAGCTTCGAGACGGGTAGTGGGGACGTTGTCGATCACTCACAGAGCTGCTCGTCGAGATATATATGACAGTGATTTCGGATTTCTGCAGACACTTGGATGGCTGGGCGATATCGTGGTTTTTGTGCGCGACGTGGGCTTGTGAGGTGATCAGACATTGTAGATCTTGCGGAGTAGAAAGAGAGTGGGGAACTCATCGCGAACTGGTGCGGGTGGAAGGATATTGACAGAATTGGAATTTATATAGACAAGGTACCTACCTTATTTGATGTTGTAACACGCGACCTGACGCGACACAGCATAACACACGCGATTAATACAAAGCACGATCAGCAATTAAATACATAAATCAGTTTAAAACTTCACTCCTATAGGCGTCCTTGAATTTGAGCTTTCTTCACCCTTGTTGACCAATACTTAATTTTAATCTAAGGATAGGATGCTTTACTCTAACTTATCTCCTCTCTCCTCTAGGTACTTGTACTGTAGGTGGGTAATGTACGGTATCACAGAGATATCTACATTTCCCAAGTTTGAAGAAGGATATAAGGCCATAAATATAAACCTAGATAAGTCGATCTATGAAAAGGGTATATTCTATCGTGAAATGTATCTAAAACGGTAAGACAGGCTTCCGTCACACACTTCATCAATGGCCATTCGTAAATCATAAAGGATTGAAATTGTCGTCAACAGCTTATCCCTCACTTCTTCACGCAATGATAAGCTGCAGGCAGTGGTATATTAGTAGAGCTTCATCAATAGGGAAAATGGGCCAGAATTAGAACACCTACCTCAATAAGCCGATCAGTCAACGTCGTGCATTGTCGTCTATGCTCATTTGAGACATGGAACGTCGACGAGCGCCATAAGCCACTAAATCCAATGCCATCAAGGACATCCTCCAACATCTCCGCGGTGTCTACACCGCCAGAAAATTTTGGATTCGATGTCAATGTCCGCAATAGCTGATGAGCGGACTCGAGAGTGGCTGTATTTTGACAAGAGATGAGAACATCATCAAGGATCGTAATGACTGGCCCACAGCTGTTATTATGTAAGTATGCATTTCCAATCCTACGTATGGGATTCAAGATACTCACAGGTGCAGAATGACTGTAGGCCGCCTTGTGGCAATCCTGTTGAGCCAGAGTAAATTCCGGTTCTGCACTACGTCTTCAAGATATCGAAAGTCGACAATTCCGATAGCCACGTTCAGAAGAAGCTCTTTATCCTTTATCAAGCCAATGTCTATCATGTCCAAAACCTCGGTAGATGGATCATAATCAGTTGCCTCCGTGCCTGAAGCAAGCCAAAGTCTATCCTTGGCCTCTTCAGGCGTCGTTGCTCGAGGCATTAAAAGCCCGAGGTAGGGCAGACAACTCATATCTTCGGGAAACTTTATTCCATGCGGCATGCTAGAACTGGCTGTCTCTAGAAAGCTGGACAAGACACGCATTGCTGTCCCCCTGGTGACAGAGTCTGTGAGACCCTTAACCAAGGAAGCACAGACTGCAAAATGGAAATTCTCGATGGTGAAGTGTATGCCGTATATCTCATCGAGTTGTGAAGCTGCATCTTCCAGAGGTAGTCTCCCCTGCAGCAAAACCGACGCCATTCGGCCGCCCTTGAATTCACCTGATGTAGCGATATTTGTTACAACAGCTTCGAGAAACAAAGCTGTGCAGTTGAACAGCCCCAGTGGAACAAGCCTCACAAGTGACATTGCTAGCCAGAAAAGCTGCAAACCGTAACGCGAATCTGATGGAAGTTTGTTTATCATCTTGGTCAAAGATGTGACGATCGCGATTAACATCTCACTGTCGTTATCCTCCATAAAACGAGCAACGCTGTTTCTGAGGGCGACGAGGACTTGGTAAAGGAGATCATCATCCACATCTTCGCGTGCTAAGCATCCCATCACGGTAAACGCTCGGGGCTGAATTGCGGGATTGCTTTGAAATGCGGTGCTGGCGACCAGACTCATCCACCTTGAGCGCCACACATTTGACAAATCCACAGTTGGGGCCGCAACTATGGTTATTTCAGATAGCAGAATAGCAAGAGATTCTGTGGCGGTCAGGGTAGGAACGCCTGTGTCTGGTACTGGTGGAAGAGGAATCCCGTCTCGTGGAGATATGCTGAAGAGAGAATCCTGTCGCGGCTCCGAGAGAGAGAGAAGTAAGACCTTCAACTTCGCAAGCTTGCTTTCTTCTAATTCAAACGTAGTGCACATGGCGTGAATACTATTGACAAGTAACCGATGCACTGCAAGTCTTACATCAGATGGGCCAGTATTTGCGAGCATGGTGACAAGATGAAAAATCTCCGGCAGAAATAACTGTGACTGAACACCACTGTCAAAAGACGTCGATAGACAGAGACGAAGAAGCACACAGATTTCACCCCAGACTGTATTGTCGGGCAACTGCCTTGTGGGCCGCAGGGAACTCCGATTAAGCGCCTTTCGAAGCCGTGACAGTAACCTTCCGCGGATGGAGATGGTTCCCAAAGAAGCAACAATAGATCCCAAGATCTCCGTTCGTTCGTCGTCGACGCCAAAGGTCAATGCAGACTTGATTATTTCTTCCAGGAAGATGTCTACAAAAATCTCATCTCGACGAATCACTGGCCAGATACATTGCTCGAGAGTCGTACTTAGACCAACATCAGATACTGCAACTTCGATGAGCTTTCGAAAGATTACAGCAACTTTTTCTCTTCCTTTGTCACTGTCTGATTCGGTTGTGATGAGCGTCGTTCTCAGACTTGGCAGCCACGGTGCCATGTATGCGAGACTCAATGGTCGCTGTGAGTATGGGAAACTCTCCCACCCCACAAAAAACTCATTCAGGAAATCCGCTGTGAGTTGTGGCTCAGATTGAGCAAGTTGTTGACTTATGTCAACGATGAAACTTGACGGATTTAATGGAACACACAATTCTGAGAGCATATCAGTAGATGTATAAAATCGATGCCTAGGGGAAAATGCAAAACCTTTCGCGCTCATAAACTTCGAGTCTGCGGCGAACTTAAATGCACGACAGAGCGCACACAACAGGTTGTATGAAGCGAGTCGTAGAACCTGGTCAGAGCTTGCCATATTGGTCAGAGCAATGTTGAGAAGCGTTCCAGGAACGTCTTGTGGCCGGACAAGTCTCTCGAAAGACTTAAGGGTCCTTAGCTCTTTGCCATACTTAGCCTTCGCGCTACGGATGGCTTGAAGGACATCGGGCTTCCTTGGGCTCGTAAAGTACATCACAATCTTCCCACTCTCTGTGCGTAGACCAAATGCCGAATCATCCTCCGTCTGTATAGACGTGGGCGCTTCATCGACCTCGGAGAGGCGGAAGATATCATTGACTGTGGCATGCAGCCTCAAGCCAGGCACGACCTCTTGCTTCTTCATTGTTGTGATTTGCACGAATTGACTCCCAACTTTGATTATGACCTCTATCTTTCCTTTGGTCTTAGAGAGTCGGATGATCGGTTGGAATTGATACCTCGTATCTGTAACGACACTGATTGTCTCCTTGGGTAGGTGTAATTGGCTAAGATGAAAATGGGCCTGAAGATCTTGCAAGTTACCAATCAAGTGGTAGTCCACATTTTTTGGATGGAATGCACTGTTTTCACTTTTCGCAGATAGCCGCAATACACGTCGGAAGTATTTCCTATTGGTGACGATTAATATTGGCTAATGATAATGAGGTCAAATCCCTTACCTAAAAGCACTGTTCATATTATATACGTATACCCGCGACAGCTGTTTTGACAATTCGGTAGGAGTGAGAAGATCTAATTTGCGGAACACAGCATCCTGGGGTTCATTTTGTCCGACGTAACACGTTGCATCAATCAATATGCCAAATGGTCGGTGCCACATACGGCTTGCAATCTTTTTGAAATCAGCGAGATATAGACGGAAATAAAAGTCAGGAGTACCTTCAAATAGCCGAATAAAAGAAGATCGTAATCCGCCGTTTCGATATCGATGTTACGGAGTATGATGCAGATCATTGGCAATCCATCCTGCTTCACGTGAGAAAAGGAGTTCGGGCATTCGACGGCGAGAGCATACCTTGCTTTCACCTCCGTCGTACACAGCACGTGTGGAAACAAGAGACTCGGTGTTTCTACCCGCATTCCGGAGCATAAAATGTTGGAACCTTGAATATGATGGTGGGCTATTTGACGAAATGGCAGGACGATTCCAAGACACATCCATTGGAGGCGGGCCTAGATTACTGATGAGCTTGCGAAGAGCTTCTAGAATTGGTATCTCTCCTTTGCTGATTTCGAGGGGCGAGCGTAGCGAGCCTTTCCTTTCCCGTAGAACAAGCTTTTGTCGAACATGGTCGCAGTGGTCGTACAAGAAACGATGCAATGCAACACATGAACCAAAATCAAAACATTCGGTCTCGACAACAGGATCGGGGACATTCGGCGGTGCCTATTTTGGTCAGAAAGCAATCTATCAGATGCGTGGGAATACAAACAGAAATCTCCCTCAAAAACGTTGTAACATAGTATATGTTCTGAGTAAGAAAATCGTTAAGAGGAAACATGTATGGTTCCTTTGCCCCGAAAAGCACATTATTAGCTAGGTTTTGGACAACCTTCGCTATAAGCAGGAGGCCGCGCCGCATCTCCTTGGAGGGAGCTGAAGATATCAAGCCTTCTGAGTCTGGAGCCACGATAGCCGGGCAAAAGAAACGTAGAAATATGAACGACCCCACAGCAGTGAACTTGGCTTCCGGAAAACGCTTCATCACAGCAGAAGAGATCTGCAAGCTCAGGTTAGCACGGGTAACTAGAGTCGTATGAGTCATGTCCTTACGATATAGCAAATCTTCCTAAATGAGACGGGTATATGTGAGGCAGAATTACAGATATCGTCAATAAAGACTTTTGTGACAACTCGAAGTTGAAGTGCATTTTTCTGAAGTTCCTCGGCGGAGGTGCGTGCAGGATCGAGTTCGAGATCGAGATCTTTCGAAGTCAATACAAGGCGTTCCAGTACAGTTTGCAGCGTTGTTTTAAGATACGCCGCCCCCTTCCATTTGGCATAGACTGATAGCATCTTGGTAGCCACACAATTTCTCCGCAGAAGTTCAGCTTCATTTTCTACTTCTGGTTAATATATGGATAGCGCCATTGCTAGAGGGTGGCTTACCGGTTTCATCGACTTCATGCTCGATAAGAGCCTCGAGTAATGCAAACCCAAGTCCTCTGGAATCAAATATATTGAGCAAAGATATTGTCATTTCGTCCACTTCGGTACTTGGGCATGCATCGCAGAGGGCAATGGTTAAATCCATATCATCGATAAGGAGCTGCCGAACGATATCATGTCAGCAGCAGCCCTAGATTGAACTCCTTGTATTATATCTTACCTCGAGGAGCTCATTATATTTTTCATTCACTGCAGCGTCTGAAAGGTTGTTGAACTCTGTTCCCTGGATCAAAATGTTGCACAGGACTTTCACAAAAGCAGTCCGTATATCAAGGTCTTCATGATACCCAATTCCTAATGAGTGCTTGAGACCTACATCAATGTTGGCGCTCAAAAGATTTGATAGGGCAGTGATAGCAAGTTCGGGGGTGGTCATTGCCTCTTCGTTTCCAGTCGGGGCTATTCGCATCTCATTCCTGCTAATTTCTGTGCTCTCATAATTAAGCAAAGAGAGGAATCTGTTAAAATATGTGTGGAACATCTGGGATTTGAGATCGCTCGTATCGGCATCAGTCTGGCCTTCAGCAGGTTGTAGTGGTAGCCGATACGTTAGATCTGCGAGAGCTTTGAGGCACGCTTTATCCAGGTCTCTTTGGAGCCGCAGGAGCTCATCAACACGCCCGCCTATTGAAAGTACTGTGTCAACCTTTGGGGAACCCGGACGAGCAACCCAAGAAAATATGATCTCTAACAGTTGGTTCCGAATGCGAACATCATGCCGGAGATTCAACAGGTTCTTCTTTTGTGTGACTGTTTCGCACAACTGACAAATCTTGATCTTGACTCGCAATATGCTCGGTCCGTCAGCTAAATCATCCAAAAACCTGGCGAAATTCAAGGTCAACACCCCAATGTCAATAGACAATGCGGCACCGATTTCCGTTGGCCCCCCAAGTCTTTCCACGATACTCTTTAACAGTGCTGCGGCCTGTTCGGCAAATATGATACGAGTCTCTATAGATAGTGATGAATTCGTTCGCGGACTGTCGAACAATACTCCAAGTTCTGATTCAAGCGTTTCGAACAAGGGCAAATATAGTGACGAGGAAAGCTCCGTGGAGAGAGTTTCTCTTGTTGCTTCGCGTATCCTGACATTATTGCTGGCCAATAACTGAATGCTTTGTTTCAAATATCTACTCAAAAGAGTATCATCGAAACCTTCCGGCGAAACCCTATCGATCCATCTGAGCCCGGCTAGCCCTGACTCCTCGGGCGCAAGAGCCTGACTAGATATGCAGGTACCACCGAGGGAAGCAAGGAAGCCAGAATAGTTACGCCATTGAACCAAGGAATTTTCTTCGAGCATTTCCGTTGGGCGTGAGAAAATCTGCTTTGACAATTTGAGCCACTTATCAAAGACGATTTCCCAGGCGGTCAGAATTCCTGCCGTTGGGTGTTGCATCCGTCTCAAAAGGCCTCGAACGCGCTTTTGAAAAGCTACCAATCCAGTGAACCGAAATTCTCTTGCAGAGATCTCAGAATAGACATCCCCGTTTCGGAGTGTCGACATCAATAACTTTTCCGAGCCAGCTGCCCTTTCAATAAGGACTGTTTCTTCACAGAACAGAGATATACACTTGGTGACGAGCTTGCACGTTGATATATCAGTCGAGCAGAGGCTTACAAGAAACGCAGTCTCTAGCTTTGTAGATGCGACTGCCCGTTCAGGGACTTCCTCATCAAACTCTGCCAGTTCCTGGAGAACGTCAGTTAGTATAGAAGTTCTCGTTGGAGTTGACTGCCGCCAGACTTCGAAAGCTGGTGCAGCGAGTTGGGAGAAAACCAACCTCAATAGTCTTCAGGAGCGTCGTGCGTGACTTTAAGTAATCATGAATAAAGTTGAGAGTAACTGTCTCGTCATCACTAACATCGAGGAGCTTTTCGGATACAGTAGTTAGTATAATGGACCTAGAAGAAGAGCCTAGGCATTAGTACGAGATGAAAACTTAGGTGTAGGACAATACATAGCAGTCGATATAAAGCAGTCGATATGTCGATACGAGATGGTTTCTTATAGCAGTTGCTGCCCTCGATATACCTCATTCACAAATGATGTACAGAAATTGCAGGTAGACCTGTAAAGTGACTTACGTTGATTTCCAGAAGCCATTCTTCAAGGTCTGAGGCCCAAGGGTTTGACTTCTGCGCCACAGGGCGACGGACCCATGGTTCAGAAGCTTGCATGCGACTCTATTCGTTAGATACCTAATACGTTCATCATCCGTGACCAAAAAGCCCATGAAGGATGCGACTACAGCGTCGAAATATTGAATCAACCCGGGATTCATTTCTTGTGCACCGGTGAATATTGTGAGAGGAGATGCATCCAGGAAGACCAGGATGCTGTATATCATGTCTGGAGATGGAGGGACTTCTACAGGTTTGAGAACAGTATATTGCTCGTCAGATGATTCTCCTGTCTTTGAAGGTTTCCCCTGTGCTTAATTAGGAAATAATCCATGGTACAGTGATAGACAGAGGGTACCTTTAATTGTGATCGAACGAAGTCAGCCACTCTGGCAAACAGTGGCTGATAATCTTCGGACTTTGATTGCCTGGCAAAGTGGGAGCATGCGGATATAACGGCAATCTTGAAGTCCTGGGGGGAATTCGGTGCAAGACAGAATGAGGCCAGATTATCCACCGTAGTTTCGAAATTAAGATGGGCCAGACTGACAAATGCCGCCGTCATCAAGCCGCCGTCAATGGCTCCATTCTCCATTCCCACGGTATGTTTGCGGAAAACCGCTTCTCGAACTTCCTCCTGGACGTCTAACGCGTAGCTGAGGAGTGCGGCATCACTGTCAAGTTTGAAATGTCTGGCGACTCTCAGAAGGGAGGTCAAGCAGTAGATGGCTGTCTCGTTTCTGTTTCTCAAGGACTTCCTCAGCATTTCCAGGAATGACACTTTCTTCGAAATACTATTGCTCTTGATATCCCGCATATTACTTGCAACCTCAAAGACGTCAGGAAGGAGGAATAGTAGAGACGTCTGGAAAGGGAAAACCAGAGACTTTCGTTTTCCACCATCAAACAAAGTATTCGACATGTCGAAGAGAGTTTCTGCACCACCGTCCAGCCGTTTATGCATGGTATGTAGCTTGACAAATTCTTCCGGGTTTCGTTCAAGCCACCTCGTAATCAAGGAGGGCAACACTACTGCCACGGTAGATTGAAAGGTCTTGCGAAGGTGCAAGAAGCTACCACAGAGCTCCTGGATGACAATACTCAACTTGCGACTGTCAACCCAGAAATATGATACCAAGCGAAGGGTAACAAGTGCACTCTTGTCGTCCTCGGGTGTAACAGTGTTCTGGGAAGCGGTTCCAGTAGTGGGATGAGCTGCTCTCAGAGAAGACTTGAAGTATTCGAGTGCCCGAGGCCAGTTTGAAAATGAGACATATTCCACGATGCCTCGAGTGTAGGCCTCAATGGCTTCAGAACTTTCGAGCAGCAAGTTAGAGACCTCGGTTCCATTGAGATGTCCATTTACAGCCGCTGTGCTTTCCGGTAAAGGGGGGCTGTCGGCTGGACCGACAACTTTGAACACGTCATCCAGAATGTGAGTTGTAGGAAGTACATAGTTATCAGAGAGAGGTCCCAGAAATAGCTTGACAGCTTCTAGCAACCTTCTGACCAGCTTGTCGTCCAGGGCTTCCGGGGGCACATCCCGTGCGACAAGTTTATTCGGCAGTGCCCTCCCGGAACGGTCAGATCCGTTTTTAGGAGGAGGTATAGCCTTCGAGCCATCTTCAGAATCCGAGCTGTCCGAATCAGAAACATGGGCATCCTCTGTGGAACGTGGGGACGTGTTCACGCTCGCCCAATGCGTTGAACAACATTCAGCCAAAAGCTCCAGCACATACAATTCGGAATAGAGAATATGCAGCGGATGGCTTTGAATCCCTTTATACGGCCTGGAAAGTTCCTCGAGTAACTGCACCAATGTTTCGACAACGAGCCCAATGCAGGACGTACTAACACCCACTATCGTCGCCCGAGTAAGCACAACAACCTCATCGCGGTTGAAATCGTTGGATGGGGAGCCGGTGCGATGGGGTAGCTGAGATCAAGAATTGGTTAGCATACATGATATCTGCGAGCTTTCAGATGGACGATGTCCCTTACCCTTGTTGTTAACCTGTCCACCAGAGTTACAACAAGACTCGAGTCCCCGTTCATGGCTGAGTGACGTTGATATCCGGTACGCCAATCCCCTCAGTGGATGCCAGACATTCAGATGTCCTTGCGAGCACATGGATTTATCGTCGACCTTGCCTGCGCCAAAGAGGATATGCTGAGTGCTGCGAACGGATTACGGACATAGCCCCTCGATTGCGGAAGAGCTCAGTCAATTGCTCAAATAATAGGATGCTCGAAGGCCGTCGTGAACCGCTTAGATACAGCGAAATGGTGGAAGCTGTATGCTATAGGAATTCAGCATCTGAGGAAAGGTTTGGGTAGCTGTCAGGGGATCTGGCTTCCTTCGTACCTGAATCCGCTCGAATCTGTCTCGAGTTGTCTCGCGTTGGCCACGAGGTGTGCGGCCCGCCTCTACTGTACGGTCTGTACCGCGCTTGGCTTGCATGCCGATCCCTGCCAATATTGCAAACCCCGCTTGACTCGGCTGTGGTGAAAAATGCATACGGCATGGGCGAAACCTGTCAAGGCACTGCGCGCGGGAGATTGGGATAGAGACTTATATATAACCATGAATATGATTTAAAAAAAAAAAAAAAAAAAAAAAAATGATAAACCTAGATATGCGAGCATAAGGTACCTAACGCCTGCTGAAATCCTCACAGTGACCCTTCGCACGTGAAGCTGCGCACATGCTTGGACCAAATATGCCTTCCTTATCTTCCGCTCTCCCTTTCACGTATTTTACATGAGATGCACAGTATCGTACAAGCTAGATGTCGCCAGTGATCGCTTCACTACGGCCAGTAGTCCGTAGTCGAAGCAAAACTTCTGCTGACTATAAACCCAGAGTCCTCAACGCGGACCTCTATACCCATATCCATCACCGCCTCCCCTTCGACGATCATTGAATCCACCATAGCCAGGCGGTGCACCATATGGAGGAGGCTGAGGATATCCTGATGGTCCACGTCCATAAGATCCATATGAGTTAGGAGGGGGTGGAGGTGGACCACGAGCAAAGCCGCCAACTCCTGGCGGAGGGGGTTGCCAGCCAGGGGGAGGTACTGGATAGTTATTGTTATAGCTATTTTGAGAGCCATGGCTATAGCCATTCTGAGAACTATGGTTGTAGCCATGCTGAGAGCCATTGTTGTAGCCATTTTGAGAGCCATAGGACCGCCGATAACCAGATGTGGGCGGGCTTTGATTTGTAGAGGCATAATTAAAATTGTTACGTCCTCTGCCATCTCCTCGCAATGGAACACCGCCATGATTACGGCCCGACCTTGCGGCCCGTTCCCTGGTGGTTTCAATATCGCTCGCATTAAGCGCTGGTTTAGGAAATTGAACTCCTCGTAAAAGCATAGATTTATGAATGCGGGTTGTCTTTGGTAGCTCGTAATAGACACTAGAGTATGGCGTTAGAAAGTAACATGGATAAGGATATAGAGACAGAGAACAAACCTAATCGAACGATCTTCATCTAGACTGGGCATCGCTCCACTTTCCAAGGGAAAAGTCAAGGAGCTGTGAGGAATATAGGTTTCATTCTTCTCGATATTTCCGACCAAACCTTGACTGATTCTGGAGTTCAACTGGAGTTTCGAAGGGCCCTGTTTCTTAGAATAGAAATTGGTTGCGATGTCGTTGTAAAGGGCTTGGTGAGCTTCCGCTACAAGGAGAACGTCTTTTCCCACACCGTTACGAGCGGCAACATCAGGTGGCAACAGTGGATATTTCTTGGCCATGGCATCAAGCAATCGCCGAGAATCGATGAACGGTAGAAGAGCGACGCCCTGCCAAGCAAATTTCTTGCCATTTAAATCGACTGTAAAGTCTTCTGGATAGAAATCAATGATCTCACTTTCTGGGTCGGTCATCAAGTCATGAAACACCTCTGGAATAGCTTGTCTCGAAGCAGCTGGGAGCACACCCATGAGTTGTTCGAATGGCCTGAATATCTGGCCCTTCTCGAAGTGGATCTTCATATCCCCGATGTCGACGAAGTCTGCCGCGAAAGGTGCATAATGATAAGGATAGTACCAGTCCCAAGAAGGGCAGTCCTGGAAATAATAGAGCAAAACCCAAGCTAAACCTTCAACATATGCTCTTGCGACTTTATGGCGAAATTCAAGATCTGTGGGATCTACACCAAACTTTTGCTCATAATATCTATCAGCGTAACCTTCATCCCACAATCTTACAGTGTCGACGGGTGTGTCATCGCCGGGAGTCTGCGGTGTCCCTGGTTGGGGTGTCTTGCGACCTGGCGTACTGCCATCCTCATCTTCTATTACATCAGCCTTCCGCTTTCCAAGAGCTGATCCCGGCGTATGTTCTGGCTCTGCATTCGCAGTGACATCCGCGCTTATGTTAGTAGATACTGTGACATTAAGTTGACTCTTCAAGGCTGCAGCTGCACTCTTGTTGGCCAAGTTCGCCTTGTAGATCGTGCCACGATTGACCACCATGTCATGGGTCATTGTCTTGGCTTCTTTGGTGATGTTACCCGGGGCGAAGAGTGGCAACCCCGCAGGCGCATCACTATGCGAAGGGAGCCCGTTTTGTCTGCCATTCGAGGGCGAATCCTGGTTGGCCCCGCGACCGTTCCGCCCAGCTTCTTGAAGTTTGCGCCTCTTCGCATTAGCATCTCGTCGCTCCTCGGTCTGCTTTCTTCTGCGAAAAATAGCATCTTCTTGTTTGGCCAATCCATTGAGAATGAGTTGCGCTCTTCCTAGGTCAACATGCCCATCTTTTGTGAGATAACCACCCATGGTGGGGATGTTGTCACGCCATATTGCAATGAGGGTATCAATTCCATTTTCTCGAATCTCGAGACTGGGAAGGTGAGGTAAGAAGTCGTTTCCGACAAAGAAACACATAAAAACCCAATCATCTATGGCTCTTTCTAGATCAAACTTGAAAGGTTGATCTGGTACATAGAGCTCGGCCGCCAGATACTCGCGGAGGATCGACACGTGCAGCCAGATGAAGGGCTTGAGAGGATGAGCACCTTGTTTTTCATCAAACTCTCCTTGCTTTACTTTGGCCTCCCCAGTGCACTCTCTAGCTTCATGGCCAGCTTGGCCGCATAGGCGGCAAGTCCGCGGCTTGGAGTCTTGGGCGAAGACATCTTCTCGTAGAACACGGAAATGGGGTTCATGCGTTCCCAACCCCAGCATGATCAGATCAGCATCTAAGCCATAGATCACATGCCTAGTATTGGGATCATGCTCGGGGGAAGAGCGCTGGGCTCGGATGAATGCCATGATCTTATGTTCACCCTCGCCGGGGACGGTCGAGTCAGAAATGATAACTTTCATCTTGGCCCATGCCGGATCAGTGTTGAGTTTGTAGGCAACCCAATATCTCAGACTAGCAGCTAGGATGTCCATAAATGGTGTACCGGGAGTGATTTCATTGGAATCCCACGCCTTTTTCACTGTTGGCTCCTCAATAGTGCCGCCCTGCGACTTCAACATTTTGAGTAGTTCGGCTTTATCCTCCTCCTTCTCCTTCGCCTCCTGGGCAGAACGGAATCGCCGAGAGCGTTGCTGGTTCATCTTCGCGCGAGGAGCAACACCATCAATGGCAATCATCAGTAGCTTTCTTGGCCGGACCATATTGACGACTCTGTCGGTGTACTTGAAAATCTCCGTCATCATCTCCTCTTCGTCTTTGGGGGGAGGGCGATCCTCGGGATGCGAGCAAGGATGGACGATACCATTCATATCGAGATATAAATTGTCGAACTCTTCATTGTTGGGATTTGGACCCCGTGCATCGACGGGAATAACATGTCCGTCAATCTCTCGCGGCTGCTCTTCGATGACAGGAGCTAATAGAGCGCTAGAGGTCAGCATTCCTATGAAAAAAGAAAAAGGGCGAAAGAACTGTTCGACATGGGAGTACATACAGACAATCTTGGGGTACTTCTGACTCAACCATCTGAATAAAGCTGGAGATCACGCGGTGTTAGCTCGAATGCGCAAGGCAGGAAGAAGAAATGCGCACCTGGGACACCCATGCTGGCGATTTGCACGAGCTGTGTTGTGACGGAGATGGAGGTGCAGACTTCGTGAAGATCTCAAAGGGTTCTGTTGCCTAGCCCGCCAGGTATCGTGGATGCGGAGGGGAGAGAAGATGGATAGCTGCGACGGCGGTAATAGACCACATGGAACTCCAGTTTACCCTGGCTGCACAAGTATCGTACTTGAGTAAGGGAAAAAAAAGTTGTTGTCGAGGCGTGGACGTCGGAGGAGGAATGCCTCTCTCCACGCCTTGCCACTACTCCCTTAGGCTGGTAGATATTTTGAGAGAAGCCAAGCCAAGCGACGCGGTGAATGAGGTTAGCGCGGTTCGGCTGGGCGTTCTGTTTAGAGCGCGTTCTGGGGATATGGCTTTTGATGCTCGCGGAATATGAATTATGTGGCGCCAACGTTGACACTTCAACAACACCAACACCAACAACTATGAGACTGATATTCGATGGCAGATAGCTGTAGACCCCCGACAGAGCTATGTTCGCAATCGCAGCCACGCCCGCGAAACAATCGGTATCGGAAACTATAAACACACTTTCCAGCCGTCTGACTTCTTCTACACTCCTCGAGGATCGGCGGGCTGCTATATTGGGACTACGGAGTTTTGCAAAAGAGTACCCGGCTTCTGTGGCATCGGATTCTCTTCGAGCTTTAATAGGTAGCTTGAGGAAGGATGGCGAAGATGTGGATTCGGTCAAGATAATCCTGGAAACGTTGGTTTGGCTTTTCAACCCAAATGAGAACAGCCCTGAGGCCTCGGAAGAGATTGCCCTTTGGCTTGCAGATGAATTCACGCAGCGGCAAGATAACATTACGTTATTGCTAGACTTCTTGGACACCAATGATTTCTACTCCCGTCTCTACTCGTTGCAACTTCTCTCTGCAATCCTAGCGTCCCGAACAGAGCGAACAGAGGAATGCATATTTACGGCACCTTTAGGAATATCAAGGCTGGTGGCAATATTAGATGATAGGAGAGATGCTATTCGAAATGAGGGTCTCTCATTGCTCACATACCTGACCCCAAACTCTGCGGAGCTTCAAAAACTGGTCGCTTTTGAAAATGCTTTTGATCGCATTTTCAACATTATCAAGCTTGAGGGATCTCTTTCACAGGGCGATAGGATAGTGGAGGACTGTTTAATCCTCCTGGCGAATCTCCTTCGACTCAACGTCTCCAACCAATCATTCTTCAGAGAGACAGGCTCCGTGCCTAAACTTGCACATCTACTCAATGATGCTCTTGGTGACCAAAGTTCTGATGCTGACGTCGCCGAGTGGGCAAAATTGCAGAGAAATAGAAATATCTATGCACTCCTTGCGGTATTAAGATTGTTCCTTGTGCCGGGTGGTGTAGGCACACAGGCAAATCAGGCATCTTTCTGGCAGCATGGTATCCTGGACCAGGTTCTGCAACTAGCATTCAGTCGCTCAACAGAAATGCAGATAAAGGCAGAGGTGTGTACTTGCAATTGTCGTATGAGAATTAAAGCGTTTGTTGACTGTCTCGCGTAATAGGCCTTGACAACTTGTGCAGACTTGATCAGGGGAAATCCAAGCCTCCAAGAGGGCTTTGCCCAATTGCAAGTTACTTCGGTACTAGACGACCTACCTGCCGAAGAAAATGGTGCTCTCAAAGCGAACGGAACTCCAAAAGTCTACGTGATCGATGGTCTGCTTGATCTTACTCTGAGTGTATCGTCATTGTCGGCCTTTGACTCGCGGCTTGCAGCATGCCAATGTATAAAAGCATATTTTTTCAATCACCCAGCTATTCGACAACATTTTCTTCGTCGTGCAATTGATGGGCATACTTCGGGAGCCGATGAGACAGCTAATGTTCTGACAACAGTCCTGCAACCATTACACGATCACATCTCTAGTGATCCTTATCGGTATTGGTTTGCGGGGGTAATTCTCTTTCACCTCATCTTCGAGGATCCAATTACCAAAAGTCTAGCAATGGGCGTCGCAGAGGGTGATGCATCCAATGGCGAAGAGGTAGTGACCTGCATTCAGACCATCACAGCAAACCTCATTACCGGAATCCAAAGGCACGTGGATGAACGGGTTCTAGTCGCGTATTTGATGCTCTTGTGCGGATGGTTGTTCGAAGATCCAGATGCCGTCAATGATTTTCTTGGCGAGGGCAGTAACGTCCAGAGTCTTGTGCAGGCCGTATTGCACAGTACAGGTGATCGTCCAATTGTCCAGGGTCTTTGCGCGATGCTTCTCGGAATCGTATATGAATTCTCAACCAAAGATTCACCTGTTCCAAGAGCTACGATACATCCGATTTTAGTATCTCTCATGGGACGAGACCAGTATATTGATCGACTTACAAAGCTGAGAGGACATCCGTTACTGAGGGATTTTGAGGTTCTCCCGCAAATGCTAAGCTCTGCGCCAATGGGTGGCCTTCCTGAAGTATTCTTTGATAGATCATTTGTTGATTTCGTGAAAGATAACTTCAGTCGCTTCTTACGTGCAATTGACCGGGATCCGGGCATGGAAGTTCCGGTCATTGCAAATGGCGTTCAGAAAGGAATCTCCCGTGAGATGGTGGATTCCCTACGGTCGCAGCTTGAAGAGAAGGACAAAGCACTTCAGAAAGCCGAGCAAGATGTTCTCTCCCAGGAAAGGCAGTTAGCACAAGAACAGGCAGATCATCGGCGGTCCAAGGAAACCGCTGCTGTTGAGCTATCGAAGATCAAGAGTGTAAACGAGGCATTGCGAAGAGATCATGACGAAGAGATTCAGTAGGTAAACCACGTTATTTCGGCAGGTATATGCACTAACGTTGACCAGAAAACTACGCGCTGAGCATACTCGACTTGTGGAAGATCACCAGAGGCAATTGGAACATGTTCAAAAAACGGCTGAAGCCAATGTCGATCGTACACGGAGACGACTGGAGGCTGAAATGGCCGACCTCCGAAGTAATATCAGCAAATTAGAAGCAGACCTCGCAAAGGTACGCCCCCCCTAACGGCTTTTTATCTTATACTGATCTGCTCCAGGCGAACAAGGACCATCTCCAAGATCTTCAGAGTGCACATGATGAGTATACGACCAATCTAAACGAGCAAACAGCGCGTCTGAAGCTCGCAGAGGATAAAGCGAAGGAATTTGAGGAAAGAAGCGATACATTGAACGCAAGAGCGCTTAAAGCTGAGAAATCTGTGGCGGAGAAAGAGATTGAGAGACAAGCTGCTCAGAGCGAGCTTGACGATCTTTTAATGGTTTTTGGGGATCTGGAAGAAAAGTCTCAGAAATATAAACAGCGACTGAAAGAGTTGGGAGAGAGCGTTTCAGATGGGGAAGATGGAGACGAGGGCGAGGACGAGGACGAGGACGAGGGCGAAGATGAAGACGCTTGAAATGGAGTTGACTGAGGGCTGCTTCTCCGTTAAACGCCGAACATGAATAGTACGGCGTTCAACAGGCCGCGGAAGATATATACCAAATGATTATCATTCACAATTCTGGTCACTTGTTGTTGCGCTTCCAAGATTCTGGACCATGTAAGATATATGCTTGACCTTCCTGAATCTTAAACGTAGAGGCCCTGGTGCACCAGTTTCCAACCCCAGAAGACTAAACCACGTGAAACAATATTCCTTGTCCAAGTAGGTAGGTAGGTACGGGTTTACCCAAACAAAGTTCACAGGGAGGGGCCTTGCAACGAGGCTGAAAAGCATGAGGCTGGGCTCGGTTGCGATTGGCTGGAATTATGACTCTAACAATCGGGTCGAATTTTGAAATTCTTCTAATGGCGGGGCATATTGACCTAACCTCACCGTCGTCATAACACAACTGAAATATCCTGACAGTCTCGCAGCGCAGCAGGACCGGTAATTATTTGCACCGGAGCCTTTCTTTTATTTATTGTTTTGCTTTTAAAGTCCATAGAGGCTCCAGAGGCTTCTCCACCGCCCGCCACAAAAGCGATCATGTCTATCGACTTTCCAAAGGAGGAGGAGAACATCCTCAAGCATTGGAAAGAGATCCAGGCCTTCGAGACACAGGTTAAACTTTCCGAAGGTCGAGAACGCTATTCATTTTATGATGGCCCGCCGTTTGCTACGTAAGCCGCTCTCAATATAATACTTCCAGACACAAATTGTGAACTAATCTCATCCTATAGCGGACTCCCCCACTACGGCCATCTTTTGGCGTCCACTATCAAAGACATTATCCCTCGATACTGGTCTATGAAGGGCTTTCACGTTGAGAGGCGCTTTGGATGGGACACCCATGGCTTACCAATCGAACACGAGATTGACAAGAAGCTGGGCATCTCTGGGAAGGATGCAGTTATGAAACTTGGCCTAGCGAAATATAACGAGGAGTGCCGGGCAATTGTCATGAGATTCTCGACTGAATGGCGAACAACTATAGATAGACTCGGCCGATGGGTTGACTTCGACAATGACTACAAGGCATGTGTCCCTAACAGCTCTGACCGTTCATGACTGATGTGTGACAGACGATGGATCCGACATTCATGGAGTCAGAGTGGTGGGTTTTTAAACAGATATTTGACAAGGGTGCTGTTTATCAAGGCTACAGAGTTATGCCATATTCGACCGTGCTTACGACAGCACTCAGCAACTTTGAAGCAAATCAGAATTACCAGGATGTCACAGATCCAGCAGTCGTCGTGACATTCCCCTTGTTGGAAGATCCTTCCACTTGTTTACTCGCATGGACAACGACACCATGGACATTGCCTTCGCACACCGGCTTGGCTGCTCATCCAGATTTCGAATACATCAAGATCTTCGACGAGGCATCAGGAAAGAATTATATCCTCTTGGAAAAGCTGCTTGGTACTCTGTATAAAGATCCCAAGAAGGCAAAGTATAAGATTATCGAGAGGATCAAGGGTAGTGACATGCTTGGCTGGAAGTATGAGCCCCTGTTCAATTACTTCTACGATAAGTTCAAAGACTACGGATTCAGGGTTTTCAATGCTACCTACGTCACTGATGACAGTGGTGTCGGTATTGTCCATCAGTCACCTGCCTTTGGTGAAGAGGATTATAATGTGGCATTGGAGGCTGGCGTCATCAATGAGCGACGCCCTCCCCCAAATCCTGTGGATGAACGTGGCCACTTCACGTCAGAGGTACCTGATTTCGAAGGTCAACATGTCAAGGCAGCCGATAAAGCTATCATCAAGTACTTGAAAGGTACGGGAAGGCTTATCGTGGAGTCTCAAATCAGGCATAGTTATCCCATGTGTCCCCGGTCTGACACTCCATTGATCTACCGAGCGGTTCCGTCGTGGTTTATTAGAATTCCAGAGATCGTTCCTCAGATGCTTGAGAACATCGAAGGATCTCATTGGGTGCCTTCTTTCGTGAAGGAAAAGCGTTTTGCTAGCTGGATTGCAAATGCGCGTGATTGGAATGTTTCAAGGAATCGATACTGGGGCACGCCGATTCCTCTGTGGGTTAGCGATGACTTAGAAGAGAAAATCTGTGTTGGAAGTGTGGCCGAACTCAAGGAACTCAGCGGCTACGAAGGTGAATTGACGGATCTACATCGTGATAAGATCGACCACATCACCATACCAAGCAAGAAAGGCAAAGGTCAATTAAGGCGAGTAGAGGAAGTTTTCGACTGCTGGTTTGAATCTGGTAGTATGCCGTACGCCAGTCAACACTATCCTTTCGAAAACAAGGATAAATTCGAGAAATCATTCCCTGGAGATTTCATTGCAGAAGGTCTAGATCAAACAAGAGGATGGTTCTACACACTTCTTGTTCTTGGTACCCACTTGTTCGGAGTATCTCCCTTCAAGAATTGCGTTGTCAACGGGATTGTACTGGCTGAAGACGGGAAGAAGATGTCAAAGCGACTCAAGAATTACCCTGACCCATCTATTGTCATGAGCAAGTATGGCTCTGATGCTTTGCGACTTTACTTGATCAATTCACCGGTAGTCCGTGCAGAGCCATTGCGCTTTAAGGAATCCGGAGTCAAGGAGGTAGTTGCAAAGGTACTTTTGCCTTTGTGGAACAGCTACAAATTCTTTGAGGGCCAAGTAGCTCTTCTGAAAAAGGTAGCGAACGTTGATTATTGTTTTGATCCTGCTGCGGAAGCCACCAATACGAATGTCATGGATAGGTGGATCCTTGCAAGCTGTCAGAGCTTGCTCAAGTTTGTCAATGAAGAAATGGCTGGTATTATAGCTCTATTCTCTCGTTGCACCATAGTGGCTAACATGATTTAGGCTACCGTCTTTATACCGTGGTCCCTCGACTCCTTGATCTTATCGACAACACTACGAACTGGTACATTCGCTTCAACCGGAAACGTCTAAAGGGCGAACTTGGTCTCGATGACACAATTCACGCTCTTAACACTCTCTTTGAAGTCCTTTTCACCCTGACGAAGGGACTTGCGCCTTTCACGCCATTCATTACTGAGACCATCTACCAGCGCTTGCTCCCACATATTCCGGAGAGCCAACGGGGAGTAGACTCAAGGAGTGTCCATTTCCTGCCATTCCCAGATGTACGAGAGGAGCTCTTCGATGCGGAGATTGAACGGCGCGTTGGTCGCATGCAGCGAGTTATTGAATTGGCCCGAGTTTCGAGAGAACGTCGCACCGTTGGTCTGAAAACCCCTCTTAAAACACTGGTCGTCATTCATCCAGATCCGGTATATCTCGAAGATATCCGATCTCTGGAAGGTTACATTACCGAAGAACTCAACATCAGAGATCTCGTCCTATCCTCAGATGAGGCAAAATATAACGTGCAATACAGCGTTTCTGCGGACTGGCCGGTACTTGGGAAGAAACTCAAAAAGGACGTGCAAAAAGTGAAGAAGGCACTACCAAGCTTGTCGAGCGAACAAGTCCATGAATTCGTCCTCCAAAAGTCGATGTACGTCGATGGTATCAGACTCGAGGAAGGGGATTTGATTGTCAAGAGGGGTTTGAAGGAAGACGAATCTTCTAAGAACTTGGAGACTAATACGGATAACGACGTTTTGACTATCCTGGACGCAGAGCTCTACTCGGATCTTGCAGATGAGGGTTTGGCGCGAGAAATCATCAACCGGGTCCAGCGATTGCGAAAGAAGGCCGGACTGCAGCCCACAGATGATGTTAAGATGGAGTATAAAGTTCTGTCTGATCCAGACAATATCGGGCTCGCAAATGTATTCACTGGTCAGGCAAAGACAATCGAGAAGGCATTGCGACGACCAATTGACCATCACGTGGTCACGGGCGTTGAGGGAACAATCCCCGAGAAAGTAGAGGAAGGCGTTATCCTAGAAGAGGAGCAAGAGATTCAGAAAGCGGTGTTCTTGCTGAGGCTGTTGAAGCTATGATGGTGCACTCGGTGCGGAGTGATTTGTAGCTCAGAAAGATTGATGTTCCAAGACTCTAACGCTATCATAGAAGCTTTACCATTGCAATTCCTCTGAGGGGCCTCTGAATTACTCGACTCTCTTGCCACCCCCTATTACTTCTTGGCAGCGGCCTAGTCTATTGTGAGAAAAAGAAGCAGGAGAGGGTGACACAATATATGCATACCATGTAGCAATCCTTCAGACGCATGAATTCAGTGAGACATTTGTCCTTATGAACTGAATTGTAATCCGCCACAATGCATTTGCCATATACTGATGCCTGCATTGGTGTCAGTGACCGGGGGGGGATTCTGGAGTTAGGAAAAGGGATTACCTCAGTGGAGCATTTGGCAACAGCTTGTGCAAATTTATCAATTGGTCTGGTTCGAGCTGGCATTGAGGGGGTGACGCTGCAGTTACTGATCGGATCAGTAGACGTAGTGGAGGTTGAAGTCTTGAATAATATCTTCTCGTGATGGTCAACTTCGGCTTATGTAATATATACTAGAGCTTTTCCGGCTTAGCTCGAACCCAGCCAGAATTCCAGGGCGGCGCGTCAGATCGAGAGCGCGTTTAGACAAAGGAAAACATCTAACCACCGACAAAACCATGAGAAAACCTCACTTGCAATCAAGCTCGCGTCGCTGGCGCGATTAGCACAATTGATATACTTACATCATGCGGTATCAGCCGTGTCAATCACCACCTATCTGCTAGCCATATGACTTCGAGGCGCCCATGTCGTCAGGAAGAAGCCCGCCGCAAGATGCTGGGAAAAATGTCGCCGGAATTGTTGAGCCTTTTTATACCAATGAAGATGTTGCCGTCTTGCACGATATCGTTGTCCTTGCGCAGGAACTACTGCCGAATCTCCCAGAGCGTGAACGACTTCCAACGAACGCTCTATTCAACGCATACTATGATATTCTTCCAAGAATTGGGGTCAATGCGGACCATGACAGCCGGTATGCTCGAATACTTTTCAAGATTGGGGGCTTGCGGGGCCAGGGGACGTTATACGAGAAGTTCGAAGAGATCCTTTCGAGAATGGGCATCCAGATCGAATTTGGTCTTGAAGACAACGAAGGGGTGTATAGTCAGCTCGAGGATTCAGAGACAGAACTCGGGAATACCGCAGCTGGGGTCACTTCACAGGACGAAAATAATCAACCACGAGGTAGGCAAAGACGCAATTCTGAAAGCTCGATCTGGGACCTTGGAAACGAACCGCTTTCCCACACCAAAGAAAGACGCAATTCATTTTCTTCCCTTGGAAAAGAACCTCGAACCACAGCCGACACGGGTCGACATTTCCTGCAAAATGACATACCCACGCAGCCATACAAGTCGGGTCAAACAATCAGAACAACTCAGAAAAATGGTGATCAGCCCAGGTCTATCGTTGGAGCCTGGGTAGCGTCGGGGCTTGAAAAACCACGCAGAGAACGTGGTCGCTCAGTCTCAACGCATACTAGTATGCGAATCCGCCGACAATCGCATTCGCTGGCACCTAGTGCCCATAGCCTCACGTCGATTTCTCGGTCAGATGAGTTTCAGGCTCCGAGCGAGATTACGGCTCTCACTTCGGGACTTGAACAACGGACATCTGATTCTTTGAAATTGTTTAAAGGCCATGTGTTGAACCATGGATCTAGTAATTTGATGCAAACGAAGGCCTCGCTCATACTCCAACATCATCTAAGCCTCTTGGCCAAAAGACAATTGCGTTCGTGGCGAGATAAGGCATTACAACTGCGGAATGACAATGCCATTCTTAATAAATTAGCCTTGGACCACGACAGGCGTGCCCTTCTCCATCAAGCAGTGGATACTTGGTATAACCGGTTCATAGAGAGGCGGCAGATTTTCGAAACAAAACAATTTTTCGCTCATCTCGAACAACGTGCGGTGGGAGCAAGAGATGGATATCTGCAGCACAGAGCCTTCTCACATTGGAGAAACTATGCCTTCGATGAAGTGGAGCGTACATCGATTGCTCGACGACACATTTTACGAACGCGGACCTTCAATGCTTGGCGAGATATTACAGCTGTCAATGAACTCAAAGTCCGCAGGCAAGTTAGCAAAAAATTCTTTAACATTTGGAAGCGCCACTACGGTTTCGTCTCCTCCAATCATGCTACAGCTATACAAAACTATGAGGCCAACCTGGTTGAGAAGATTTACAGGAAATGGGTTCGGAAGGTCTGGGATATCAAAGCGACTACATGGTGGGCAGAAAGCGCGAAAAAACGTGCTCTCTTGCATTGGACTACTGTTGCTCGGACTATCTCGGACCACAAACTTACTGCAGAGAATGAAAGATCTTTGCAGCTCGCATGGAATGCCTGGCGAGTCTGGAGAGCCAAAACCCATGACCGAGTCCAACATGACCAAGAAGCTAAATCTTTTTACCAGTCTCGTATCTGCTCGGTCGCGATCAGAAAGTGGCGCCGCGAGACGCGAGTCATCCCTGCAAAGAACACTCTACAGGCGGATGTGAATGTGCGACTAATTCGAGATACCTTTGCACTTTGGTTGCACAGATCGCGGCAAGAACGGCAAGCAGCTGCAGTTGATAAACTGAGAATTGTTCGCGAGGCCTGGACTAATTGGCGTCACAAGCTACGATTTCAAGTGCTTCGTGCTCGCGTTAATAGCCATATTGTTTTACAGTCTGTCTACAAATGGGTTCTTGCCGAGAGGTCGATACTAGCAAAGCGTCTGATAAACCAGAGACTTCTCTTGAAGTGCTTGCAGGATTGGGCCTATAGGTGGAAGGCCTTGAGGGGGCAAAAGTGGGATCAAGAGGATTTGGCTCAAGCTTTTGCAATGCAAAAGACCCGAAGTCTTACGCTTAGTCGCTGGCATTCTCGGACCCAAACCCAACAGCAGCGTCAGGCCGTCGCCGTGAGTTTTAATACGTCACGACTGTTAGGCGGACTACTCTCCCAATGGCAGGAACGCACACATCATCTGCAGCAACTAGAGCGATGGTCTCATAATGCCGAGTTCTATTTCCTTGGTTCAAAGAGTCTGAAACGTTGGAAAGTCTCAATAGAATCTGCAAAACGTGAAAAGCGCAAAGCTGCCTATGCTCAAGTCCGTCGAACGACAAAGAGGAATTTGGCAAGGGGCGTGCTCTTTGGCTGGCGTCATCAAGCACAAGAGATACTGGATCTCCGGGCTCGGGCATTTGATTTGAATCATAACAGGACAGTAATCATTGGCATGGACATCTTTGATCGATGGCGCGCTCGTACCGAGGACATTCAAGAGCTAGATTCTATCTGTCGAGAAAAGATTCTGCGAAAACGATTCATTGCATGGAGAGATCGGGCATTGGCCTTCCGAGATTTAGAAGTGGAGGCCATCATAAACTTCCAAGAACGAGCACAAAGTTCTGCCATCAAGAAATGGAGCCTGTTGGCACTTCAACTCAGAGCTCAGTCACGTTATGCATCCGAAATTCGAGAAAAGAACGTCAAGAGGTCATTCAGAAAAGCATTTGTTTATTGGCAACAAAGAACAGCGCAAAAAAGACCCATTGAAAGCTCACATCGAGAGGCTCACAGTCCGTTGGGAACCACCGCTAGAGCGGAAACTTGGTCTGAATTGGGTGATGCTGAGATCGATGAATGGGCAAAAGGACTGGATGAAGTCAACGCATCTACGCCTATTCCTGGATATCTGAGAACACCATCTAAGAGAATGGAACGGGTAACGGCTGCAGCTGCGAGGTTCTCATCTACGACGCCGAGAGCACCCCTTCCGTCCCCATTTGAACGACATTTGCGCGCTCAGTACTCGGGTGGAATGTTACCACTACTTCGAAAGGGGCCTGGGAGGAGTCACTTAGGCATGGGGGCCGAGTTTGCAGATATTGCCGCGACGGGTGTGAATGATGACCATGAAATTACGTGAGAATTGGATTGCGGATGGCATGGGCTCAGCCATCAGATATTGCGGGAATATCCAGGGGAGTTTTGGAAGATGGCGTTTTGATTCGTATGGAGCGTGAAAGGATACCCTGTTCGTTAGCAATTCGGAGTAGATAAATATTCATGTACTCTATTATTCTATCCGGGGCGGGGGACCTGGTTTACTAAGTAGGACCTACGACAGTGGACGCAATGTTTTGGTGGTCAACTAGAGGCGGCTCTGACAAGAAAAGCGGGCTATTGTTCTATGTAGTAAGGCAGGCCCAGAACTTCATGTATCTATACTTCATAATCCCATAAGTACCTATGTCTACCTTGTTTGTTTCTCCAGATTATACCAATTTTGAAGTACTGCAATCTAATGGTTAACAGTTTAGGTAGAACTGGTTGATACGTTAGGTGTGGCGTACATCGTAGAGAGTACGAGACCGTGGCCTCGCGTAGCCTTCTTTTGCCGATCATCAGACAACCTCCCTAGCTGGAGCTCTCCCAGAGCCTTCGACTTCGACCGCGTCATCCCCGCTCCTGGCAACCAAGCATTAGAACTACATTTTGACCAGCTACATTGTCTAACGCAGCGCGTCAAACGGGACCTTTAAAAGCTACATGCCTACAATTTCTGCGGTTTCTTAGGAGCATGCCCGGCAATGCTCTGTGATCAATAGCATGCGAGTGCTTCCTGGAAAGCCACAGGCCAAGCTCCAAGCTGTCTGTACGGGCTTCTGGGGCGGTATTAGGCTTATTGTAAGCTGAGATAAAGCCCTGCGAGTCATCATCTTTCATCTCCTAATGCGTCCGTATATAGACATATATTACTGGAAATGCCTTCGTCATCCTCACAGGCCCAGGCACCTTATTGCAGACGATCTACGATGATGACGACGTTCGCCTCGAAGCAATTGCTATTGATGAGGCATCTGGGAAGATAGCAACATCTGCCGGATCTAATATTCGTGTCTACAAGCCTTATGGGCATTCCGAGGATGCTTTGCAGGTAAGTCAATGATTACCCTACAATTCCCTCGGCGGTTGCTGATCAGGCGCAGTGGTCGCTGCAACATAGTTTCACCGTCGATGAAGCAGAAGAAGGCTCTGCTACTACGCTATCATGGGGCATAACGGAGGAGTTGCTCGTGGGGGGCGCCTGGCTTACCCTTTTTTCTACCTTGGATACACCGAAGCCCATCTGGAAGAAGCAACTTGCTAATTCAGCCAAATTCGCCAATTTCTCATACGATTCGGCGTACATCGCCTCCACCGGAAGATATGATCGACTTGTGAAGATTTGGAGAAGGCTGTCATTTGGTTCAGACGATACGCGCTTCGATTTTAGCTACCTTCCTCACCCCGCAACAGTTACCAGCATGCACTGGCGCAGACCCTATCATGTAGACCAAACAATCGACAATGTATTATACACTATATGTGCAGATAATGTGGTCCGGATATGGGCTGCGACAGATCCTCATGGGTTGCAAATATTACAACTTTGGGCACAGATTGATTTGAAGGAGTCGATACAACCTCGAGGGCTTGTTGATGCTCAAACGTCAAACTTCCGATTTGCGTTCGTGGTCGACGGGCGAGATTTCATGCTTGCTACTGAACACGCTGTTCAAGCAAGGGTATCCGGCAATGATAAGGATGACCATAGTCTTTCCCATCTGATCGAGGTTGCTAATCGAACCCCTGAGATTTGCGTTGTTTTGGATGACCGAGGACATATGTCAGCCTGGGGCCTGGAGAGTGTGGGATGTAAACCCAGACAGATCACAAACATATTCAATGTTGCGCATGTGGATGGTTTAGATCTGGGCCTCCCTAATTCTGCTGGGGATGATTTGAGCCACGTCCAGTTTTATAACTTCTGCAACCCTTCCGGGGGCGGGCTTAATCTTCTTGTTCACCATTTCGACGGCAGGATAGATTTCTTCGAGGGCGATGTCGCCGATCTGTTCGATCCATCCCCGAGACCTACTCGTCTTGTCTGCAAAGCAACGTGGACAGGACATTCCGCAGGCATAAAAAAAATAGTCCGCAACGTTAGTGGGCGAGCAGTTGTTTCACGAACTGACGGGAACGAAAGCATCGTTTGGAAGCATATGAACTCTGGAGGTAGGACTTCGTTTGTCCGCCAAAGTGTCATTACCGAAAAAGACCATATTCACAGGATTTGTGTTCTGAGAGAAGGAAATTATGTCGTATATCTGCACCATAGCCGAATAGCCTTGTGGGATACTCGGGGTTCCGAGGGGGTGTTGCTGTCGACCAACGAGTATTCTTCTATTGGCAAGCCTCTATGCATTCTTATGCTACCCAGAGAGAGAAAAGGAGGTCCTATTGCCCACGTAGCCACAATCACTTCAAAAATGAAAGGAATCGTCTGGGAGCTCCGACTACCACAAGGGCGGGAAAATGGTACCGAGGTGAATGGCTCTCAAGAAGCATCTATTCGCGAATTTTGTCGATTTGATCTTGGCGAATCTGATGACTTGGCATATGTCCTTCCCGTGGATCCAGCTGGATCGCCTCCAACAATTGCTGGGTTCCTAGATACCTTTGCAAGAGATGTTGCTATTTCATACACTCATTCAGGCGTGCTCCGATCGTGGACAGCCAGAATTGATTTGGTTTCTGAGAGAGTGGATTGGTTGGAGACCTGCTCTGTCGATACTGGGATTCATGAACCTGCTCTGGCTAGCGGTAGTTCCCTGCGAAAAGCAGCCCTCGTAGACTCGAGCAGGTCTAAATTGACCATATGGGATGTTCGGGGTGCTCAGCTTGAATTTGCTCAAGACTACGAGACCCAAGACACGATCAAAGACCTGGATTGGACTTCGACTCCAGATGATCAATCAATCCTTGCCGTGGGGTTTCAATATCGAGTTGTTCTGCTAGCTCAGATGCGCTATGATTATGTCAATAAAGGCCCAGCATGGGCCTCGATCAGAGAGTACAATATTCGAGATCTTACGCCACACCCGATCGGTGACTCGACGTGGCTGGGGTCTGGGAACCTCATTATTGGAGCCGGCAATCAACTCTTCGTTTATGACAGAGATGTTGATCTATCCGCGTCTGCAGTAACCAGCCTTAGACTCCCCCGCCGCAAGTCTTCTTGGGATCTCTTCGAAGTTGTGACCCGGCTGAACGGACCGCTTCCAGTTTACCATCCCCAGTTCCTTAGCCAGTGCATTCTTGCTGGTAAAAGCACTCTTGTTCAACGTATAATTTTGACGTTATACAAAACTCTGAAATACTTCGTGGATGGGGATTTCATGGAGAATTATCTTGGTATGAACTTGGACGAGTTTTATACTGATACTGAGGTGAGTCTCCAAAGTTTAATGACTTTGTCTAGAAATACTGATTTTCGGAGCGAATATCTTCGTCAGCAGGAAACAAGGTGACTAAATCGTTCAGTTTCTCCGCTGATGAAGATGACGAAGAGGTTGAGACGGTAACGGAAAATATAGCATCAGCTATCAGTGAAAAGCTCACAATAATTGCTCTCCCGCAGCTCTCACGACAGGAGCAGATCTACCTGGCTCATATCGTAGAGTGTGTTGCAACCGTGGAAAAGCAACGGCGGTCAATGGATGATAATGCCGCTAGATTTATGCTCTTCTTCCGCCAGTCTGTATTACAAATGGGCCGAGCGAATGAGGTAGTGCTGTCGTGGAGAGAGATTAATTGGGCATATCACAGCCACAGCCAGGATATCTTGGTGGATATGGTATCTAACCAGTTTCACGGCAAGATGCTGTGGGAACACGCGCGAAACAGTGGCATGTTCATGTGGATGACTGATTCAAACGCCTTGGTAAGTGATTCGTGTCAATCTGTTTTCCAAAATTAGCTAACTAAGCTATGTGTAGAAGGCTCAGTTCGAGATTATTGCACGGAATGAATACACGAAAAGTGACATGAAGAATCCCGTTGATTGCAGCTTATTTTATCTTGCCCTGAGGAAAAAAGCTGTTCTCCAAGGGCTGTGGCGCATGGCTTCTTGGAACCGTGAGCAAGCCGCGACGATAAGGCTTCTTTCAAACAATTTTCAGGAAAAAAAGTGGAAGACTGCTGCATTAAAAAATGCCTATGCACTACTCGGAAAACATAGACATGGTTTGTATTACATTCTCCAAACTTGGAATCAATATTGACTATGGGATTAGAGTATGCCGCAGCCTTCTTTTTATTGGCAGATTGTCTCAAGGATGCTGTTAATGTGATCTTAAACCAGCTGAAGGATCTTCAGCTCGCAGTAGCAGTTACTAGGGTTTATGAGGGCGAGCAAGGACCGGTACTGAAAGATCTTCTTCAAGAAAAGGTTCTGCCGTTGGCTGCCCAAGAAGGGAACCGATGGTTGGCCTCCTGGGCGTTTTGGATGTTACATAGAAGAGATATGGCTGTGCGAGCGTTGATTGTATGGCATTCCTCTCTTTCAGCATCATCGCCTCTACTGACTTTCCTTACCAGTCGCCCGTCTACACATTACTTGAAAGCCCACACCCAGGTCTGCAAGCCAAGCTATTTCTCACAGATGATCCCGCACTTGTTGTACTATATTCCCAACTTCGACAAAAAACCCTGCAGACCCTTCGAGGAGCATCAAAAGTAACGCCTAAAGTTGAATGGGACTTCGTGCTGCACAATGCTCGTCTCTACGACCGGATGGGCTGTGATCTTCTAGCATTAGAGCTTGGTATGTTACTCCTTGGCTTGTCGTCAGCCGCCGGGATCTAGCTAATAATACTTATTTCAGTCCGGAATTGGGAATTTTTACAGCCTGCGCCCACCGTCTTCGAAAAACTAGATGGAGTGCCTGATCCTCGACAAATGCTGCGTAGGCGCAGCTCACTAGTAGTCGCGGACCTACCAGTGCCTAGTTTGCTGTTAGATATGAAAGCTAAAGGTGCTCCGCCAAGCGTGTTTGAGGAGCCTGAAGCTAGCTCTTTGCTGGATAGCTTTGGGTTTTAATGTTACCTAGTATAAGGGCAGAGTAGCTTTGGGGTTGGCATTGGGATTGCATATATATGGTGTCTATCATGTTGTAATAATACCTACAGGTTGTACCACTGGATGACTATAGCGATAGGGAAAAGGTCTGGAATGTATAGTATTGGATTATATATGTTCTGATTGCATTTTCTGCGCAGCTTGCAGGCTAACTTGAAATACTGGACTAATTGATGACTGGGTCCCGACTGATCTGTAAGAATTTGTTATTATATAGGAAACCGAATGATAGCTTTGATGATAGAACCTCAAAGGCAGGCGGGCAATGTAGCACTTAAGTGGACACGAAATTCGAATAAGGATTATAGTATTCATTGAACCCTCATTGCAAATCATAGGCGCAGTATTCTAAAGATGCGGAACGTTCGCGCTTGCCAAAAGCAAGTTCACAATGCTGACAACCCCTTCGCCCAGTATCAATCCACTTGCCAATACTACTATTGGAGTGTCTTCACGGCGTCGATAAGACCGCCAATACCAGTTGATAAAGCCACCAATTGCTCTCGCTAATGTAAAAGAGGGCACGTTGTACATTCCTGCACTCAGGTTAGTGATAGTCGGGTGTTTGGTCTGCTTGCTAGGAGAACTTACCAACGGCAACGGCAATCCCGCCAGGGATATAAGGATGCCAGCGCTTTGCCACGCCAGCCACCCTAATGACGGTCGTGATGGTAAAAATAATAGCAGCACCGAGCGCCCATTGCCACGCCATGTGAGGCAGCCCTTTGCCGGTAACCAGTCTCGCGGTAAAGATCCAGACATAGCCCGTGGGGACCTGGAACAGAGACCCAGGGACCTCGTATACACTGGTATATAACTTATAGATCAGCGCGCTCACGACCGCTCCAACGGCGGATCCAATCATCTGACCCCAAAACTGCGCATTAGGGGCAGCGCCCATGAGATGCCCTGTCTTCAGATCTTGCATTAAATCGCCTGCTTGGAGAGCGCCGGCTTCGGAGACAGCACCTGCGATCAGATTGACGAGGACGGAGTTCTTGTTGGATTGCGGGATTATGAGGGCGAAGAAGAGCTGGGCTAGCTTGCTGATCCCTGAGACAGGATTCAAGTCTGTTTCTCCCAGGGCTCGGACTCCCATGATGGAGAGGATGAGGGCCATGAAGACAGCCGTTATGGTGGCGTAAAGGGGGACGAGAGCTCCGAATACTATTCGAATAGCGGCTACGCAGAAGACGATTGAGAGGACTAGACCAATGACGACGGTCCCGTTGCTGACCAGATGTTCTGGAGGAGCATCGGGCTCAGGGAGATCTTTTACCCCTTCAGGTGAGAGATCATTGGTTGAAGGATAGCTTCGAGGGCTTGAACCGACTACATCGACAATTGTAGGTACTCCCTCACCTCCAGCGATAGGAGCGTATCCTTTGATTGACTTCCCAAGTCTTATTTGCAGAAGATCTTTCCAGTGTCCAGACTTAATCTTGCGACTCACTTCGCCTATGTATTCTGGACCATGGATAAATAATGGGTGAAAGGCGATATAACCCAGACTGATCACGGAATCGGCCAACATGATTGCCAGCGAGACCCAAACGATCCATCCCTTGGATCCGGTCTCCCAATCGTCTACAGGACCCGATGCCCACCCTTTGCTTTTCGCCAACGGCGAGAGTATTCCCCATCCGACAATTGCTCCAAGAAGCATGTGTGTCGTCGTCGCTGGGCCCATGATAATGCCCTGGCCGACGTAGGCTAGGGATGGGTTGAGCGTCCAAAGCCAGGTCTCAGCGAGAGAAAATCCAAAAATGGGCAGGTTACGAAGTATTGGGAAGAAATAAGTGGCAAGTGTATATAGGCCAGATACTGCGAATGATATCACAAGGAGCTGGACCTTGGACTTCCAACTGCCCTGCTGACTTTTGATTATATCTTCAACATCTGCTGAGTCGTTATCTGGATATGGCTCCGGGAGGGTTTCGTCTTGCACTGCGGGGTCTCTGGAAGTCGCGCGAGAGATAGGTCCATCAACAGTCGCCTCTTTCCCATGTAGCACCCCAATCATCAAGGCCGTTGCGGTCCCCGATGGAAACTTGAGTTTCTCGCGGATGATGACCTGTCTCCGCAGAGGCACAGCAAATACCACGCCGAAGAAGCAGAGTCCCAAAGCCCAGAGTATAAGTTTCCAAAGACTCAGGAAGATAGGGCCCTGTTCTTCGGGCTTCAGCATATAATTCAGTGCGGGCATGACCCCAACAAATCCACATCCCAATGGCATCGTCCCCATCGATCCGGCCACTGTCTGTACCAACACGTTTTCGACGGGCGTAAATGGGAAATCGAGGTGTTTGGCCAGGGTCTTGAAGAAGCCAAATCCAATCAAGGAGGCTGGCATGCTCATACTCGACACCCAGCCCGTTTGTAGCCCGAAGTACATGTTGGAGAAGCATATGATGAGGCCCACTCCCAGGCCTACCAAGATGCCGCGAACGGTGAAATTCTGTCCTTCGCTGGCATGGCTCGCGATGAATCGGCGAGCTTCACTTCTTCGGCGCCGGGGCTCTCGTGCATTGGCGCCATCATCTTCGTCGCGCAAGGTTGTATGGGCGCTGGGGGAGATGGACTGGTAGTCTGGGCCCCGTCGCAGTCCTCTGTCGGGCGCCATGATGCTGTACAGATGGGGATGTTATTACAAAGGGGGAAAACTCGGGGACGGATTTGGATCGGACAAATACATCGAGACGGCGGGGGATTTCGTCATTTAGACACCTGAGGCATCGACACCGTCCAGAGTTGATATCAGTTGAAGAGTGGGTGTGAGCGGCTCACTGCTCACGCTTCACTCTTCATTTTTTAAGCCTTCCGCGATAATCGATATGTTCTTGGTAATCATCGATTCGTCATCTCGTCAACAGGGAGTTGAAGGCCTGGCGATAGATAAGCGAAGCGAGCCTATGATTGATTGATTGACTGTACATGCCTTACTACCTAGCTGAATGCTTAACTACCTACCTTATGTACCTATGTTGAAGGAAAAGGTACTTGACAAAGAACGGCGATAAGAGAACCAGGATTTGAGGTGTCAGGAGGACACATGCAAACTGTATCTCTTTGAAACTTAGGCGGATATCTGGAGAGCAGCAAGAGTAAAGACATCCTAAGTTTTACCTTACCTTAAATCGCGGTTTTAAAACAATGCTACTGTCTATGTGGTCGTCTTTTCTTCCGGTGCAAGTCAATTTGTAGGCGGGACTATGATTATTATTAATGCTTCTCTTACCACCACATTCCATGATGGATTCCGCGCAGCAAGCACGACTATGAGCCATATCGGTGAAATGCTCTGTAAGAAATAAATCGAATTCGCTATAGTAATGTCATCCCCCCCCCTTTTCCCCTCCCTCTCCACGCTGAAAACCCGCTGAACAGAGAGCCAAGCGGTATAATAACTTGATAATCCTCGTGGAACAGCAGATGAACTCGTATTTCTCCATCCTCTCCCCGTCCCTAATTCGTATTTTCCACTTCCCCAAGACCAGAACCTTCGGACACCTCGTGAATCAATCTCTTCTAACCCGCCATATTTCCCGCTCGAGAGTTTCGCGCAAGCTTCGCCCGTCCCCCCTAGCGTCCCTAAGCCCCCAGAGCCTCATCTCTGCATTATTGAACCTTACCCCATCGGTCCAGTTCCGTTGCTCGTCACCGTTTTCTCTACCACCATACAGACCTCGGAAGCCCTCGTTTAATAAGCCGATTGGAGAATTAGATCTTCCTACCGGGCCTCTCCGAGATGGAGTAACACTCCCGTGCCGAGACCTCGAGGAGGAAATTTCGTCATTAGCACCATCGCCGGAGCGAATTAAGTGAAAGCCACTCCTAGCCGGTGCAGCCACGGGCGCGGTATACGATGGATGAAAGCGAGACTGGTGTCGTGACTCGGGCAAATGAGCTGGAGTCTGAGGTTGCGTTTCTGGAGATAATCCATCATTGTAGACATGATAGCTACGAGAGGGTGTTGGGGGCTTATGATTTCTTGAAGACCGACTGGCTTTGTTTTGATGTGGTGTAGGTAATGGCGATGTTGACGGCGAGGGTGAACGGCGACGGCCTATTGGCGAACGGGTCCTGTAAGAAGATATGAGACGTGCAGCAGAACGCAAAATACTTCTCGGGCTGGGGCCACCACCGTGCTGATAGAGTCAGCATACTGGTGAGAAACGAGGGCTTCGCAGAACTCACAGCTGGACTCGAAACTACTTCTTCGCCACTCCCCACAGTTGGAGGACTAGCCTTTGGACTTGAAGTATTGTGATAGCGTCCAGGAGAGCCTGTAGAATCATCCCTGGCTGGACTAGCCGATGGATTATTTCTAAACCGGTATTTGGGTAGTGCAGGCAGAGTCTGTGAAGGCAAAGTCTCTGCTCTTGACACACTTCGAGAGACTGCAGAAAATGGCGGTGGCAGAGGCAGCTGTGGGGAAGAGGAGAGGGACTCCCTTATGGGTTCCGATCTCTCATCACTATCCAGGAGTGGCAGGGGAGCTTCATCATCTTCGAGTATCTTTGAAGAGGACGAATGGACATTTGAAACGACCCCTGTACTTTCCAGAGAGCATCCACGCCGCTCTTCCTGTAAACTAAGGTTGTCTGGGGGGCGGGGTGTGCTGCCCGTCGTGGAGCTAGATGATATACGATCATGTTCATAAGATGCGCTAGCACGCTCGGATTCATCGAACGAGAAGCTGTTTGTTTGGTGTCTGAATGTACGTGCTGGTCGTCTAGCGGGTTGCCCAAATATAGTCCCAGGTGTATTGTGCCCCTGAGTTAGTCGATGGGCAAGACTAGATGTTGGGTGATGTTCCGGAGAGCTAGACACATTTTCAGAGCGGAACAGAGGTGACCGGGGAAATGTCCGCGTCCGTGTTCCTCGTGTCTCGTGAAACTCAAGGTGTTGAGGGGTGGAGTTATCCTCAGGAACTGTAAGTCAATGAGCATAATCCACAATGTGAGACGTAGCAAGCGAACCAAACGGTGAAGACCGCTGCGACGCATCAGCAACAAGCTGCTGTGTTGGGCTTTCGACGAAACCACCATAATGAAACTCGTCTTTTGGTGGCGAAGACTGTTGTGCTTCAATCGATGCATTCTCTGGAGATTGTTGTAGTCCAATTGAAAGATACCCATCTTGGTCTTCGGACAAATCTGTAACCGTGGAATATTCTACATCCACCGCCCTGGACGATCCAGGTAAGCCAAGAGACGGAGGTTCTTCGTCCCCACGGCTCCCAAGACCGGTATCAGATGTTGGACGGCCCACTGTTCGGATTGCCAAAGCACGCAGCCCGCATCTTATTGTGTGTACGGATCTCTCATCCGCCTCAAGTGCCAGGCGCCGTCTCTGGCGGGTCTCAAAGTCCTTGAGATCACTTGGACCTAGGATAATGGCTGAAGCAGGGAGACGAATCATGATTCCATTAACTTCAAGAAAGAGATGCGAGAAGAGTTGGTATACTTGAAATGGAGTAATAAGAGTGCTAAGTTGGAGAAGGAAAGTATCACTATAAAGTATACAGTAAAAGTAACAGAACTTGTTGAGAAGGCTAAGTTGATTGAGAGCACCTGCCCTGCGCAACTTGACCAGTGACGATTGCCCAGGGGCATCACTGCGTTCACATGGATATATTTCATTATGATCGCCTGCTGGCTATCTTTGATACTAGGAGATACAGCTTGAAATCAGCGCTGCGGATCAGGTATTGGGAGTCAATACCTTGACGGTCGAAAGAGGACGCAAAAGGGATGGCAGTTCAAATCGACTCAAGAAATGGGGGTCGTAGTTGCAGGACAGGAAATTGAGGGAAGTCATTGATATCTCTCTCCAACGTTCTCTCGTCTGGATAGAAGCCGTCCTTCAAGCGCGGCGAGGCTGGAGGCGATAGGAGGCAGGAAGAAAGGTTTCCGTTACCTCTCCCTCTCTCCCTTTCTGTCTCACTATTTTATCTTCCTTACCTTAACCTCCTTCTTTTTCTTCCCTTGGAGCCAAGCTCTAAAGAATACCCCGGCCTCGCAACGCTCGAAAACCCGAGGGCCCTCTGAGGGTGGGGTGCTGCAATGTGTCAACGGGAAACCTGATTACTAGTATAAGCCTCCGAGAACAGACAAGATGACGGTACAGGACCACAGGTATACGTACTGTACCTGTCTAAATATATCCTCCCCTCCGCATCACCACCAGTCGTAGGTAAGGTCTTGATACGGTCCCAGGAACCTGATAAATACCGCAATAGGTACAATCAATATGCAATAAATATGCATTACCTTAGCCAGTAAATGGAATAAACCAATAAATACAACGCGCGGCAAGTAGCGAATACGTCGCCCAGGCGCCTTAGGCCGCGGGGCCTTGTCGTGGGTCCTGGACTCCTCCCTCACGGCTCAGGTCTTCGACAGACAAGAGAGAGAAAAGGAGAAAATGAGAAATGCAAATGCAATTAAATTACCTGACAAGTCCAAGTCCCAATATGCAGTCGATCGTCGTGGCAGAAAGTCAACCCGTGTTGCTTCATCTCGTCTATTCCAACGCGTACTTATAATAGAGTAACTATGCATCTGAAATATTTAGTTCCAGCGCTGCTGTACTGTGCGTGTCTCCCTCTCCCTCCTCCCTCGCCATCCCGCACCTCACCTACCACCTTACCTTGCCTGACCTCGCCCGTGAGAACATTCCCAAGCCCAATAAGTGGCCATCCACATCCTCCAGCGGCCTCTCTTGGTTGATCGTGCATGATTATGATATAGCCAAGGATCGGGAGGGCCACAGCCACCGCCGCACCTTGCTTCCCGGCGTCATGGAGGGCGACTTGAGCCTGTCCCAGTCTCTGGGTGGCTTGCGCATTGCGAATCCCGACGATTCCTCGCCGCCGGCCTCACGAGAAGCACAAGAGCAAGTAGATGTGTCTACGCATTCCCAGGTCGGGTCGTCCACGAGTGCGAGTTCTCCCGCGCCGACTACGGATTTGAGAGAAGTTCGCACCTCGACCGACCCTCCTCCTCCAGCCGACCCCCCATCACAATCACGAAGACACTCGATATTCAACATCCTCCGCCGCGGAGAGTCTCCTTCAGAGTCTCCTCCCTTATCACGAACGCCCTCTCAAAACCCCGACCTCAAGCCGCCAAATACACAATTGGACCGGAGCAGTACTGAACCACCACCTAAGATACAGAACGACCCCCTAGCACGGGCCGCGGCCGCCAAGGCATATCGATCGATGCCGTTAAGCCATCAGGCACAGCAGCAAGCCCAGTTTCCTCCATATCAATCGAACGCACCGCAGAACGGCAGTAGAGGCTACTCTCCTGTTCCTTCAACTTCCCCTTCTCGTCCCATCTCGGGAGTCTACGCCCCACAGCCTCCTCCTAACGCGATACCAACTCGAGAACCTAGCCAATATCGATTGCGCAGTGAATCATCCAAATCCTCAATCGGTGGCATACCAGCTAGAAGCAATTCCAGAGCTGCTGGTACAGCTATGCAGGCCGGCGTCCCGTCGAGAGAACTAAGTCACAGAGATAGATCATACGCTCACAACCAGCCAATACCAGCGGGTAACAGGCCTTTACCGCCGAGACGGAGCTCGAGAGGACCGGGCGGATCTCACACAGACACAATGGCACCAACTCCATCAAATGGCTCTTCGCCGATGTACGACATTGACGGGAATGCAATGCCCAGCAGCGAGGAGTGGAAGGATAAGGGTGCGGCGGTAGGTGTTCGAGAAGAATATGACGCGAATGGGAAGTTGGTGTTGAGGCAGGTCAAGAAAGGTGTTCGAGATTTTGTTTTTGGTCGCACCTTGGGTGAGGGATCATACAGCACAGTGCTGCTGGCTACGGATAGGCAGACTCTGAAAGAATACGCGGTCAAGATCCTCGACAAGAAGCACATAATAAAGGAGAAGAAGATAAAATATGTGAATATCGAGAAGGATACGCTGAACCGGTTGATCGAACATCCAGGTATCGTTCGACTCTACTACACGTTTCAAGACAGTACGTCGCTATACTACGTTCTTGATATCGCCAGTGGAGGAGAGCTTCTGGGGGTGTTGAAGAAGATCGGATCGTTCGACGAGGAGTGCACAAGGTTCTACGGTGCTCAGATTCTTGATGCCATAGAGCATATGCACAACAGAGGTGTGATCCATCGTGATCTCAAGCCCGAAAACGTATTACTGGACGATCAGATGCACATCAAAATCACCGATTTCGGGACCGCTAAGTTGCTCCCGGATCCAAGGCAACCGAAGGACCCTACCAAATCATATGATATGGCTGCTGATGAGGAGGAGTCGACGAGAGCCCGCTCTTTCGTTGGCACTGCTGAGTATGTAAGTCCGGAACTCTTGACGGAAAAGAATGCCTGTAAGGCAAGTGATTTATGGGCTTTCGGGTGTATCATATATCAGCTCTTGACTGGAAGACCGCCTTTCAAAGCTTCAAATGAATATCAGACTTTCCAGAAGATTGTTGCCCTGGACTACGAATTTCCTCCTGGATTCCCGCCAGCGGCCAGAGATTTGGTGGAGCGACTGTTGGTTCTCGATCCGCAAAGGCGATTATCGATCGAGCACATCAAGAACCACGAATTTTTCAAAGGAATCCAATGGGGTAGAGGTCTCTGGAGGATGAAGGCTCCCAGGTTAAAGCCATATATCCCCCCAACACAGGAGCCTACCCTCATCAAGCTCAACGGATATTCAAGTGCACCGCAGCCAATTTCTACATCTCGGGCTCAACAGCCGTCGAACTCTTCCAATGGCAACTCAAGGCCACAGCCTAGGATCATCACCGAACTCCCTCCCCCAACTCAACTCGACATTGAATGGTCGCCGGTCCTTACGCGAAGCAACGAGCGTATACTGAAGTTAGGTAATTTGATGGTGCTCTCGACTCCTTTGCCGCACAGCCCAAATTCGAAAGGCGAACACGGCGAGGCTCACGAGAAGAAGAAATTATCAAGGTTCTTTGGCGGTAACACAACTAAGAAGAGACAAAGGCTCGTTATGGTAACTTCAAGCGCACGTATCATTTTGGCTGCAGCTGGGGGTGAGGAGAAGAAGACGAAACTCGAGATTTCTCTTCTTAGTCCAGACTGTTCGTGGCGAACTCAAGTCGATGCTAAAGGGCAGACGGTGTGGTGTGTGGATACAGTAAGTTCAGGTTTCACCTCTGCCAAGATATCAAATCTAATTTTAGTAGCGAGGCACACACTATACCTTCGAGGATACGAAATCTTCGACGACGACAAATGACCCCTCAAAAAGCTCGGCGCAAGAATGGATCGAGTCTATAGAACGTGCCAAAGACCTTGCGCTTTCTCAGAGCATGGTCGAATCCTACAGCAGTGACACTGGTTTTGATATGCAATCAAACGTCTCAAGTCCGAGCAGCACCCTACGCGGAAATAGCATCTACCCCGAAGGCTACAATGTGACTGATCGTGCGGGACGGAATGTCCTGACGAAGAGCCAGGCTAGCCTTGCAGAGGAGCCTGGCGAGGGGAAGGCTGCTAATAAGAGGAATCGTTTTAGTAAAAGGGCTTCTAAAAGTGGTCTGTCTACGCCGTTTTGATAGTCGTCTCATGAGCACATGTAGCCTTGGCTCTCCAAAGGCCATCGCAACATTTTGTCTTTCCTTTGTCACAGCATTTGGTAGCGAGGCGCGGGTCTGGTTCTCTTCTTACATCCCGTTCGTATCTCCTTCGATTGGGACCCGTTTTTACGAAATATCAAGACATCTCTCTCCTTTCCTTTCTTGTTCAGAGCCAATCGAGGGAAAATGGGGCGGGGCTTACTTTACCCCTTTGCGTAGGAACTTTTGGATCTTGGCTGCATTGCAGAGCGCTCTGCGGGATCATGGGCGGAAATTGTCGATAGTCGATTATAATTGCTTTATGAAAGGCCTTGGGCAGTTTTCCGTGTAGAGAAGATTTGTACGCCTGATTTAAAGGGGTCTGGAGCGGCTTAAGCATTGTATATTAGAGAATGTACTCTGTAGGGCAATGAAGAAAAGGCACCCAGAGGCTGCTGGTAGGTATTATAACATTCGACTTATTTGACTTATTGGACTTTGTAACTGTGTGCAACTTTCTCAAGAACTCACGATTACCAACTTCCCCTCCCTGCTCGGCGATAAGCATATCCCCGAGGTTCTTTTACGTCACGAGCATCCCACTCGATTGCTGCGCTTTTGCTTCCCCTCAAACATTTCCTCCAATACCCCAAGAATCAATCTTTGAAGCTCTAAAGCTGCGATTCCCAGTCCTGCAAGGTATGCCACAAACCAGCTCCCTCCTGATCCCCAAGTCAGGCTCACCTGTATCTCATACTTACCAATCACACCAGCAATCATGTCTACGAACCCCGTTTTCAAGTCCGGCAACATCGCTGTAATCACTGGTGGGGCTTCAGGAATTGGCCTGGCCCTGTCGACAAAGTGTGCCGGCTATGGTATGAAGGTTGTGATGGTAGACAACAATGGCTCCAACCTCTCGTCGGCGAAGAGTGCTATCAAAGGGGACGTTGACACTGTGGAGATGGATGTCACCAAAATTGAGGACTTCGAGAAGCTGAAATCAAAAATTGCTAAAGATTATGGAGGTGTGATGACCTTTCTGCAAACCACGAATTCCATGCTCGACCACCATCAGATTGGAATGGGGAGATGGGCGGTCTTGGAGAATCCAGGCGGACTAACAGATAATTCACAGGCAAGATCGACCTCCTGGTCCTGAATGCAGGAATAGGTGGGCGCGGTACCTGGGAAGACACATCCTATTTCCACAAAATCCTCGACGTGAACTTGTTCGGGGTTATACACGGTCTCAATACCCTGCTCCCCTTAGTTACAGCATCATCTTCGGCCTCCAGCCCCGCCAGTATAATAATCACAGGATCGAAACAAGGTATTACGAACCCGCCGGGCAATCCGGCATATAATGCTTCCAAGGCCGCGGTAAAGGCGCTCGCGGAGCACCTCTCCTTCGACCTCTCGAAATCATCTCCGACGACCAGCGTGCACTTGCTAGTACCCGGCTGGACATTCACAGGCCTTTCAGGCAATGCTCCCTTTGCGACTGGGGCAGAGAAGAAGGAGAAGCCCGCCGGAGCATGGAGTCCGGAGCAAGTTGTCGATTATCTTGAAGAGAAAATGGAACAGGGGAAGTTTTATATCATATGTCCCGATAACGATGTCACGGAGGAGACCGATAAGAAGAGGATGCTTTGGAGTGCGAACGATATTGTACAAGGGCGACCGCCGTTGACAAGATGGCGTGAAGACTATGCAGCGGAGGCTGAGGAGTGGATGGCCAAGCAGAAAATCTGAACGAGGAGCAAGTCAAGACGAAGACGCAATTCTCAAAACCGGACTAAAAAACAAAGCCTGAAAAAGACTTTTCCTCCATTCCCCTAATTTGACATAGTACATACTCATGATGAGTCCAGGCCTGAAACTCCCCCATTCGCCAATGAGCCAGTGATGTGATTATCTACTATGTCCTTGGTTTGGTCCCAACAATGAGATTGACGCTCTCCCGCACAGTATCACTTCCCCAGATACCATTCTCCCCACCCCTTCTCCACTCGTCTCCATTGGCGTCCTCACCACCTCTTATCGCCTCACCAGCAATAATGTCCAAATCTCTCTTCTGGGAGCTCAGCCACTTGCCAATAAACTCGGTTGGGTTCTTTGAAAAGGCATCAAAGAAAGTATGTTTGGATTTCGAGTTTCCAATCTTAAGCATAAGAACGGCGAGGTGGTCATTAAGGGATGCGATTTCCCGGAGGTCATGTGCATATGCTGGATTGGTCAAGTAGGAAGCAAGAGCGGATCGCAGGGGATCATCAACAGTGACGCGGATGTCATAAATGGTAGGCTGAGGGTTCTCGTGAAACTCTTTGTCGACGCGGATGGTGTACGGGAGCTTGACTGGCGGAAGTGGGCTCATGTGGTTGGTGAGGGCCTCTGGAACGTATGGTATATATCCTTTGTCTCGTTGCAGGACCTATGCTTATTAGACATCCATTTTCACAGCTCATAGAAAAGCTACTTACGGCTCGTAGACGATCATCACAGTCAAACGATCTCTTCTCGTCATCCTCTTGTAACCCCATTGCTTTTATATAGTCCCAAACGCCCATTGTAGCCTCCGCGCGCGTAGCTTCGTTCGTGTCCAAGATATCGGCAAGTTGAGGGCTCAGTAGAAACCTCTCAGGATTCTCGTCCCGAACGAGGTTAATGGTGATATTAATGTTTTCATCACCACCACGTTTGAATTCTAATTGATCAAAGTCCGCCGCATTTGGAAGGTTGGCGGCATTGGCCGCAACAACTGGCTTCTTCCACTCCACACTCTGTTCCGCGCCGTCCTTGGTCTTGCTGCGCTCAAAGTCGACGGTCATCGCCTTGAAGAAATGAGAGAATCTGTATTGCTTCGCAGGAGGTTTTCTCTTTTTCTTTTCCTTTCCATCCTGATCCATGGCATCGCCGTCTGCTGCTTCGCTCTCATCGTCACTGTCGTCACTATCTAGGTCGTCCTCATCTTCATCTAGCAATCTTCCTTCAATCTTCACCCGGTATGAGGAGTCCATGTTTGTGCTGAAGTCGAAGGCATCTACATCGAGAGAATCGGCTTGCCAGGGTTGATCTTCCACAGTGTTGCTTATCCATACCCGTAATGTCCTGTAACGCTGGAGAAAAGTCAGTCATGAACCGTGACCTTGAGAACACTCGGCAACAACCTTCACATTTCGATTGACGGCATCTGCGATATCCAGTCTCTTTCGCATCATTGTGGCATCTAAGCGCCGCTCAAGATCCCTAAGGTCTTTGTATCGTTGAACCCCATCTCCGATAATGCACTCCTCAACGCCGTCTGGGATATTCTTGTCGGTCGGTTTACGACTGCGAAGCTTTGCGCGATCACTCGCCTGCGCCTGGGCGGCCTGTTGTTGAGCCTGCATTTGCGCCGGCGTCAATGGGTTCTGAGGATGTGATCCGGAGATCATGGGGCCTACAGAACAGGAACGATGGTCAGCATCGGTAGGTAGGCAAGTGGACTGGTAGCGCGGGACTGAGGCTGAACCTCGCCGGCGCAATTGATTTCGGTTTGAGTTGCACGTACCAATTCCTCTCCTAGTCGCGGCGGCATGAGGAGACCGCTGCGGCGGCGCCTGTTGGGGGAAGGGGCGATATGAAGGCTGCATTTTGCTGGCTTGACTTGACTCGTTGATGCAACTGTCGGAAAAAGATGTCTTCGATCACACGGAATCACTATCTCATGATCCTGAACTCGCGCAGTCCCGCTGGGTAGTACAGTATAGGTCCAGATCCGTCGCGTTCGCATTGACGCGAGAGAGCAGTGAGGATTCCTACTGAATATATTCTAACCTGTTATGGACTAGTGGCATTGCCCCCCTTTTCATAGCCTGTCAGCCGCTTTGGTCAAGACTCGGAGGGACATATCATATGGATTACCACAGCCGAAACTTGTATCAAAATGGGGTTGGCTAGCATTTTCAAATGCAATTGACCCGCCATGCTACTTCTGCTTTCCAACGCTTTGATATGCAACAAACGCCTGTCCTCATTACAATGATCGCTACTTTATCCTTCTCAATCCCTGATGCCCCAGTAACTCCTGCTGTACAACCCCCCAATCTCACTTCATATTCAGCAGAGCCCATATGTTTCTACCTATCACCTAACCATGAGACTAGCTACCGCGATTGCGATGTCAGGAGAGCTGGCTTCTGCGTTGGCTCGACTGGTGTGGGAGGCATGTTCTTGATTTGCTTGATCAAAAACTCCCTCTCGTCAATGAATTGCTCGTCCTCGGTACGGTCCTCCAGAAAATGTTTCAAAAATTTGAGGAGTCGTTCTCGATTTATGAGTAGTATCTTCTGCACCGCGATGGATTTGTGAGGATTCGCGACAAAGACCTTGAATACATGAAATCCTTCATACTGCACCATCTTCCTCTCGTCGCGAAGAAGATTCATACAGATCTTCAAATGTTCTCCGCGGTCGACATAGGCTGTCATTACAGCATAGTTTGCTCGGTCTAGCAGAATCTCGCCTAGCAACTTTATGGACTGCCGTTTTGTGACATAGCTTTCTGACTTGACGAGTATATTGTTGTATTTGTCGAAGAAGAGGTCAAAGTTTGTGCATAGATACTGTGCAACAACTTGCTTGTGTCTTGTAAGAAGCTCCTACACTCAAGTCAGTGTGTTTGCTTTCTAAAGGGATATTTCAACTTGCTCTAAAAGTCGTGAAAGCATCTGCCCCAACTTCGAACGACCCCTGGTCGATCCAGTTGAAGAATTTCCAAAACACCCCCTTTCCACTCTGTTTTACCTCCGGTTGTATGCCGGAAAGGCCCTTTGCGCTGGGACCTGCCTCGCTTGGGTCGTGATACAATATGATGGCGGCAGCCGCATCGCTCTTCAGAACTTCCCGTAGGACAGTTCCAGCAGGTGTGGCACTCTCCTTATGATCATAGCCATTGCATAACTCCACAAGAACTTCCGGCCTGTTATTGATGACATAGCTGAGAGCGATGGGCTGGCTATGTGGCGATGCTGTTGGTGGCCGAAACCGTAGAACGTAGGAGAATATGACCTGTGCGTCTTTCCTTGATTCAAATGGTAGGCGGTATAAGCTCGTTGCAAGATGATACAGGAGATCTTCTTGGATCATTCCGGTCACCAGTGAGTAGACCTGTTCTGGACTGCTTTCGGTTTCTAACGATTGGGATTAGCTGAGGATCGAAGTACATCTTGGAGACGGTCAAAGCTTACCTTGGGTTCCTTGCAGGACAAATTTCATTTGGCCTAGTGTTTTCGCAAGCTCCTCAGCCTATTTCTAGATCAGCAACTATATCTCCCCTCTCCCAAGTGGACCGCAGGTTGCGCACCTTTGCGGCTCCTCCAGGACCGTCCAGTTTGGAAAGCTGCTCCTTTGCCTGTTTTGGCAGATCCACGGTATTCGTCCGCGGACGCCGTCCAAAAAGAAATGACATTTTTTGAGAGGGGGTTTAGCTATGGTCTCAAGCCTGACTGTCTGGGGCTGCGGTGCAAGTAGGAGTTGAAGGATCGATTAGGATTCCACAATGAGCGAGATCGGGCATGAACTTGAACGCGATCATGAATAATAGCATCATATGCAGAAGCTGCTTTGTTCTACAGCTCGCATAGGAACGGCAGAGGTTGAAGCAGTGAAGATGAGTGTGTCGTTGTAAAGCAATGTCGTCGTTGGCTCTTCCTATCAATAAGGAGGTACCTGGGATAAGGTAAGGTACATAGAGTCAGGCAATGTTTTGGTCCCCGCAGCACAGGCGATCTCGCGACCCCTCGGCCGCCCCTTTGCTCGCACGGCAACCGCAATAGATTACTTTTCTCTCCCACCAAGACGGGATGAATGTGGTCAAACCAAATTCAGGAGACAGAGCCCTTATGGTCCTTTTCGATCATTCTAGCTGCCTTGCTCCTCTGGCTGCCCAGCGCCCCTCTGTCGTCTGTCTGTACGGGACGGGTGCAATAAAGTAAGTAATTTCTTTCTTATCACCACGTGACTGCAGTTTATTTGTGGCTATTTCTGTCATTGCTAGTCCCAGTACAGTAATTCGCTTACCAAAGGCCTCCCACATCGCGTTATTCGCTCTACAATGCGTGTTGGCGAGTGAAAATCCACACGTCGTCTTTTCTTTTCCTCACTCCATAAGAAAGGAGCGTGTTCAGTATCTCACACTCTACAGAGTGCAGTACTGGCTCAGGCTCAGGGGAAGACCGGCTTCTCAAGGACTTACTCGGCCGTTGTGGAATACACTTCTGCCGCCGAGATGTCGTCTCCTATTCCCGTCGTCGAAAAGTATGCGCCCTCGGCCTCGGGGAGTTCTGAAGCCTCTGATATCCTTGACCTGAAAGACGATGAAGGTTGGGAAGACGCAGAGCCAGATGAGGAAGAGGAACACTATATCTCTTTATTGGACGATGAAGTCTTCACGGACGTCACGTCGATGCTCAACCATTGCATAGAGAAATACAATTTCGATTTCCTTAAGCTCAGGCAAAGAGTGGCGTTCAATTTTTATGACAATGTCAAGCTTGTCAACTTCATTCGTTCCCAGGTCCACAGTGGTCACCCCGTCTCAGCAGACATCTCAAGGGAGGACTTTGCAGATGACAAGTTCTTAAAGCCAGTTTTGGAGGATGATGCATTGCTTATCAGCCTTGATGATCTTGATGAACTTCCCGGGAGCCAAGCCAACGTTCATGAAACCACAGCAGAGCCAGTAAAGGGCGAGCTTGTATCTCGCATTTCGGAACTCGAAGAAGAGCTGAGGCGCATCCAATCCCAATTTGATGACTATAGGGAGACGGTCAAGCAGACTTTGGATGACAGATGGAACGAGACGTCAACGAGTGGGCCATCTGAATCCAAAGGTCCAAAGAAGGAGGAAAAGAGAGACGATGATAGTCATTACTTCAACTCTTATTCATACAACGGTCAGTCCTGCCTCAAAATTCTATTAGTATACTTCTAATACAGTTAGACATCCATGAAACCATGCTAAAGGATACTGTTCGTACTGATGCTTACCGTGATTTCATCTACAACCACAAGTCACTGTTCGCCGGAAAAGTTGTACTTGACGTTGGGTGTGGCACTGGCATATTAAGCATGTTCTGTGCTAAAGCTGGCGCTGCAAAGGTCATTGCCGTCGATAACTCGGGCATTATTGATAAAGCTCGCGAAAATGTGTTCAATAATGGATTTGCGGATACCATCACCTGCCTCAGGGGAAAAATTGAGGAAGTCGCCCTTCCGGTTGACAAGGTTGACATCATTGTCAGCGAGTGGATGGGTTACTGTTTGTTGTATGAAGCTATGCTGGACAGTGTCATCTGGGCCCGAGACAAGTACCTCAAAGAAGATGGCCTAATGGTACCAAGTCACATGAACATGTGGGTTGCACCTATCGCAGATCCGGATTATATTGCAGACCATATCTCATTCTGGAGAGACGTCTATGGATTTGACATGAAGGCCATGCAAGCAGGCATCCACGACGATGCCCAGGTTCTTGATATGCCCGCCAGCACCTTGTGTGCAGAGCCATTTCCCTTCCTGCAATTGAGTTTGCATTCAACAACTGTCAAGGATCTTGTTTTCAAGCGGAACTGGCATGCAAAACTTACTCAAGATATCGATGCTCTTGATGGTTTCATTATCTGGTTTGATTCTTTCTTCATGCCATCACGGGGGGATGAGGTACCACAGGACGCGAAGGCCGAGGAGTGGGCCAAGGCTGGGAAGAAAGGGGTTGCCTTTACAACTGGGCCAAAGGCAAAAGTTACGCATTGGAAGCAGGGCGTTCTCCTCATCGATAACACAAAGCAAATGCCCTCGAGCAAGAAAGCAGGAGAGGAGCTAAGTGGCGAGCTCGAGTACTCTATTCCAGATGACAATTCTCGTGCCCTGAATCTGGGCGTGAAGTGGAAGTTCAATGCGGAGGAAGTTGAGCATTCACAGTCGTGGAAGATGAGCTGAAGACAGAAAAATGATGCTTGCTAGAATCAAAAGTTATGTTGTAGCATCAAGTTTTCGCTCAAGTAACTAAGTTCACACGAACTGTGTTCATTCATTAGATGCTCATTCATGGGGTCGTCGCCAGTGCTGTTGTTGAAGCTGCCCATTCGTAAACCCATTGCGCCATTACTCCTTGCTCGAAGGCTCCCCCTTGACAGCAAGGACTGCATTTTTCTGGCCTTCTTCGTTTTCCCTTTTGAGAAAACTAACAATATGTTCAGGGACCTAGGTTGCAACATTAGCCTTGTCAAGTTTTGCAGCGCCTACGACTCAGTTCAAACTTCACAGACCTTCGCGACCCGATTTTCCGGGCTCGGTACTGGCTGCCCAAAGGTAGTCCAGGTTGGGATGACACCGATCCAAGTCTTGGCCCTCAGTTCATCGTTCTTCAAATCGGCCCTGTCATCTCCAGGAGGCCCGGCTCTGACTTTGGCGGACGCATCGATGATTCTGACTTTTAGAATCTGTGTGCTTGTCATTTCTGTCTTGGTGGGAGGCACGCGTGTGTTGGCCCAACGATCGTCGACTACGCTATTTGTAATTTTCTCCATTGCCCAGATCTTTTCCTCCGCGTCAGTAACCGGTGTGGCGAAGCCGTGCAGGATTGCGGAGCGATAGTTGTAACTGTGATGGTTGGGCGTCAGGGCCAGAACTAGGCCGTCAAGATGCGTGGCTGCTACGGTTAGTGGCAGACCTTCTTCCCCGGTTGGAGAGCTATTGCCAAGACGCATGAGTCGAGACGAGATGTAACCATGGAGGTAGAGATCTAGTGACTCTGATAGAGAGGCAGATGGGTTGGAGAACGAGGCCATGAAGCCAAGCATAGGTATCATAGCCGGGAAGGGATCCGCTTCCTCTGGGGTGGGGAAGCTGACATGAAGGACAGGTACGCTATTGACTATGGAGTTGACAGTTTCGTAATCGTATTTACCTGAGCAGGATATTAGTGAGGGTTCCCAAGGCTTGCAAGGAGCTTGAATCCTTACCACGTCCTTTGTAACGATTGATGGTGTTGCGTGAGAGTTTGGGGTACTCAGAGCCAGCCATTGCGGAGGTGGGGGTGTATGAAGCTTGATTTTCAAGTCAAGTCGATGAACCTGTGATAACGATGCCTCACGTTATGGCAAGGTAAGATAGAACCAGGTGTCCAATGGCTTATATATTGATCCTATATGTTATGAGGCAGAGTGAGTGACTGAGTCACTGTGTTGTATTTTCTAGGTAGGTACCTGATCGTTTTGATAACTGTCATAGGGTGGGTGTACTGTACGCATGATAATCGTTGGCTCGCTTATCGCTGGCCTTCAACATCGCTACTCCCCGAGGTATGTATTTCCCAGGAATTCGAATTTAGAGACTCCAGATCCATATCCAGTGCTCTAAGTGCTTTATCTACTTATATACTGGGTTTGTACCTACCTTAGGCAAGAATCCAAGGCGGGAACATAACTAATTTCGCGCCGGTCCAGCACGTCCATCTGGATCTTGCTCTGGCTCAGGTACCTATAGTACCTAGGTAAGCGTATACTTCCTTACGTATCTGGCCTGACATCAACCAGGCTTTCGCAAATCTGGTTCTTGAGAAATTTCGTCAATATGACTGGCAGCACCAGAATTTGTGAGGCCTTCCGCTGCTAGTGCGCCGCCGCTCAAATTACTGAGTAAAGTAAGCTAGGTAGTAGTATCTTTGCTGCTAAGCGCTCAGTGAGCCGGCAGTACAGATGGATGGAATACTCTTAGCTTCTCAATAAAAGAACATTTTGGCCATACATATGCCACCTTCTCTCCTGCTCTAGCTTGCCAGAAGCTAGTGCTTCTATAATTTCCCAAAGTTTCTTCGGCATGTAGCTTTATCCAGATGTAGGCTTGTCCCAGAATGGTCACCAAGCATTGGTTCCGCCGTCTAAGGTATTAAAGTATGGCAGTCCAAACCCTCATCGTTACCTTACTAAGTTGAGTCGCTACCGCTGTAGCTGAAACCAACGCTTAATTCTCTCAAAACTCAACTCCAGACAGATCTGCCCTCCTAGTATTCTCTTCGTGAAGGACGCAACACATATCGACACCCTTTTCAAACGGATAGCCACGCACAAGATAGCCGATAGCACTTCTAAAATGGCTTCTGATAAGTCTCTCGGCCATGTCGACTTTGACGACAGCTCTTCGGATTCAAGTTACGAATCTTACGATACGGGAGATTCTGACTGTCCGGATACTAAGGAAACCGTTGCAAAAGCCAAGGGAAAGCACCATCGAATAGAACAATTATCGACTGAGGGCCTCGAAACTGGTAGCTTCGATAACTTGTCCAGTGAATCACTTGGTGAAGGTTTTATACCAGGAGATGATTCGGAGATTGGAGGAACATCTACTGACCCAACGGGATCAAACGCTGTTGACAGGGCGGAAACCCAGAAGAAGTGGCTACAAGAAGCGCAGATGAATATGGGCGACAGCGACAGCGACGTTGAGTCAGTCATCAGCGTCGATTCCAGCCTTGACGCCGATCGTTTCATAAATAATTTGAACGTTAAGCCGATCCCGGAAAAAAACCTGCGAGACGAAGGATTTGAGGATGTCAAAGTGGCTTTGGAAGTCGATAAGCTGCGGGATGAATTTCAAGGCTATACGGAGGCGATGCTTCATCTTCTCGAGATCTTGAGTTTGGGTGGTTTGGATGAGAGTATTAACGAGAGTCGAATGATCAATGCCATGCAGCCATGCTCCGAGAAAGATCGAGAAAGATCGCAGCACTGTTTGGAGATGATATCCTGTCTCTGAATACCGAGATAAAGTCTCTAAAGGAGGATGTCGCTAATGAGAAAGCTCTAGTCCAGTCATACAGGTATAAATTGTCTGTCTCCATGTTAGATCAAAAGGCAATGGAGCAAAAAGCTAAAGAGTCGTTGTCCAAGTTGGAGGATGCAGAGAAAAAGTACAAACAGGCCAAGGATATCTTTGAAGAGTTGGAAGTATCCTGCAAGGAACAGATTGTTGCTCTCAAGCTTCAATGCGATCAAAGCTTGCAGGATTCCAAAACTGAAACCAAAGCTGCCCAGGCAAAGTTGGACAAGGCCAATCTGCATAAAGGTGAAACAATCCGGATAGAGAATTTCCACGCACCTGAAATCTCTAAGAAGGACCAAGAGATCCAGACGCTGAAGGAACTGTTCAGAGATCTTGAATGTGATCTTTCCAAACTGATACAAGAAGAGCACGATATGGTTTCAGCCCGTACAAGGAATCCCCAGCAGCGAATCGAGCACGATATGACTAAGACCAACCTCTACGAGAAACTCAAAGTTTGCAAGGAAAGAAATATGGAACCAGTCGACGAGATCCAACGGCATGATGCCTTGAGGAGAAATATAACTCATCTCTTCGATGAAGTTAGATTTTGCAGGGAGGAGAACCTGAAGCTCAGGAACGATGTTTCATACCAAGTTGCGGCTTTTCATGAAGCCATCGCCAAGTTTGAGTCTGATATCAGTGATATGAACGACAGAGCGATGAATACAGTGAAGGGGAAAAGAGCAGTAAGCACCAAAAATTTCCGGTCAAAAATTCCACGGCCGACTAGCTCATCTTCCAACTACAAGGCCTCTTTAGATTGAAGCTTTTGAGGCAGACCTGAACAGGTGGGAGGGCTACTATGTGGGTGAACTTTGAGGTGGCAGAAATGGGACCTGCGGGATACCGAGAAAGGGTCCGGAAATACAAGATTCAGAGAGAGAATGGCAGGTATGTCTCTTACGAAGATGCAGTACTTGGCGAGGCTGACATCCGTTAATAGGCAGAGATACCCAAGAATGGGATGTGAGGTTCATTGTCTTATTACAGTTTATCGCAAAGCTTTGTGGGTACTTTAGCTTGGTTCAGCATCACCATCCGAGTATCCATATTGACTGTCTGACATGCAGGATGTTTACCTACTGCTTCCTAGCAAAGCAACTCAGCTGAGAATTCTGTAACACATCTAGGTAGGCAGAACAGTTGCCAGAGAGAATCCAACTCACATGCTTGTTCGACCAATCTTTGTAATTACTGCTGGCTGTTCTTTCCGCAAATCTAATCCCTTCTACTTTTACTCCAGATGCCGCATCTCGGCAAGCCAGAGTATAAGAGGTATCATACTATCATCTCATCGGTTCCCCTATTCTTTTTGTATACCTATAGAGATATTGACATTAGATTCATAGACGCGAAGCACTTTCCAGCCTCTACAGATCCATCGATATCGGCCAGAATGGCTTTTGGCCCCTTGGGCTTGCTATCCTTCATAGGAAAATTAATACCTTAGCAAGCAAAATCCTGAACTGTATTGTCCATCAACTGCATCATCGACCGCATTATGCTCAATATCCACGCCAGGGATACTACGAGACCCCCGAACCTTCTATTAGGGGGACATCGTGACAGATTCGACACTTGTCTTGGAGAAGGGGAGGGGTAAGGGAAAGAGCATAGAAAGAATGAGAAGGGTGTGGTCTTTGAGTTGATAGCCTTTTGATCATTGTTTTGTCTCATTATAGATGCAAGAATAGTCCTCGAACCTTCAATTTGCCTAATAATGCTAGGGGGAGGTCAACGAAGACCAATCAGTTATCGAAGCGATGTGTACTGTACGTTGTGACCAATCATGTTTGCCTAAGGTATCTATCGCTAGATGAAATGCTTCCCGTGACTCCGACCCCGACCCCCGACCTCGACCGCGAAACAAGATCAGATCTGCCGACTTGACTCTATTGTCTTGGACTCGCAGTCATCAGAGCACTTCTACCTCACCTGCCCTCCGCCCACGCGACCGACCTCGAAGTACTTCCTTAGTCTTGTCAATACACCGTTCCCAGCTTGGAAAGTGGGAGACTATATTGCCACCTCGGCACCATGAGTAGTAGTGAAATCGCGGCTTTTGAGAATGAAGTGAAGGAGTACAAGCTCCAGGTCTGCATACAATTCCCTCTCTCCCTCTATTATGCCGTTTACTGACTTCCGCATAGTTGGAGACAGTCCAGCTGGGCCTCCAAGCAGATCCGGATAACGCAGAGCTTCAGGAATTAAAGACTGAACTCGAAGAAGTCATTTCCCTCACCGAAGCTACGATCGCAGAACTAAAGCCATCTTCAGTACCAGTAGCCGCTCCGAAATCAGAGCCACCGGTGAAGGAGAAATGGTCGCGAGAAAATCATCCCGCCTTTAAGAAGACGGCCCCTGCGCCAAGCCCTGCGGACGAGCCAGATACGCCTACGAGCTTTCAAGTCAATGATACAGTTTTGGCGAAATGGCACTCCGGCGACAAGGGCTTCTACCCGGCACGAATTACCTCAATTACTGGATCATCTACGGCTCCCGTATATATTGTCAAATTCAAGAATTACGACACTACCGAGACTTTACGAGCCAAGGATATCAAACCCATTGTCAACCCTAACAAACGCAAGGCTGATGGAACCCCAGTCGTAGCTTCGATACCCACTCCCCCTGTCAACACGAATGTTATCTCTGCAGCCGCAGATATCAATCCAGATCTTGCGCAGAAGACAAAGCGTGAGCCAAGTAAGGTCAGTGATGGTCCTGTTCGACCTGCCAAGGTTCCCAAGAAGATCAAGGCAAACAAGGAATTGGAAGCTGGCAAAAGTAAATGGCAGGACTTCGCTTCGAAGGGGAAGTTTGGGAAGGCTGCGAAGAAAGAGAGTATGTTCCGTACACCAGAAGGTGTCAACGGCAGGGGTAAGTAGAGTCATGCCCTGATGAATATACCATTTGCTAATAAAAGTGCAGTTGGATTTACTGGCTCCGGCCAAACTATGCGGAAGGACCCGGCACGGAGTCGGCATATATACCAGACAACTGGTGACGATGATTTTTAGTAGAGAATGGGTTTGGATTGGGAATGGACAGAGCGGTTCTCTGCAAGTATCAGGCGTTGAGGATGGAGTCCCCTTTGTCGTTGCTCTTTTGACCAGTGTTTTATGGAGGCTAACATGGGTTCGTCATTCACCACTAGTACTAGTATCAGAGATGGACGGCATTAGAGAAATGAATGTGCTCCCAGAATCCATCCCGCTGATATGTGAGTTCAAAGCTAAACCATAATGTTCTGTAGGAATGCCTCTGTCATGGCTTTTGCAACAGCCGACAGCCATCGAGTATCCTAGTCAAGACAGTCAATGCTGTCTCTCCCTCCATTTTACGCTGCAAAGGGCTTGCCAGCCTTCATCACAGATCGCCTGCGACACAAAATAGTTCCCAAAACGTCGCCAACCTCATTTGGCGAACAATCCCATATCTATCTACACTAATTGTTTATTACTCGTACACATTCCTCGTGATTGAAGTACCTTCATACACTTCTATGCCTGCGAGAAGTTCCTGTTCTCAGAACAACCCAATTTTCCCCCCTACTTCTTCAGCAATCTTCATAAACGCTTTTGCTCTGTCACTCTCCGGCTCACTCACTACGGTCGGCTTGCCCCTATCTGCATCATCGCAGATGCTAGCATGTAATGGTATATCACCAAGGAAATTGATTTCGTGTTGTTTACAAGCTTGAATTACCCCGGAATGGGATCCGAAGATGTGAGTGCTGTTGTGGCAGTGCGGACAAGTAAAAAGGGACATATTCTGTATCATACCCAAAATCGGTGTCTTGATCGTTTTGAACATGTTGACCCCTTTGACTGCATCTTTGAGAGCGATATCCTGTGGCGTCGAGACGATAATTGCACCTATCATCGTAAGGCCCAATCGATTCCACGAAAGAATGGGAGGTTGTCCTTACCATCAAGCACAATCTGCTGTGTGATAGTCAATTGTGTATCTCCCGTTCCTGGAGGTAGATCTAGCACGAGTATATCCAACCCACCCCAATCGACCTCATGTAAAAGTTGCTGCAAGGCCTTCATAACCATAAGCCCACGCCATACCACCGGCGCAGCATCTCCAACCAAATATCCCATGGACATTGATTTCACGCCATAGTTCGAGAGCGGAAGAAGCTGATTGTCTGTTTGGCATCAGACCTGCCCACTAGAAAAGGAGAGGGTTACTACGGACTGGAAGATAGCCGTGGCTCATCTGAGAGATTTAGGAGAGTGGGGATAGAGGGGCCGAAGATGTCAGTATCGAGGATGCCGCTTCGAAGACCGCGCCGGGCGAATGCGAGAGCCAGGTTCGCTTTTGGCAATGAGAATGTTTCTTATGAGGGGCGAAGAGGGTGCGAACCTGCAATTGTAGATTTTCCTACGCCGCCCTTGGCCGAGGATACAGCGATCACTTTCTTGACGTCCTTGATCTTCCGACGCTCAGGTAGACCGCGCTGCATGCGCGGTATGCTCCCGGTCCGCGGCAGACCCTATTGAATATCAATATATCTTCTTCCAGCACAATCCAGGGAATGTGACATACCAAGGGGTTCTCATGCTGCAAACAGCGCAGCGTTGAAAACAGTCGGGGCTTCATCTTTATTTGAAGATGTTTCTGGGAGGGAGCTCTAGTTGAATAGTTGAACACGGCTGCGCCGGCGGCCGCTTGCTCCGCTAGCGTGCCAAGATTTCGTGGGGAGCTCAAAATATTTCGAGAATTTTTGGGATGAGAAGAGAGGGAAGAACGAAAAAAACCGGTTGACGGCGAAATGGCAAAACTAAGAGGTCGCGCGAAGCAATTTGCTGATCTGGATGCTCCTATTGCTAAAGGTATGTTTCAAGCTCAATATATATGGTTTCAATGCACATTACTTATTCATGGCAGAGTTTGATCCGGAGGAAGACGCTCCAGCGCAAGAGAGTGGGAGCGATGAATCTGGAGATAGCGATGATGGGTTAGCAGGCACTGAGCACTATGGCGAAGTCAGGTACGTAATTGATTATCCTCATTTTCGAATTCGTTTTAACATTATACACAGCAAAAGCAAGCTTCGACAAGACGAGGTGGGACCTCAATATGCTGGGTCACGCATCAGTCGAGAGGCCTTATACAACGACGATAACGAGGATAGCTCAGAATCAGACGACGAGGAGGAGGAAGAAGAAAAAGAAGAGAAAGGAGGAGTGGATGTCGGCGAAAAGTTTGCGGATCCGAAAGATGTCGATATTGATATGGACGAAGATGGTGATATTGATAGTGATGCTGCGTTTGGTGAAAGCGATGCGGAAAAATTCAAGGGTTTTACGTTCCGAGGGAGCTCCAAGCCTAATACCAATGGTGCTAAAAGGAGAAGGCCGACAGCCGCGGATTTTATGACAGACAGTGACGATGAAGGAGTCGCTGTCAATGGAGAAGAACCCGAAGATGAGACAGATGAAGATATTCTGGATGTCGACGAGCAACATCCTGAGGAGCCAGAAGATGAGAGTGAGGGTTCTGCAGAAGAAGGCAGTGATAAGGATGGGGAATCTCCACCAAGCGAAGGTGACGAGAGCGATAAGAGTGACGAGAAGGATGAGAATGATGAGAGCGATGAAGAGTCTGAAAGTGGTAGCGAAGATGGGGACGATGAGAAAGCAAGACGTGCAGAACTACGGGAGATCATGAATGAGGAGGAAACTACAGTTGCCGCCATTTTACAAGCTGCATCGGCTGATGCGGCCAAGGGAAATGCGGTCCGGCAGCAAAGGAAGACTTTCGATTCCCTCCTGAATGTCCGTGTCGTTCTTCAGAAGGCACTGATTTCAACAAACTCGATGGCCGCCATTGAAGACAACAATGCAGAAGACGCTGGCAACGAACCATACGAAGCGGCAGAGGATGCGGCACTTAAATTGTGGAATACTCTGGATCGGATTCGACACGAGCTCATCAAAGCAAATGGCACTGCGCAAACAGGTCAGAAACGTAAACGTGATATTGATAGCTCGACGCCATCATCTACCATCTGGGAAAGGATGCAGGACTCGGAGGTAGCATCTATCGACAACCGACAAAGGATCCTCGAAAAGTGGTGGGGTAAAGTTAAAGGCTCCACGCCAGCAACGGGAAAGCTCATCAGTGCTGCGCCGACACAGAGCATCACAGCCGCTATCCAAGACCAGCTTTCTAAGCCACGGCTATTGGAGAATGTCAGAAGGCCCCGGGCTTGCGCCCCAATACAGGAGAAAAACAAAGTCACCGAAGATCCTCAAATATACGATGACAGTAGTTTCTACAAGCTACTCTTGAACCAGCTTGTAGAACAGAGGAAGATGGAGGCCGGACCCGCGATTGGAGGTACAAGTATAGCACCAGCCCAGTGGGCAGTCAAGGAAGCCAAGATGAGGAAGAAGGTCGACACGAAAGCTAGCAAGGGTCGCAAGATACGATATACGGTGCACGAAAAGTTGCAAAACTTCATGGCACCCGAGAACAGGGGAACTTGGGAACAGGAGGCTATTGATAGATTCTTTGGGACGCTATTGGGACAGAAAATGACGCTTGGGGAGGAAGATATGGAGATTGATGGTGAAGAGGATGGTGTTTCACCTGAGGAGGCGGGGCTGAGACTATTCAGGTCCTAGGTAATTGCCACAAATTAAAATTATGCTTGATTAGTATCCGAGCAGTGGTCGAGGGCGTCTTGGGCGAACCGGTCTTATTTATGAGTTATTAACCAATTCTATCTTGATATCAGGACCTTTACTTTCCACAACAAGATTATCTCCTCAATTGGGTAGAAATACTCTTGCGATTCTCCAACGCTGGACTATTCTCTCTGATAATATAGATCCCAGACTCAAATTCGACCTCAGCTATTATTCAAAAAGGCCTGACCCATTCGCGCCATCAAAGCCAGTAAGAACCCCATTATAATGCCCACGAGCAAAGCCTCCCTCTGGGCCAAAATCCGTTTCGCCCGCGCTTTCATATCCCCGAACCACAATCTCTCGCCGCTTTCCCTCCTCGCAGATCTCATCCCGTTCAGGCCATCTAAACTATGTGAATTCCACTCCATTTGATAGGACATCAACTCATTCTTCTCGACCTTATTCGAAGCCCAATGTCCCAAGGTGTCACGGTCTTCGAAGGCCGTTTCCGGGTTCTTCTCTGGGTCTTCGGGAGTGTTACGGGAGAGGCGCGGTACGCCATATCCACAACTTGTTTGGACCTTTCGCAGTCCCGTTAGTACAAGTTCACACGATAGATAGATAGCGGGATTTGGGGGGGGGGGGATGTTCTACCTTGAAGACGTCCAACTTAATCACAGCTCTCGCACCATCAATCCGCTTCTTGCCCATCTTCGCAAGAAGGACCTCGAACTCTGGCTGATCCCATTCCACGACGCTTCCCTTGCAGAAGAACCTCATGATCCTGGGCGTGGCGCCGAAACTGCAGAACATGATTGTCACGCGGCCATTCTCGTAGACGTGAGCTATGGTCTCGGACCCGGACCCCGTGGCATCGACGTAGGCCGCGGAATTGGGCGAGAAGATGGTGAATGTGGACGAGGGGAGGCCTTTGGGCGATATGTTGACATGCTTGCCGGTTAGAGGCGCTGAGGCCGTGAAGAAGACGGGTTGCTTCAGCGCCCAGGCGGCAAGGTCATCTGAGATGGAATCGTAGAACTTGGGCATCCTGATGCGTCGTCCCCTTGGATGGATAATTCAATCCGGTCGGAACATATTCGAAAGAAGTGAGGGTGAAGATAGATACTCTCCCCACAGTGAGTCACGGAAGATTGATTGCTCTGGGGATGGAAACCCTGGACCTGGGGATACGATAAGGCGCGCCCTGACTAGCGAATCAATCCGCCACCAATAGTGGGGTAACAATGGTGGGGGATCATATTCTTGAAAGGGAAAGGATCGTCACAGTTCTCGCTATGGCTCTTGTGGCCTGTCATATAAGGCATTCATGTTCACAAGGGGTATGGATGGTATAGACCATCATTTGGATAATGGCCGGAGGATGAAGAAGTCGGGAAGGTCGGCGCAGCTGAGTAGGCCACTGCTGCTGGAGCATATGTTGGCATTGTTGGTGCTGTGGCGTAGGATACTGATAACCGTCGTGCTGGAATTGGAGAGAACGGATTCGGATCTGAGTTGTACGACGGAGGAGGCCTTCGTTCACCATGGCTGGCCAGAGAAGCCTCATCCTCACGACGGCGTTGGCGAATATCAGTCCCGTCCCGTGCTGGAGGTGTGGTTCTCCTATCAGTCCGGGCACTAGAGGAAGCAACAGCAGCAGAAGTGCGTGAGGATGTTGCTTCTCGTCTGGAGCGGTCCTTGGATTTCCTCTCCTCGAGCTCATCCATCAAGAAGTCAACCCTTGTCATCAACTCCACCTTCTCCCTCTTCAGTAGTCGATTCTCTTTGTTGCTCTCGGTGAGTAGGGCATCCAGTTTCACCTTGCTCGCTTCAAGCTGTCTTATGGTCTTATTTGCGGCACTAAGTGCTTCTTGGACGGCTCTCAAGTCGTGTCTCTGGTCCTCCAGCTGCTGTCGACTGTATGGGGGGTCGTCACCTCGTGCTGACCCAAGAGATGCTCGGTCACTGATGCTGCTGCTGCCAACACCCGAGTCTCTGCTGCTGCGATGGCCATGTGAAGATTTGCCTTCTTTGGTGTCATGCTCATAATGGACCCTCTTCTGTTTCGAGGAAGACATGATGATGGGATGAATACAAGCACGATGCTGCGCTACAGTATGTTTCCTGACGTCACGCTGAGATGGCACTACCAATGGACGATGGGTCGATAGGATGTCTGGATGGGCAGGTGGAATGCTTGAATGATTGGGGTTCAAGATGGTACAGTGGCTGGGCTGAGGGATAAGGCTGGTGGTATATATAAAAAAAGGGTCAAGAGGCAGGACCAAGACGAACAATAAATAAAGCAAGATAACGGAGGATTGATAACTGGAAACGGCTGCCTACGCCGACATGATTCATTGTATTTGTATTCTGCTCTGAGCAAAGGGGCATGCAAGAATGAGAGCGCATACCGCACACCACCTCAATACCTGACAACCTCGCGACCTCCCCTCATTCGTCCAGAGACAGACGCCGTCATTGCCCAAGCACATACCGAGTAAGGAAAACATTAATGTGACGTAGATTCAAGGTGCAAAGCCCCTACAAAACCAACAGAAACAAAAGGACAGCAACGTCGAGAAGGTGCCAGAAGAGTCATCGAGCAGACGCGTTGATTATTGGGTCGCGGTGGTTCGCGTTCATGCACTCGGTTGTCTCCAGCCTACCAGAGCAGACTGCACAGCCTGGCTGCCTTGTGAAATTGATGATCATGTGGGTGTCGCTGTGCCAAGAGGCGTAGCAAATGCGCCAGAGGAAGAGCCTCCTCCTCTCCTCCCCTCGTGTTCCTCTTCATCCCGACACAGCTGGACCGAAGATAAAGATGTGTTGTCTTTGCCGAGAATCCCAGGATTCTATTTGGCTGTAAGTTGTAAAGCCTGCAACCCTGCATGCAGCTCGTGACTCACGTGCAGAATAATCACGGGATCTTCAGCCACTGGATATTTCATGCATGTGGAATCCCGTTTGGAAATCCAACGACCTGAAGTACCTATGTACAAATCTTCACGTGGATCCGAGGGCCGTTGCTAAGCCAAGATTCCTCGTCCTTATCGATTCCTGTATTTGCAGGGTGCCTACACAGCATTCAGGCTTCAGCTACTCAGATATATCGGTATGGTGTTGTTGCCTATGCGGCTTGAGACTTCCGAGACTCGTGCCTATCTTAGACCGGATTTGTGACCTGCTCGGTGCTTATCTGGTTCTGGGAAAAGGGGTATTGCTATGTGAAGCCTGGCCAAGACCATGTCAGCCAAAGCCCAAGTACTCTGGAAGGATACTTTCTTACCCATAATCAGGGTCGACCTCATTGAAGGTTTCTTCTCAATCAATAGATAATAGCCCATCATGTGACGGAACGTCGACGACACAAGAGTACGCTACCTCTCGAAGTGGGCGCTTTATCTTCCCCCGCACTCTTGCGGATGAATAGAGTGTGTTTCAGTCGAATCTGTATCCCAGACGCCTCAGGTGCTCTTTCAGATCAGAAATCAACTGAGTCTTCCCCTCGAGCCTTATGGCATCTAACCGCCTCCGCTCTTTTAGTTCGAGGATCGTCTGGGACTTCTCCACGAGCTTCAAGGTATCCAACCGCTTCAGCTCCTCTGCTTCCTGCATCTGTCTCTTGAGAATCTCTAGCTCTCTGGCCTTCTCTTCGTATCTTTGCCGATAGCCCTCGAGACTAGTCCTCTTCAACAGACGGACTTTCTCCTCCAATGCCTCCTTTTCATGCTTTTCAGCTTCAATCAACCCCTCAAGCCTTCTGTTTTCGCCCGTCTGGATCTGGAGTTGCGCCCGAAGATCTCTGCACTGACAATGGTCGTTAACCAAGTCCTGGTGCCTAGCGAACAGACGGTGGTACTCGTTGCGGGTGTTACATTCGTTCACTTGTGCCCAGTTGAGTTGTGCTTGGAGATCCTGGTTTCTAGCAATGAGATGCTGTTCCCGTTTTTCGGCTTCATCGAGGAGCTCGCGGGAGCTCTGTCGGGTCCGGGACGATGAGCGCCGGTGGTTTGTGAGGACCACGCGTTCACGTCCATGGCGATCCCGCTCGATGTGGGCGGTTCTGTTAGCCATCGGACTCGGAACGTTCCCTATGATGTATGTGTGCTGGTATTGTTGAGGGGGAAGACCAATGACCAACAAGTCCGTATGAGTACTTGATGATCTTAAAATGATAGTATGATGAAGATGATGATTGGAAAAGTTATTTGCAAGTAAGTTGCGCAGAATTGGATGAGAGGGACAGAGAGACGACAGATGGCTTCTTATTCATGGAGGATATAGGTATCGTTGCCTACCCATGTAGGGGTATACCTCCAAAGAGAAGCCCCCTTCGTACCACATGATGCGAGAACTTGGAGGGGTCAAAGGTAATTCTCTTCAATGGGCAGGCTGTAAGGCTGTCTTTCGTATGAGACAAAGAAATGAATCCGCCTTCCCATACTCGTCAAAGCCAACATTGTGGCAATATTCCATATCGAGCAGGGCCAATTGGAAGACCTGAGGTTGAAACATCCCCAAGGAATGGAATGAACAAAGAACCCGTTGCCATAGTTGCCATAGCCTCTTTGTCTGGGGTTCGAGCCTTGTCGTGAGAATTCCCGCCTGATTTTATTTATATTGTACAGACCGTACTACCTAGTGCTTAAAAAACATAAAGGTATTGACAGATTCCACGGCTTCATGAATCAATGGAATCCATAGGCTTGTCGGAAGGACACTTCTCCACCGAGCAAGCCAGAACAGATGAATACCGAATCCGAGCAGTAGGACGATTCGGTGAGAAGGGCGTCATTGGATCGTACAACTACTGCATAACGATCATTCCCCGAACTAAGTAGTTCTTGGATGCGACGGGGGGTCCACGAATGAGCAGCACAGCCACATCAAAGAGAAAAGAGGAGTGGCTGAAGCTCCGGCCGCATATGGGCCTTCTGGGGGTCAGCACCCTTTCAAGATTGAGTCTCGTGCTTGAAGTGATCACATTTTGCGTGCAGGACTCGGCGGCGGCAATCAAATTGGGGTTGGATGAGCGTGGGGGCGGATAGATCCTCAGGGGAGAATGCAAGGTTGCGTCAAAGCGGGCTTGAAGACATCTCACGATGCCGCGAACGATAGACTTGCCACCGCGGAGCCCAATAATGACGTTGCTGGCATATTCAATGAACTTATACCTGCTAGACGTAAGGTAGATCCTAGGCGTTGAAGGATATGGATTCAAGCACCTGACATATAGCCAGCCGCACGTCTCCTCCTCGACACTTGCGTACAGGTCAACACACGGGACCTTACACTTCAATGCTCAACCCCCGCTTACCCAAGCCGGTGGGCTAGTCAAAAGGATTGGAACTGTCTGAGGACAGTCCCATCCCCCCCCCAAGTCGGATTTTTCTTCTTCACGTTCCTGCCAATGCAGCAACCGCAATGAAAAAAAGATTCTGTCAGACTTCCATCAACACCCACCCAGTTCCTATGGCCGAAGCCGATAGTCAAAGGGTCGAGATCATCGCCACTTCCTATACAGCAAATGCTTACGCATATGCCGCCATCTTTGCAGATGGTGCGGAAGTATAAGGCCTCACTCTTGGGCATTGAGGATCGAATCATCGTCCAGAATGGAGAATCTGTAGCCTTTGTGAGAAGCTCAGAAGAAGACGTTTACTATAGAAATGATTCTATGCTGTAAGAGGGTGATTGTTAGCATGAGTAGCAAGCGGAGTGTGGAATGAGAGAATGTAGGGGGTTGAGAACGTACAAGTAAAATCGCTGAAGAAGAAAAGTAGGTGGGAGAGGCCGAGAGGTTATATACTCCTCGACGGCCACGCTAGCGTGCCTAACCGAGAGGCCCGAGAGAAATTTTCAATGCAAAGCAAGCAAATTATTTTCACGTTCCGCGATACGCGAAGCAAACGGAGCAAATGAAGCAAACTAGAATGCAAACAAACCAATCGTCCCGGGAGGTACAGTAAGGCACTGATGTTGTACGACTGTGAGATATCCGAAGACAATATCCGGCGAATCAGCTTACGATTTCTGAAATTCTGAGGCTCTCATGTACTCTCATTTTTGCACGCATACAGTATCTCTGGAATCTGCAATTTTGTGCATTCTGCTACAATTTGCTCTCAACTACTGCGCTACATTCAAATTGACTGACATCTTAACCTGACCCGAGTTGCCGCATCATCTTGGCAATCTCTGTAACCGCAACCCTCCGCTTCTCAGCAATCTCCTTGACGGTCTCTACTGGTCCTATGGAGCCAATTATGATTTGATCACGGCCATCAACAAGGCCTTGGTATGCTTCGTTCGTGAAGACATCCAGCGGCATACCAATGTTCCGGCCGTGCTCGACTCCCAAGTAGTCGTGCAGCTCCGCTGCGATTTGTTAGCGAGTCCATGCGACTGTCCTGGATCTAGAAGACACTTACTCTGGACTGCTGGAGGTAGAACCTCGATCACTTTGATATTGGTGGTAGCTTGCAACTGCTCACGGAGACAGAGGATGAAAGCGTTCAGCGCTGCTTTGGAAGCAGAGTATGCAGGTACGGGGGCTGCTGGAACAATCGCAAGGTTGGAGGTTGTGCTACTTCGGTAAGAAACAATGCATTTTGCGCCCCTGGCCATTTCACTCACTATATGAGACTTGTTTGGGTCTCCTTGCTCTTTAAGAATGGGATGAAAGCATGCGTAAGGGCTACGAAACTTGTGAAGTTGACATGCATCTCCAAGTTGAACGCTTGGAGATCGACTGTTTCTGGCTCGGAGAATTTGTGGGCACGTTGAAGCCCTGCGTTGAGGAAGATACAATCAACATCAGGATATGATTTCGTGATTCTACAATTCATATCAGTATGGGCATCACATCGGGAGGGATTCCCCCGCAAAAGACAGAGACAGTCTTACTGAGCAGCGAACTCTGGGATCTTGTCCAGATTGCCAATGTCGAAAGCGACAGCGCTGGCCTTGTTCTCGCCGTGTCTTCTCACGAAATCATCCAGCCGATCCTGTCTTCGCCCAACTACTGTGACCTTGACGCCGGACTCAATCAGACGATCTCCCATCGCCTTTCCAATGCCGGCCGTGCCTCCGATTAACACGACATGCTTGTAGGGGAAAGCCATGATTGCTAGAGTTCTCAAGAGGCGGGGTAATTGATCTCGGCCGAAATACAGTGAACTTTCAGTGAGGATATCCGCAAGAGTATTGATTGCTTGAACGCACCGAACTTCAGGTGTCCGGGCAGCACCTATCTTGACAGTTTATATATACACAAGGCAGATTCCGTATCAGGTGATGTACCTAGGAAGGAAAGGAAAACCCACTTCAGTCATCACCTCAGGGTACAGTGGCATGCGATATCCGTCTCGATGCGAGCCAGGAACGGCATAGCGAAATTCTGGCACTTGAGCGCGGGCCAATTGCATGTCATGCACCACAATTCCATGACATGCCGACTACTGCGGTCCCCTCTTGAAATGTCCACTGTTTCCTTTGTCGAGCGTCTAGGGACATAAGTCACATAACTCCGTAAAGTCCACGTGGAACAGTGGGAACTTGGTGGATGATGCACGGCGCCAGTTCTGTAAGCACGGAGGACTAAGGTAAAATACATCAGGTATAAATAGGCTAGCGTCGAGGCGGGTACTAGAGACGGCATCGCGGGGATCAATCGGCACCCCTCCTCGAACTGCTTGTATTGCTCTCTACTGCTCTTTTATTTCTTGACATGTTGAAAGTTCCTCTTGCACTCTAGATAAACAATAAATAATATCCAGTTTACGTAGGTTGTATTTGCCAGTGATTCTAATTTTTTGTAAGCTAGGTACCTACTTAGTTCAACTTACGAATATAAACGCTCGAGTAGGTATCGTGAAGATATTACTCTAAGGGACCGGCGACGAGAGATCATACTTGGATCTAGGGCATGTAGAGAAAATTCAGGGTTTAAGCTTATCATAAAATATACTGGAAGGAGCAATAACAACTTCTTATTATATTGAAAAGACGTCGGAATTATATATATTTTTTTCCTTTTTTTCAAAAGGGGGGTGGGGGGTTGATTTGATTTGATTTGAGTTGATTTCAATTATCGAGATTCTATTCTATATAGGAGTGCTGACGTATTTGAGAATGTGGGTTGTATGTGTATGTGTATGATATAGTATAAAGCGTTCTAAGATCCCTGATCCCTCATCCCTCACACCTTATATCAAATCAAATCCTCTACAGAACGCCAGAAAGCACCCTCCTCAAGACATCTATGTACGTATAAAATATTACAACAGTCTCCGAGCCACAAAATCCAAGGATCCAGCCGCGAATGCATTCATTCGCCCTTCTCATCAAACCCAGTCCAGCGAACTAAACAGATCAAAATCCGATAGCTTCGCTACGTCGTCGGATACCGGATGGGTTTGGGTTTCTCCTACGCGCGGGACAGCGAGCGGCCAGCTCTCGCGCCATCGCCAGAGACTGTCGATGACATGGCTGATGCTCATGCGGCAGCGAGTGCGGAGCTCGAGGGGATAGGTGCCAGTGCTAGTGGTGGTGGCGGCGGCGGCGACGTGCCACATGCGGGAGAGAACCTCGGCGGAGCGAGCGGCGGAGTCGCGGCCGCTGATACTGGTATTGCGGAGGAAGAGGAGGGCGGAGTGGAAGAGCGCGGTGCCTTGCGAGATGTCGAGGTGGGTGGCGAAGGAGCTGTGGAGGAGTCGGAGGAGGGTGCAAGAGGCGGAGAGGAGAAAGGATTGGAGATGTTGGGGACAGTAGTGGACGAAGGTGCTTGATTGGGCGGCGTGCTCGAGGAGGGCCGAGATGAAATTGGTTGCGGAGTGGTAGAGGTGCGCGAGTTCAGAGCGGTGGGCGGCAGAGGTATCGGGGATGAAAAAAGCGAAGGAGTGGAGGTGGAGAGAGGCGGCGAGCAGGTTCAGCTTGTCGATGGCTATTGAATTGTAAGACGAGGTTGGGGAAAGCTGGGAAGAGACCTACGGGAGAGTCTGCTCACCAAGGATGATTCCAGTTCTTGATAATCCATCCTAAGCAAACTCATGAGAGTTGCGCTTTTCTTCTCCGCTACGATCCCAGCAGGATCCAAGGTCTCGCTGTATAGTGATCTCGTGACCTTGTCACAGAACTTCTCGATCCTCATCTGCACCAGCAAGCTGTCTGGCAGGTGCAAGGGGTTGGCAACTGCTTGATCTGTGTCGAGTGCCCAGTTATATATGGATGTTGAAGGTTGTCCATTTATACTCGACGCCCTTTGATGGTTTCAGTAACGGTCCCACATGCAGTGATGGCGGCTATACCTTTGAATCACGATATTACACACGCACCACGTCAAAGAGCGATCTCTCGTTTCAGCACCTGAGTTGGCGGTGGAAGGGCTCCCAAAGACGGGTGGACAAGAAGGTCTGTGAAGGCCGCACTTCAGAGCCATCTGCATCATTATACCATTGAGCAGGAAAGTAGGGTCGCCAGGGCTGCTATCGGTAGGCAATGGCCATGTACACAGCAGGCAGAGAGGCTTTACGACATGATATGACTGCGGCGCACTGCGGATAGTTGTCCAGAGCAAGTTCTCAAAAGGGGCTGTGAGTGCAGCCAGCAGCGTTGGCTCAAGCTGCGATCTCCTTGCTGCGATCATCACGATCGTCCATCCCAAGAGGGGAGAGAGGTTAAAGAAATGATTGGGCCCTAGATAAGGGTTGAGGAGTGGTAACATTGGGTGGTAGAACCTGATGAATCTGAAATGATAATAAGCACGTGGAAGACGAGAAAGGGGCTAGGATGGCAAGCCTACTCGTCATAGAGATGAGCAACGCGTTCACCGGAGAGCGAGATATTCTCCAATTGCTGCATGCTCGGTGCCGATGCCGATACATCGTAGCTCTGTGTGGAAACTCCATCATCGACTCTCCGCACGTAAGGAAGCGGATCGCCGTCCTGCGGTGCTGCGATTGCAAGCCTTCTCCTGAGCTCCTCGACTTCTCGCTGCAGCTCTTCAAACTTCCTATCGTCCACATCATCAGCGAGAACTCCATGCTGTGCATCTAGCAGTGGACCAACCCCCGCTTCTTGACCCGTTTGAAATTGTCATCGACGATGCACTGCAACTTGTACTTTCGACAGCGCGCGCAGCTCTGATTGGCCTCGCCCGGTTCGCTGATGACCTCGCACCGGAGCTGTTGTCAAGTTGAGTAGCGGTCCTGTACTGTATTTGCAAAGGCAATGAAGGCGGTTTTTTCATAGCGATATCAAGCTAAAAAGAAAAAAATAAAAAAAATAACTATAGAACATAGATGTACATACCTTTTGCTGTCTGCACTCGCTGCAAGCTTTGAAAGCTGGAGGTTTGCGTTTCAGCCGAGGCTCGGAAGGAGTTGTTGACTGGGACTGGTCTCCTGATGAAGTCTCCCGCTCTCGACCCTCCGAGTGCTCTATCGTCTGCCCAGCTTCCGCCATGATCATCTGGTATCACGGTCCATCCAACCTCTCTCTCTCTCGAATCTCGATACAAACAGCGCTTTTTGGAGGAGGCCAAGGGCCTTTTTCCGGGCTTCCGAATATCGGCCGGTCACATGACCAGATATCCGAGCTTTCACCGTCGGTAGGGGGGATAGGGGGAGGTGTATAGGTATGTTCATATAGAAGCTCTCAGCCTCAAAGACAAAGCTTGCATCTCATGGTCCCATGTATATCCCCCCCCAAAGAAAGGGACGGGCAAATCATCTCTCCTCTCCCCCTCATTTCCACATATAATCGAGCAACCAAGTCAAAATGAAAACCAAGGAAAGCAAGCAATCCAGCCTCGATTGCATTCTCTATTCAAAGAACCAACTTCTCCTCCGCGAACAGAACCATGTATTATTATTATTTCTTTTTCTTGCATAGGGTCGTGGAAAGATGAATGATGAATGGATGGAGATTAGACGAATAAAGAAACAATTTTGAATATAAGCAAACCTAGGTATTTATATAGGTAGGATAACATAACTTGGACTTCCTATTAGTGCTTGAAGCGTCAAAGAAAAAGAAGAAGACTATAAGAAAAAGGTAAATCTACCTCTCCAGCCTACCTTCTCTACCTTATCTACCTTACCTTACCTACTTCATCTCACCTCGCCTAAACCCCTATCTTTCTCCCCCCTGCCCCTTCTGGCAGGAATACACGACAAAACCACACCATCCCAGTATACCCCTCACCCCCCAGAAAAAGTTCCAAGGGAAAAATGAAGAAGAAAAAAAGGCTTCCGCAAAAGACAAACGACATCTTGGCAGAACGAGAGAACATTTCATTACAATTGCTGCCTTGCCCCGCACTAACGGGTCCCACACCAAGAAGAAGGCGTCGTTTGAGAGGGAACGAGCACGTTTTCCAAGAGCCAAGATGGGAAAACTGCCCCGCTCGCCTCGACTGTCATACTGCTGAGAGGCAGTGACATATGACATATGACATACAAGGTAGTGAATGAGAAACGTGGGATGAATGGGTCGAGAGAGAATATTTGTTTTTCTGGGGAGAGTAAAATCTTCGGGGTTGATCTGATTTGATCTGATCTGATCTGGCTCGATAGCTTTTGCGGTTTACGACGCACGCGCGATGAGGGGTAGGTAGGTCTGCGATTATTACAATAGGACTTTTTTCAGCTGCCTGGAAAAGAGAGAGGCGATACTAGATAGAGCACGCTATGAGATAGGTAGGTATAAACGACAAGCCTGCAAATGCCCGCAATGCAATGCCCAACACCGCGCAACTCCTTACTCGTTATTATCGTATACTGCTTCTTGCTTGGCCGCTCAGTGCACGACCTGATTACTCGTGCTGTATCGGCCGACCGCGAGACTGCCTAGGAAGACACCACCTAGGACCGAGAGGAAGTATCCGACATTCATCGTCATGACCGCCAGCATGCTTTTGTCTCTCGTTAGCCTTGGACTGAGAACCAGGACCCCGATTTAAGGAGAGAAGAACTCACAGGAGATAGCCAACACCAGCAATGACGGTATCCATGGCAGCGCGCAGTGGGTCGGTCGTGATGCGCCAGGGTCGCGCGTCCATGTCCCGCTTCTTCACGACCATCACGTCCTCCTCGACGCCGTTCTCCGTCAGCACCATGCGCTTGCTATCGGGATCCTTCGAGATGCTCTCGCTCTTGGTGGGCTTGCCGGCGACCTTGACGTAGCGCCGGTTGAACTCGGCGTCGAACCAGGCGTTCTCCTTTACTGCCTTGAAGGCGAGCAGGCCGCGGAAGATAGTCGCCAGGAAGATGAGGAAGATGCACGTCCCGGCATACTGCCCGGTGGTGTCGGGCGTCCATTGTTTGGAATACAGAGGCGTCGTCTTGCTGGTGAAGAAGGTCATCGGCATTTCCATCACGGTCGTCATGGCTGTGAGAGCGCGGGGTTAGTTGATAAGAGGCAGGTGGGACGTATGGATGAGGCGGACTCACCCATTCCTGGCGCCGACGAGGTGCTTGTTGGTGATGAGCCCATGCCCATATCCATGGCTGCGGCTGCCGAGTACGGAAACTCGATCAAAAACTTCGAGGAAGTGAGGTAAGAGGAAGCCGGTCAGCTCTGGAAGGCCGCAACGAGGGGCACAAGAGGGACAGAGGGCTCTCTATTTAAGGCGGGGCAAGCCCTGTCGTTACGCAGCGTGCAACAAAGATGAGTTCGAATTCTGCGGAGGGCGAGGTGAGCATGTTTGAGAGGAAGTCTGCGCGCACCTCATCGAATGACGGATTCTTATCCATGGCGCTGCCGCGGGGCCAGAGGAACCGCATTTTGAAGTATCGTCGAAGGGTCTTCCCGTGGTCGTCTGTTGCAGGGGGAAACATGCTCAATTGCCCTCAGACCAGTCGCCTTCGGGTATAGTCGCCCCGCGCGCCTTGCCTTCGACGCTTCGCGAAGACGACCGCTCGGCCGTAGACGTCGGCGACTGTAAGTCTTAACTATTAATAAGTTGTCAGAGAAGATGATCCCGCGGACCCTGGAACCTTCAACTTTTGATTTCAGCTTACAACCTTCATATGGTAGGTCATGGATCTATAATGTGTTCTGTCGGTTAAGTTATCGAAGCTTGGGAACAGTAGATTGTGGGGTCGAGTTTCGCACTGAGTAGGGTAGAACTTCCCAACTCCACCAAGACCGTCTCACATTTCTGGATTTATGACATCTACTTTCACATTGGCTTCCCATTGGCAAGCGAACTATATAACCTTCATATATTTCATATCTTTCATACATAAGATTTTGATCTTTTGATTTAACTATGGCGGGGAGATCTTCAACGTTTACAATTTCGAAGCGGGCGACGAGCTTCCTACGCTCGTGATCTCGTTATATAAGAGACTGTGGTCCAAGTTAGTACGGATTCACTGGCAAGTTGAAGTTACCACTTACGTAGTCAAGAAGTCGGCATAGTCCTCCCCAGTCACCTGTCCTGAGAAGTATTGAGCTGCCAAGTGGTACTTGTTGCCCTTGGGGCCCTTTGCAGCAAGTTCCTCTGCCTGTTCCTTCAGAAGTCTCAAAGCATAGGCCTTGTCTACCTTCTTGCCTTCTGCCGTTGAGACACCGTGTCTCACCCATTGCCACAGCTGGCTACGGCTGACTTCAGCCGTTGCGGCGTCTTCCATCAGGTAGTTGATGGGGATACATCCCACACCTCTGAGCCAGCCCTCCATATATCCAAGACCGATGTTCAGGTTCTTTCGGATACCATCTTCTGTAATCTTTCCTGGCACGTTCATGTTCAGGAGGTCATTTTGGGTGATCTTGACATCTTCACGACGGACGAACATCTGGTTGGGTGTGGGCATGTGCTTGTTGAATACCTCGGAGGCGATGGACGCCAGTGCGGGGTGAGCAACCCAGGTACCGTCGTGGCCTGCCTTCACCTCACGGAGCTTGTCAGCGTAGACACCCTCCATCGCCTTGTCGTTCGCCGCCTTGTCATCCTTGATGGGGATCTGCGCAGCCATACCACCCATAGCGTGGACCTGTCGTCTATGGCAGGTCTGGATGAGAAGCTTGACGTATGCGTCCATGAAGGGGACGGTCATGGTGACGGCCGATCGATCGGGGAGCACGAAGTTGGAGTTCTGGCGGAACTTCTTGATCACGCTGAAGATGTAATCCCATCGTCCGCAGTTCAATCCTGAGCTGTGATCCCGGAGCTCGTAGATGATCTCATCCATCTCGAATGCAGCAAGGATGGTCTCAATCAAGACCGTTCCTCGGATGGTCCCTCTAGGAATCGAGAGATAGTCTTGCGCAACGTTGAAAACGTCGTTCCATAGACGGGCCTCGAGGTGCGATTCCATCTTTGGGAGGTAGAAGTACGGGCCAAATCCGCGCTGGATGAGTTCCTTTGCATTGTGGAAGAAGTACAAGCCGAAGTCGAAGAGACTGCCAGAGATGGGTTCCCCGTCAACCGTGAAGTGCTTCTCCTCCAGGTGCCATCCTCGCGGTCGGACAATCAATGTGGGGAGCACGCGATCGGTGCGGAGTTTGTATTCCTTCTCTCCCTGCTTGAAGTCGATCTGTCTGCGAATGGCATCGTACAGGTTGACCTGGCCGTTGATCATGTTATCCCACGTCGGGGCACTCGAATCTGGTTGCCGGGGTTTGTCAGCTAACCGCGGGGCAAAAGCCGAGTGGGGCACAGATATACATACCTTCAAGGTCGGCCATATACGTCGAAACGTTTGAGTTCAGGGCGTTCACGACCATCTTGCGGTCCGTCGGGCCCGTGATCTCCACTCTGCGGTCAACCAGGCCGGGGGCGGGCTTCGCGCCTTTCCACGCATCGTTCTCGCGGATGTGTTTGGTCTCGGGCAGGAAATCAGGGAGCACTCCCTTGTCGAGCTCGGCCTGTCTGATGGCTCGACGCTGGAGGAGCTCCTTGCGGGTTGCGTTGAAGGAGCGGTGCAGGAGGGCGAGGAAGGCAACGGCATCTTTGCTCAGGATCTTCTTGTTGAAATCGGTGATGGTTCCCGAGATGTTGACGCCCTGGAGGATGGAGTCGACGGTAGCCATTTTGAGGGTATGTGTGTGTATATATATATTCGGGGGAGGGGGGGTATCGTGGGATTCGTGCAATGTAGGGATGGGAGGGGAAGAGCAAGAGGGGATTGAAGAGAGAGGAGAGAAGAGAGAAGAGGGAGAAGAGCGATTCCGCGCCTACGAGGAGCAAGGGCGTAGCAACTTTCTTTAATAGCTATACGTCTGCCGAAGCATGACTCCTCAGAGTCGCACTGGGCCGGGCGGGTGGAAGTGGTCGTGAATGTGGGGAAACTGGGCTGTCTCAACGATGATGTAAAGACAACCGTCACACCAGAGTGAGCTCACCCCTCCACCATTCATTCGCCCCCTATTTAACACCCCTCCTCTCCCAGTTTAAAGCGAGAGATAATAATAAATTCCAATTCCTCTTCTAATTAATCATCATCCAGTTCAAAAGTGTAATGTCTTCTCCCCCTCCGCCGCTCCCCAAAAAAAAAGCCAATCAAAAAATAAAATAAAATAAAATAAAAAATCCATACAAAAACCAACACAAGCTATCAAATCAAAACCATCTTTCACATGTTCGTTATCAGCAAGCGCACGTTCTCTCTTCGATGACGCTCGCTCGCGGCCGATATCGACAGCGCAGCGTATCGGAGCTCGAGAGGGGAGGAGGGCCGCCCTAACCTCGGCTTATCTCCATACGGGCCTGCCTCTTACCTCCGTTGGGTAATTTTTGCGCGCCGCAGAGTGTGCAGGGCGCGCATGGGTGTCCGGTCCTCCCCGGGGGCCGCCCACTAAATCCCGACCGTACCCGAGGTGCGCCGAGGTCCAAGTGTTGTGTTTTGTTACACTTTTGTTGGAACTTGGAGCTTGGGCTTCTGTTTTTGTTACCTTTTTGATTATTTTATGGGGGGCTTTTTTCTGCGGGGAGGGGGGAAGATCAAGATGTGTAAGATTGTGGATGCCGCTGGCTCGGTAGATGCATAGCCATTGCCGTGATCTGCGAGTGATTTGATATACAAGCCGGTCTTCTTTCTTTCTTTCTTTCTATATACTGTAACAGCCTGGAATCCTCCCGTCCCGTGTGGTATGTATATATGTACATATATATACATCAAACAAATCATATCGTAATGCATAAAACCCGTCATCATCGACTGCGATCTCCAAGCCAAAAGACGTCAATTCATACAATATCCCATGCCAGAGCGAATCTGTCATCTTTCTATGAACCCAGCCATATATACCACCGGACGCCGACACGTTCTATTTCTTTCTTCTATCTTCACACGGGCGGCAGGGCGTCGCCCCGGCCACCGACCTCCTCCACCTCCATCTTCTCCTGGTAGTCACCGCCGTCGTCACCGCTCGCTGCTCGCTCCTGCTGCCGGAACTCCTGGTACCGCTTCTCCATCGCGTAGTTCAGCGGGTTGTTCGTCTCGAACAGCACGTTGATGGCCTCTAGGCTGCGTCCGGAGGTTTCCGGGAGGAAGAGGAAGACCAGGATGAAGAAGAGCAAGTTTAGGCCTGCGAAGATGAAGAAGCCCTTGCCTCCCATGTTCTGGAACAGCACGGGGTTGTAGAGCGCGCCACATCCGAGACCAATGGCCCATCCCGTGATACCGAGGGCCATGCCCCGCGCACGAACTTCGGTCGGGAAGATCTCCGCGGGATAGTTGAAGTTGATGATGAGGTAGGTCGAGGAGTAGATGAGCGTGAAGACGTAGATGAACGACACGGAAGCCGCACCGTACTGAGGAGATAAATTGGGGTACGAGATCGTGCAGATGGACATCGCCCCCTGATATTGGTTAGTAAGGATTTCCTACGATCGAACTCTTCAGACTTACGATAATCCACATAGTACCACTCTGGGCCAAACTTCCGATCAGTAGAGACTTCCTCCTTCCAAGGGGATCGATAATATACATGGCGATGACTGTACCCCCGATACCGACGGTATTGTTGAGCGCCGAGAGCCAATTTGATTTCACATCTCCCCACCCTGCTGCACTGACTAACGTTGGAGTGTAGATGGTCGTCGCACTGATACCCGTCCCAATCTGTGTCATCAGGGGAAGCCAGAGAGCGAGCTGGGCCCTACGCCCGAAATGCAGTTTTCCAGTGCCGCGGCCTGTTATGATGGGCCAGTATCCGTCCGTGTACTTTTCATCCTCGGTACTCCTGACGTTGGACTTGACTTCTTCGAACTCTTGAATGACTGCAGGGTCAGTGGCATCACCATTGGCGCGCACATGCGCAAGGACTTCGAGTGCCTTGTCGTCCTTGTGCTTCGTGAGCAGGAAACGCGGAGACTCGGGAAGGATGGGGAGCAGGCAGAAAAGGCACAAGGGGAAAATGGCCTGGATCGCGAAGGCCAGACGCCATCTGATGGACGAATAGCCATGGTCGATAAAGCGCAGTCCGAAGCCGATCCAGTACGCCAGCGCGATATTTCCGTAATTGGTCAGGAACACCAGAGCAAAGCTTTTTCCACGATGCGCCGACTCGGAAACCTCACTCGTCCATGTAGGAGCAATCACATTCATGTGTCCTACTCCCAGACCCGCGATGACACGCGCGCAGATGTACCTGAGCGGGAGGATTAGCTAGTTTCCCGTGACCAGGGACCCGAGAACTCACATGTTTGTGTTCTGTGCGCCAGCTTCTAATGCGGTTCCGAGCATACACCAAAGGCACCCGAGCTGCAAGCCCGTCCGTCGTCCAAGCTTATCAGCTATCCATCCTGCAAAGATCGCCCCCCACAGCGCTCCAAAGTAATAAACGGCCGTCACGCCTCCCAACTTAATGGTCTTGGTGTCGGAAGCGTATTGAGGTGAGTAATAGTCCTGCACATTTGAAAGGTCCATGGTACGGATGAAGTCCGGGGATGAGTTCACACCACCCAGAACACCTTGGGCGTAGCCCTCGAAAGAGACGGCCAATGCATTTGCCAGGAGGATTCTGTATGGGGAGTCAGATGTGCTATTTTATATGGGGGACTGGGTACTTACAGGTAGAAGAGCTGGCGACTCTTCAACCTCTTCCAACCCTGGAAATGAAAGGAACGGGTCTTGCTCTTCCAAAGGGATTCCATCTTCAAACTACAGTACTACTACAACATCCCGTACGATCGAAGAGAAAGAGGGAACAGAAGTAGGAAAATTGAAACATTTCAATCTGAGCCTTTTGCTTACCTCAGTGCTGCTATGATGGACCAACGGCTAAACGGTCGAAGCTTGGGGGCTCTCGTTGCGGGGCGCCGGGGGGGCCGGGGGGGGGGAAAAGCTGGGTTAGCACGGTACGTCATTATGCCATGATCAGAATGCCGGAGGTGATTTCAAATATTGGTCCTCTAGAGTACCAAGCTTGCCTCCGTACCTTTGGAAGGTTGGGCGGAGTAAGGCGGAGAAAGCCTGGGGCTTTTGCGGTGCGAAGCAGGCCTGTCTAGTGAAGAATGCGGGACGACGGGCATGTTGATGATGGGGGAAGGGGGAAGAACGTGGACAAAGCTACCGTATTGAGAAGGGGAAAGGTCCGATGCAACTACCGCGAGGACACAGTAAACTCCGCTCCCAGGACATAGAATGCATAGGAGATAAGATTGGAAACTGGAGAATACGGGCTGAGAGGCCCGGAAGAGGCACGGGCAAGTTGAGTTTGGAAGAATCTACTACTCGTGAGACAGACTCGCATCGTGAGGCGCCTATCTGCTCTGGGCTTGGCGCTGCCCGACTCCGCGGCAGTCGACTCCACGTTCTCGCGGATCAACGTCGGCCCGGCCGTCCTCAGGCACATCAGGCATCGATCCGCCTCCGTATATTTCCGCATTTCGATGCTCTGGGTTAGTGCGCCGTTCCCGTGGTTCGTGCAATTGCCGTTCAGCAGATTCAGCCTTTCTGCAGTCTCTCCATTTACCGTTTAGACGACGCGTTCCTTGCAGAGGCAGAGTTTTCATCCCGATCACATTCGAGTTGGCACTGGCAGTCTGGGATTATTCCGGGGCGGTTGCATGCGGAGTGGCTGTCACGAGTGACGATACTCCGCTGCTCCGCAGGTATGCAGAGCCAGCCCCGTCGTCATCAGCTCTCTCCCATGATCGGATTGGGATCGGGGGGATATGCGGAGGGCTTGCTCGTGGCCAGATACAGTAGTAGTACTATCTTACTACTCCGCATAACCTGTCTCCAGAGCAGGCGGATGCTTTCCCGTGATATGCAGCTAAGATTTCCCGTCCCGAGGGGCCCGTAGCCGAAGGAACATCTTGCTGTGTTCCTTTTCTCCACGTGAGCCTTCCCGAGCCCTTCATTCATTTCAGGGGTTCTGGCGAGATGCCATAAGCAAAGGCGCGGTCTCGTGCTCTTCGAATGACAATTGAAAACTCCTGGCCCACAGCGAGGATTGGAACTGATTACTATACAGCAAAACGTGGTTACGCTTAAGTAGCAGGCTTCTCCAGATTCCCTTCTACAAGCAGGAGATGGACCTGTCTGGATTGTAGGCTGGAGCAGGTGAGTATGGACTAACTCGGCTCCGGGGAAATGGAGATTATTCTGGAGTCTGGACTTGTGGAGTTTTCCGATTTCATGACCTCTTTCGAAATTTAGCTGTGTCTCCTTTTCCTCTCCATCTGCTACTATCAACCATCACCTGGGTAATTCCCGGGGAACCTTGGAGAGAATGCTCCTGGACTTCTCCCAACCTCATTCTAGACAGAGTTCTTCATCTCATAATTTCCTTTGGAATCTCGATCCTCGGCAGTGTCCCTCAGGCCCGAGCAGTGTCCTTTTCCTCCCGCTCTTCGTCTATTGTCATGGGAGCAACTCGGCTATTCCTGGGAAAGGATACAGAGGATACTGGGTCTGGTTACTGGACTTATGAAGTTTTTCAGATCTCATGCCCTCTTTTCTTTGCAATTTAGCCCTGAGCAGCGTCTTCTCCTTCTCTCCGGCTCTCCATCTACCATCATGAGAGACAACCCGGCCATTCCCGGGGAAAGTTTACTTTTAGCCTTTCCCCACATCATTCTAGACGCCATTCTAGACAAACTTCTTCAACCCCATGACCCCTCCTATTTTGAAACCTCTCCCCCTTCATCTCCTATGATTATGAGAGCCCACCATTAGCCGGCACTAAACTTCAGATCCGAAATCTGCTTAATACCGCCTTACGCCTTGCCATGTTTCGTCCTCACGAAGAGTCATCGCATCACAAGCTTCCTTCATTTTTCTTTGCATAGGAAGATAGAATCGACATATATCTCTCCTTCTTTCTGTCTATTTCTTTACACAGACCCGATACCTCGTCCCAGAAAAGGGCCCTTCGTTCTTCATCCCAGCCTTCGCCTCTCAATCCTGCACGCGATTCTTTTGTCATATACGTATCTGCCCCTCTCTCTTTTCTCCCCTTTTCTCACAACCAAATTCATCATTCCAAAATAATCCCTTCGCTTTTTGTTCCAGCGTTGTTCTAGCCTTGACCTTCTTACTCCTTCCAGTCAAAATAGCTGCTTTATGCGCATCGTGGTCGATAGCCTTAGAAGAGGAAGGGGAATTCCTCTGCTTCTCTCGAGCTTATGTTGTCGTTCGATTCTTCCTCTATATAAACGACACGCACCTAACTCTCTCTTTCCCTCATTTTCCCACAACAATTCAATTACTCGGAAAAGAGTCAGCTGAGACTAGAGATGATCCTTTTCTTGGAAGCGCTGTTATTGACGAAGAGACATTCGATTCTAAATCATCGCCACAAGATTACTCTCAAATAGACCGTTGGATGCCATAGGAGTAGACAAGACAGTGTCGTGGACAGTATTTGCACATCCCTCTTTCTCTTACTATCAGAGTCAATCCAGTCATTCCGCTTAGGTACCTACCTTAGATACCGCTACTACAAAATCAAAATCCGCAGGGCGAGGAAAAAGCAGGTGCCCAGCTTCCCCTAGACTCATTCTTTATCCCAACCTCTCTACCTCTTCCATTGTTTCCACACACGCTGTTCTTCTATAATCGATACTACGCACCTACCTACTACCCGCACCACCAGCAAATAAATCATCTTGCGAAGATCGATCGATCGATCCGTCGGATACATAGCTCCTGCCTGGCTTGCGGTGGGTGCTCTGTTCTCGGACACAGCCTGTACTCGGTGATATATATATAAGGAACGATGGATATGTCTGTCCTATTGTACATACCTACCTTACATACCTGTCGCTACCCACCTACCTTATACAATCCACCTACAAGACAACACGACAGCGCAGCGAATCCCACGTCTCTGATAAACAACAGCATCATCGTCAGAAATTACTCACTTGCTCACTTGCTCTTCTTCCAAATATCGAGATATGCGAACTGAACTATCAGGGACATGATCTTAATTAAGCTCTTGTAGCTAAGTAAGTAAATGCGTATGGTGAGCGTCGTGTGCTGCTGCTCGATGGAAGGTGGATAGTTTAGTGGGGTTGTTTTTATTTTATTTTTTATATATATTGTTGGATTTATCTTCGCTTCTCTTTTTGTTGTTGCAGTTCTCTTTACGAAGTACCTAGGGATGGGTGGGTGCGGAGACTAATCTTCTTATATAATCTTCTCTCTCGCAGCACCGCTCCCCCCCCCCCCCC